CTGTTCGTCGACCTGCTTGTCCTTGCAATTGATGCTTTTCTCATCATCTTCCAGGAGATTCAGAGAGCACAGCCCGAAGGCAAGCTGCGAGGGTTTTGGGTTCAACCGCTGTGCTACGAGTCCTTACAGGCGTGTCGCAAGGTGCAGGCTTAGGCCGTGTGTGAGCCGTGAAGGTGTGCCTGCGTTCCTGCCAGGAAGCCCTGTCCGATCAGCTCGATATCTGCGAACCCTTCGCTTACTGCGCCTGCTGCGCCTTCTGCGTGTGGCAAAGCTTCAGCAGGCAGTGAATCCTCAACGGAAAACAGGTCCCAAAAAGCAAAGAGGCACCACTACTCCCTGACAGGTCTCGATGTGTACAAGTGTACAGGTATTGTAGGTGCCACTTGTTGCACAACATGGAAGCTGGCACAGGAACTGACTTTGCTGGCAAACAACTTCCTTTCCACCTATGCGTTCATGGTGCCTTAGCCGAAAGGGATGGGCGAACACTGTTGCTGCAACACTCGAGCCATTCGCCGGCGCCGGTTTCGAATCCATTCTGGTAACTGCATGCATTTTGGTTACTGTTGTTACACGGATTCAGACAACATAATGTTGTTAAGATTCGAATGAAATCCAGCTGGAAAAAGAAGAACCTAAAGAGGAAACATCTGAGTTTAGCATCTCGGTGCTAAGTCGTGAAAGCTAGCTCTTTAGCAGAACAGGCTTCGTTGTTAGCAGACCTGTCTGTGGGTCATCGGGCCTCTTTCAGACCTTAAGGCCCGACTCGTGTCCCATTGGCAAAGTCTTAGCACATGCACTCTAAGTACAGGGGTGGTGCCAGTTCACCCTAGGGCCCTGAAGTTTTCTTGGGGGTGCTACACTCGCGGATTGGGGCCGGAGGGCGTGGGAATTTCTGCTGACACAAACACGTGGGTTTTCAGGGCTCTGTGCTTCAGGGTTTGGGCTTAGGCGGCTCGGGCTTTAAAGGTTTCGGGCGTCGGGCTTGAGAAATAGCATGTGGGGCTTGAGGGTTTTGGGGCCGCCAGTTTGGGAGATGAGCATGGTTATGAGCATGGGATACGCCCGCCCTGTCGGTCGAGGTCAAACTCGGCTTGGGTGTCTGTTAACGCAGCACTGTTTGGTTTCAGAATGCGTATTTATCTTGTTCACATAATCTTGCAGCTCGCATCTTGTGTTTGCCAGCATGTCGCACTTCAGCTGGCGCTGTTGTGCCACTTGCTGCGGCCTCGAGCTTTCGTGGCCTCTGCTGTCAAGTTCCCACACCTGGGCCAAGGTTATGAAGGTTGTCTCGGGCCTCCTGATGATCCTGGCGGTCAACCATATCATCGCGTGCTGCTGGTACGGTATAGGAAAGATGACTTTCGGACGGCAAGTTTAAACAACTCCCGAAGCCCCCCCACCCGCAACAGTGCGGCCAGCAACGGCCCTCGTTCATCTTTGCACACGAGCGCCCCAGAAAGAAAGGACGCTGGACCATGGCAACAGCTGGCTCATCAACGCAGGAATCGAGGAGGCGCGGCAGGGCCCGCTCTATGTCTCTATGTCTCGCAGCATGACGCAGACTTGACAAGCAGGGAAGGCCGAGTATCTTACAGGAAATTGAAAGCTGTAGGGTCCCGGGCGCTGCCAAGCCGGAAACTGTTTTAAACGCCGAGAGTGCCTGAGCGCACGGACGGGGGCTTGCAGGTGGGCGGCAGGGCAAGAACTCCATAAACTCTTGTTCCGGATTGGAGAGAGAGAGAAACATCTGCACACAACACACTTTGTGCCCTTGCGTGTTGTTTGCAGGAGTGCTTGCGAAGAACTGCAAACACAGTAAGTTTCAAATACCGGAAGGGGTAGCGGAGGAAAGAGGGCTTCACGTTCGCGTGGTGCAGCAGCATGGAGTTAATTAGAGTTCATGGGAGGCAGACCTCGCGAACGCTTATGCCGTGTCCATCCACTGGGCGCTTACCCAGTTCACGCCTGCGACAAACAACGTTGCGCCGGTCACTGTTTCGGAGAGGCCAGTACTGATTTCCATGAGCTTTGGGGAGCATTGCCATGATGCGTAGCATGATTGTCTTGATTGTGTTGTCTGATTGCTGTTGTTAGTATTTCATAATGTTCCAGAGACTTGCGAGTTTTGGAGGAGATGAGGAGGCAGGCGAAAGGTTGAGAGGCAGGTTAACTGGACGAGTTAATCCCCTCTTATTCTGAACTGTGTTTGTCCAGGTTCTTTGCCGTCTTGGTAATTCTGTTGGCGATGGGCACATTCTCTTCCTTCATCAGCTCAATAACCACGACGGTGAGCACGTTGCGCACCGCGCGCGAGGAGCAATTCAAGAACCACTCTTTCTTGGTCCGGTTCTTCAATGAGCGCAACTTATCCACCGAGCTGTACGGCAAGATCAACGACATCCTGAAGAAGCAAGGGGCCTACGACATTCGGGTCAAGGAAGGAGAGGTGCAGCTGCTGACGGGAGTTCCCGAGCGCTTGAAGGTGCACCTCCACGAAGAGATGTTCCTGGCCCCACTGACCTCCCTCCGCATCTGGCGCTACTGGAAGCACGAGGACGACGAGCTGTTCTTCAGGCAGGTGTGCCACCTCGCGATGGTGGAGCACATTGCAACACCAGGCGTGCTTGTGTGGGAGGGAGGGACTTTAGGGAGGACACAGGGGTGGGCCCGGGCTGTCTTGCTCTCAACTGTTGCCAGTAGGATTCCGGGTTTTGCACCCGTCATCATCATGATTATTACTATTGTTATTACTATTATTATGATTTTTACTATCATTATTATGGTTATTATTTGTATTATTGTTATTATGATTATTGTTATTGCTGTGTTTTTTTTTTTTTGGGGGGGGGGGGGGTCAGACCTAAGAGAGAGGCCAAGATGCCTTTATGCCCGGCACGGAGTGCGCCCAAGTTTACATCATCGAGAACGGCTCCATGGGCTACTTGGTAGCCCCAGTGGCACCCCTTGAGTTTTTTTTTTTTTTTAAATTTTGTTTTTATATTTATTTTCTTTATGGGTTTCCCTTCTAAAATAAGTACAATCCAAAGAAGGGTGCCCTTATCAGTGGCACCCTTTGCCCCCTTTTTTTTGGTTTATGGGTTTCCCTTGCAAAATGGATACGACCCAAGACAGGGTTCCCTTATCACAATATGGTTACGGGGCTACCAAGGATATATTGCCCGGCAGCTCACGTCCTTCGAGTCTGAGGCCGTCTTTGGGGGGGAGGTGTTCTGTCTCCCATGCATCTGGGCAGAGTGGAATCATCGTGGGCGGCTCACCGCGAACACCGGTAAGACTTGCTACTACAATGGATTCTTTGTCGTAGCTGGGTAACATTTTTCTTTTTTGAGGGGACTTAAAGCCAAACAAGGAACAAACATTTAAATTTGAATATGATCCCAACCATGCACAAGGATTGAACTGTGTGACTTTTGCCAGCCTTGTGAAGAAGCATGGATCTCCCCTCTGGCAGCACCTTGGCTGCAATGAATGGATCTGTTTCAATGGCAATGGGTGCCCATGAGTCTCTTTGATCCTATCAGATGCTGAGAGACCCAAGTGTGCCCTCTTAAAGAGGTACTTGCAAATCTTTGGTATCTTGTTGATCGGGGAGGTGGAGCACATGGATTCGGAGGCTCGTTCGTGCTGTGACTCGCATGTAGCGGTGCCCGTACTTTCTGCATCCCCAGGGATGTTTTGCCAGGACGTTTTTGTTACCGACAAGACCTTATCGGATTCGAAGATGGATGACATTGCAGCGAGAGCTCAGCGCGCCTTGCCGTGCAAGCACGTGGGTACAGTTTTTCTCAATCAGTAGCCCGAGTGCCGTCTTAGTAAGCCTTCCACGCCCCAGAAAGGCACCTGCACAGCATGGCTGCGTTGAGGATCTGTGGGTCTGCTTGTGTCGTCACATCATCAACATTCTCCTGTCGTTGTTGTGGTCGTGGTTGTGGTGGTTATTAGTGGTGGTTGCGTCTGTTGCGGTGGAAGCTTGCAAAGCGCAGTGCTTACGCCATATAGAATTAGCCTGACATGATATCCCTTTCTTCAGTGGTCTCCGCATGTGACGTGAACGACTTTGCCCTTGAGTCCGGCCAAGGCTTTGCTGACATTGTCAATGCTGCATGCCTGAACAGTTTGGTTGCAGGTTTCGGGGGGTTTTTTCCCACGGAGGAGCTAGATTGTAGGACCTTAAAGACCACCTGCTTTAAAGTGCATTAGTTGGCAAGGCCAGGCATGGTCACAAATCCGATTCCTTCATGGCCACTCTCGGTGCAATGGCCTACTCGTCGCACCCCTCGCGCTCAAACTCGCGCCTCGGCGCGATAGGCCTGCCTTGGCGAGTGGAGCTGGATGTTCCTTTTGTGTTGTAACTGCTGCAGGCTCCAGGGCTGTCGGTGTACGAAGTGCATTAGACTGCTACTTCGAATAAAGTCATCGCATGCTATGAGAGAAGAGGCTGATAGAATGAGAGCCTGCGGGGCGCCCTTCAGCTGTCCCAGGCGATTGCCCAGCAAGACAACGGTCGACTCCGCGAGCCTTGCCATGTTCCCCATGGAGCTCTAGAGACTTTTCGAGCGAATTGGCGTATTTTGTGCTATTTTTTTGCAAAATGAGGCGGTAACAAACTCTCAGGTTTCACCTTGCAAGGGGCAGGCTCAAGGCCTACAAAACCCCCCTCAAAAACGGTGACCGTTTTCCCTGCCAACGCTCAGTTTTCAGTTTTTGCGTCGAAGAAGTGTTGCTGACCTCCAGCGTGACATGTGTTTCACCTGTACCGAGTCAGCTGAGCTGGCTTGGAAACCTGACCAGCAGTCCATCGGTGCTAAGCCCGGCTGCTGCTCAGAGTCTAGCATCTAGCAGCAAAGACTATCCGACTATCCTTTTGCGAGTTGAGCAAAGAAGTTCTCCTGACTTCTCTCTCTCTCTCTCTCTCTCTCTCTCTCTCTCTCTCTCTCTCTCTCTCTCTCTCTCTAAGAATTTGACGTTAAAGCGAGGCCCTGGCCGCCCCGGGCTGGTGGAGGCTGCGCTTGGCTCTGGCGTTGGAGGAGGCCAACGGAAATCTCTTTTTTGGGGAGATTGTTCCTTTACTTCGACCCGAGCTCGGAGAGCTTCTATCAGGCCTTTTTGGTGAGTTTTCGCAACTGACCTTGGGAGAGACATATGTCCCCTCGCCTCTGCCGGGTACTTCTGCAGATCCTTTCGCCGTGTTGTACTCAGATGATGCAGGCTGCGGCCGTCTCCACGATGCAGGCGGGGAGCTGCAAAGGACTCAGCCATACTAGCAGCTCCTTTATGCGGATTATAGGTACCCCCCCCCCCCCCCCCCCCCCCGATTAGATTATAGTCTTTTATAGAGATTATAGGTACCTCCCCCCAGTAACATCCCCGTGAAGGGCTGTTAGTACAAGGGGGGAACATCCCAATTCAGGAACCCAGGGACCCTTCGCAGGCAGATCGCCTTGCGTTGGTGCCGGATCTGGAGGCTGGCTTCCTCAGCGAGGCCTGGGCCATCGCTTGGGATGTTCCCCTGCTTCTACTAGCAGTCCTGAATGGGGATTATAAATAGGGGGGGTACTCCAATCCCATTAAGGACTGTTATGGCCTGCTAGTATAAGGGGGAACTGCCTTTGGGTCGGTGTCCATGGGAAAACCCGGCTGGATAAAGCAAGCCTTGGATCAGTAGGAGGCCCCAAACGAGCATCGCGACCGCGCACGCGCAACCGCAGAAGCGGACGTGGCAGAACTACGTGGTACCTTGGGATGTTCCCCCTTATACTAACAATCCTGAATCCGGATTACAATAGGGGGTACTATAATCCCGATTAAGGACTGCTAGTACAAGGGGGAACATCCCAATACCAAAGTCTTACATAAAGTGCCACAACGGTTGGACCATCGGGGGCCGCCTGACCAGATTCTCTAGCCGGCACGCGAATAGAGTATAATATAGTATAATATAGTATAATATAGTATAATATAGTATAATATAGTATAATATAGTATAATATAGTATAATATAGTATAATATAGTATAACATAGAATAATATAGTATAAAATAGTATAATATAGTATAATATAGTATAATAAAGTATAATATAGTAGAATATAGTAAAATATAGTAGAATATAGTAGAATATAATATAATATAGTAGAATATAGTAGAGTATAGTAGAATATAGTATAACATAGTAAAATATAGTATAATATGGGATAATATAGTATAACTTTAGGCCTGCTCCATAGTTAGCTTTTTCAGCATGTGGTATGCGGAGAAGGCCTGGATCGAGCCAGAGGGGCATCCTTTACAGGCTCTTTTGGCATAAGGATGAGACGGGGAGCACTGACCAACGCAGCACATTGGCCTTGAGTCAGGAGAGGCAGGTTGAAAAGTAGGCTAGGGTGATCGTTCGATCTGATGACTTAGATCGAAGATTGTCATCGAAGATTTTGTGGCCTAGAGGCGGGTTTGGGAATCCTAGCGCATGCACAGGACTACTGGCGCCGGTTCGCCGAAAGTGTGCGATCCTGCATCCTGACAAGCGGCCCCATGCTTCAAGAATGCCTTGAAATGCAGCCATGTAGTCCGCGCAGCGAAAGTTTAATGCTTTGTAGAACAATGCACAACTGCTTCTTGTCCAAGGTATAAAGACGTTGTTGGCTGCCTTTGCAAAGTTCGCTGAGGCCTGCCGCAGCAACAGGCCGATGCTGGAGCACAGGCAGCAGTGTGCAGGGGACTGCCCAGAGTCGCAAGTGCCATGCCTCCAATATATATATATATATATATGTACACATATATATATATAGAATGCATGTACTGCATCGACTATTTTGTACATATATATATCTATATATATATATATATATATATATAGATACATTCATATGTATCGTTGGCATATTATATATATGTATATATATATACACACCATATACATATACATATGTATATATATACAAGATATACCAGATGCAGAAGCTGAGGTGAGTTCTTGGCTTCCTTTCCTGATGCAGAAGCAGTGCTACAGCAAGGCAACCGAGCGGTGCAAGTCTGTGAAAAACTCACTCGGGTTTAGGGTTTAGGGTTTAGGGTTTAGGGCTGCGGTCAACGTGATCTTGAAGCTTCTCTGTTCAGGCGGGGTGGCAGCCGCGGCCCAGAAAGTGGTGGCAAGAACCTCTGGCGCTTCAGAGTGTTTCGGCCTAACAACGTGGCCTGTCAGCAGCTTTAAGAATTTGAATGGGGTTTTAGGGGGTTATTCTAGTAATTTATAACGGGACCAGAAGGGAATAGTCTTGTGGGGTTTTTGAAGTTGTGCAAGCCTGTCGTCCAGAAAGATGCGGGGAAGATCGTGTTCCCAAGGCTTTCGATGCAGATGACGCGAAGCGTTCTGTGTTGGCTGGAGCACCCGAGAGTGAAGAAGGCAGCACTTGTGCAGCGACGTATCCGTCTCTTTGCATGGCCTGTTGGGCCCGAAAGGCCCGCAAGGCCCGAAAGGTTCAGCGGAATCGATAGGGGTTCCCGAGCTGGTGCTTGAACTTCGTCGCAAGCCCCCAAAGCCTCCATGCGGGGTTTAGGTTTGAGGTTCCCTTATTTTCGTTAAACCCCCATGTGTCGTCGTGATTTCAAGAGCCTGGAGGTGCTGCCCAAGGAGGACTTCGATGCGAAGGGCCTTACCTGGCTTCTCAACTTCATCGAGGCCGGATCGGTAGGAGGGGCTACTTGGAGGTTCAGATGGGTGGTTATAGGGCTCGATAGTTAGGGTAGCTGTGCTTATAGCCTTGCTTAGGGTACCTATAACCCTGCTTATAGCTACCCCCCCGAACCTCCAAGTAGGGTGGTGATGCATCGTGCCCGCCTTGTCCAGGATGTGGAGGAGGTCGAGGAGTGCAGCGAGGCAGATGTGGCAACGGCAAGACTCCCAGAAGCACGGGGATATGGGGGTTTACGAAAACAGGAGAGCCCCGAAGCTAGACCCCCAAAATCCCCCCAAACAGTAGCTTTCCCTTATAACAAGGACCCCAAGGTACCCCTGAAACATCGTACACCCCCATCTTGCCCGGGACACTCATAGCTGTAAGCGCGCTGCGCGTCGACCGCCTCAGTCCCGCTGGACGGGCAGAGGATTGGTGGCGCTGTGGGGCTCGGGTGTAAAGGTCGCAGAGTGCCCAGAACTACATCCTTGAGAATTTCCCTGACGTCTCTGCCCTTTTGTTTGGCGATACTCAATGGGGTGGGAAGACTTCGCCAGGCTTTGGCTCGGGGCTAAGACTACGCCTACGCCGAAAGGTCCCACCGAGACAGCCCAGGAGGGGCCTTCTTCTAGGTATTACTGAGAAGGTGAAACAAAGGGGAGGCAGCCTCGGTCGTCCACGGCTGGGCCGAGACGAACTACACACTTTCTTTCATCTTCCTTGCGCATGTGGTTTTCACGTTCCACATGTGGGACTTCCCGCGTGGGCAGCGCATCCCGTGCGTCTCACAGATGGGTGCAATCTGAGGTGCTCAACGCCGACAAGGGTTTGCCGGTCTCGCGGCGTCTGGGATGCGCAATGGATGCCGGTGGTTGCACTTCAGCGCTCCTCGAGTCCTAGAGATCCTCACCTCCCCTCTTCCTCCGAGGCCGCTCCTGAACGCCGCAGCTCGCCTTCGACGGATGATCGCGGCCTATGCGCGAGGCAGTGCGTTCACATGCGTTCATTTGCATTCACCGTCGAATCTTTCGACGCCTCAGGCCTGGTGCTCGACATCTCCTCCACCCCATCGCCACTGACGGCTTCTGTACTAGGCAGCAGTGCTTCTGCGGTCCCTGGGCTCTCAGAAGGGGCTACAGGGTGGGGCATGTCAGCACGGCCACATGTGGCCACAATGTCACTAGCTTGTTATAACTTCTTGCAGCGGTGGCATGTGCGCTCGAGCATTCAAGGTTCAAGGAGGAAACAACTCGAGGAAACACCTAGAGTCTATCTCTCTTTTCTGCCCGGGGTCCTTTCAGTGGCTCCGGCTTACATTTCTACCTCCATGGTGCCTGTGCACAGCTTCTGCCGTCAGGTCAGGAAGGGTTGAAACTTGTGGATTGCCATCCATGAAGCCTGAACTCCCAAACCCAAAGCCTTGTAATCCAGAGACCCCAGCTCAGGCCCTTTTTGCAGCAAAGGTCGTCCGGCAAGTTGGCCTGGGACCCAGCCTTGTACATGGACGTTACGAAATAGAAACACCAAAGGGGCGCATAACATCGATCAACCCCAACCCCCCCCCCCCCCCCACAAAGGAAGCCCTTACCCCAACATTGTACCAGCATCTCAGGTGGAGACATTGACCTGTGTCGCATGGGGGCATACGCTCTGACGCCCCAAGGCCGGTTCGCGTAAAGCCTAGTGTGGGGCCCAAGCCAAACCCATCACAGCCCAAGCCCACGCCCACAACGTTCCAGGAGCGCATCTCAAATGGTTTCCTCTGGATGGAGTGCGGCTTCCGAATCTCAGCAACGATCTCCCGGATCCTTTTGCCACCCGGACTGAGAGCAGCTCCGCGCGCTCGAGAGCCACGTTGAGTCAAAGCCATGTGCCACAAGCAACATACCCAAAGGCTCCAATGTAGTTCCTTTTTGGGGTAGATTTACAGGATTCTAGTATACTAGCCCAGAAAGGTACTACATAGGAGCCTTTGGGTAAGGTGCACTTCGCGCCCCAGCACATGGGAAGCGAGAAGTTCCTCAAGTGGTGACCTGGCGTGGACAGCGCTTGTCAAGTCTTGTCACGCTTGTCCATGCTCCCAGCACCTTGACACCCAAAACCCTAAACCCCAAACCCTAAACCCTAAATCCTGAACCCTAAACCCTAAACCCTAAACCCGAAACCCTAAACCCTAAACCCTAAACACCGTTGCTCGACAAGGTTTCTGGCAGTGTGCGCTGCCGCGGGGATGGTGGCCAGCTCGTCCAGGGCCAGCAAAGAGGAGTTTGCCAAGGCGACATCGCCCTCAGCTCGGGTTTAGGGTTTAGGGTTTAGGGTTTAGGGTTTAGGGTTTAGGGTTTAGGGTTTAGGGTTTAGGGATTAGGGGGTTACCCCTAACATACCCATATATACCGCATATGTACCCCATATATACCCCTGACATGCCCATATATACCCCTGATGTACCCCTAATATATACCCCCAAAGTACTATAATCCTGACTATTTAGACTGGAGAGGGAGCCTCCTGAATAGGTCTCTGGAGGGTCGGAGCCAGTAAAGCGCCCTACGATTGGGGACTGTCTGACTGTTTCAGGCCGTGCAGAGTGCAGCCGCAGAGAAGATGGGGTGGAAAACGGGGAGCAGCAAGGTCACTTGGAAGGTTTTAGAAGCATGACGTCCTAGCCACTATGCTTTGCTTTGGGTGTCGCCCTTCTCGTCAGTGAATCTCAGGGCTTAGCAGTACCAACTCTGGCGTGCATTGCCTCGCGCGTGCTGCTGAACCGTCAGGCCCGGAGACACCCCTGAAGGACTTCATGTTTTCAAGGCTTTCACTGCGTTCAGGTCTTCAGCATCCCCGAATGTCCCCTTCTGCCCCAAGCAACACCCAAAAGCCCCCCAAAAGCAGCCAGAAACCCCAAAAGCCCAAAAGGAAACAACCCTCAACCCTCATAAATGCCTCCCCAAAAAACCTCTAAACCCTAAACCCAAAACCCTAAACTCTCAACCCTAAACCCCAAAAGCCTCTCGTTCTCGAGAGGTCGCTGTTGCCGAAGGCCTCGAGGTCCTGCGCGACTGGGCCTGCGAGCACCTCGAAACGGAGAAGACACCCAGGGCAAGGCCGGTTGAGGGTGTATATACGGTTTAGGGTTGAGGGTTCAGGGTTGAGGTTTTAGGGTTTAGGGTTTCGGGTTTAGGTATATTGGGATGCTCCCCCTTATTCTAACAGTCCTTGAAAGGGATTTTTGTGCCCCCTATTACAATCCCTATTAAGAATTGTTAGTACAAGGGGGAACATCCCAATGTGTATATGATTATGTTGTCTTATGAATATATTTGTATAAAAAGTGTCATTTGTTATGATGGTGTATATCTGATTATGTTGCACTTTCAGTATATTTGCATAAGGTAATATTTGTTATACCATATTCCCATACTTCCAGTACAAATATTACACTAGTCTACAATGTTGTGTTTGTGATATGAGGGTAAGCTGGCGTAGGCTGTAGCCACTGTGTGGCTTGTTCGGAGAAAGCCGACAGCTATGACTTGTGGGTTCTCCTCGTTTCTTCTTTCATGTTAGACCGCTGGCAGGAGCCGAAGTTTGCTGGTGAATCGCATGTTTTCCGGGCTTCTTCCGCACTTCGAGGCGGGGACCAGCACCTGGCTTTTTCTTTGTCATATTTCAAACCCTATAAGGAACAAGCGTTTAGTTTTTTAATCGTATGCCAACCATGAACTAGTTTTGATGTGGCTTTCATCTTCAACTCTTTCCTTGTGACCCTCGTGCAGGCCGTCACGAACAAGGAAGAAGATTCGACTCAACTTCCCCCGAGGTAGTGGTTGCTCACACGCGGATCGATCCTGTTCACCTGAGTGTAGAGAGTGCACACTTGCATGTGATCTCGAAGCTTGAAGCGCAGCCACCCCAGACACTTTGAATTATCCATGTGCTTTTTCCATGTGCCTTTCACCTTTCCGCCTCGATCCCACCGTGGAATGTCCTTAAAGGAAGTTTCTCCAACAAGCTTTGCCGCACCTGTGTCTTTTGCAAGTGCCACATGTCGAGTTGGCAAAGGGCAGCCGCTTGCAGGAAATTCCTCGAGCAGCTCGCGCACCACCTGGCGCTGCTTGTGCTGGGGTCTGGCGGGCAGAGCAGCGCGGGCTGGTGGGGGCCCAAGTTTTGGGGTTTCTGGAGCCGTACCGGACGAATCCTGCGAGCCATTGGAAAGGGCTCAAACAAATCTACCCAGGTTGGAGAACGTCCTCACAAACCCTCGCCAAGCTCAAGAATCGTACTGGCCGACAATGCCAGACAGCGAGGACCGCCCACTGCACCGCTTGAAAGCTGCAAAGAAGGAAAGAGAGAGAGAGAGAGAGAGAGAGAGACAGAGAGAGAGAGAGAGAGAGAGAGAGAGCGGGGGGTCACCCCCAAGCCCCCAAGAAAGAAAGAAAGAAAGAGAGAGTGGGCCGTCGTGGCCGGGTTCGCTTAGGGGGGGCCTCTCCGCTGGGCAGCGGCAGCAGCGGCGGCGGCGGCGGCGGCGGCAGCAGCAGCAGCAGCAGCAGCAGCAGCAGCAGCAGCAGCAGCAGCAGCAGCAGCTGAAGAAGAACAAGAGCAAGAAAAAAAACAAGAACAAGAACAAGAACAGGAACAGGAACCAGGAACCAAGAACCGAGAACCGAGAACCGAGAACCGAGAACCGAGAACCGAGAACCAAGAACCAAGAACCAAGAACCAAGAACCAGGAACCAGGAACCAGGAACCAGGAACCAAGAACAAGAACAAGAACAATAACAATGCTCTGTAGCTCCTTTTTGCCGGGCCCCCGTCATCGCAGGAAGCGGCGGTGGTGGGTGCCATGGGCTACGTGGGCTGGTGCCTTGACAATGTTGGTGGCTCCAGATCCTGAAGCGGAGCACGACCCCGCCTGGCAGTGCGCATGAGCTAGGATCAGTCTCTAGGCGGACAGCATGCGAGGTACACCTGTCCGAATGGACATCCCTATTCCGTCGGCGAGTGCACGAGGTCTTGCAGTGTTGGTAGTCTGCTCCTTCTGTCCGTCAATTTTGCTTGGAGTGCTGGAAAGGGCACATTGAGGGCACTGTGAGCCTGGGCGCAAGGCCGATGCAGAAGGGCATCTGTCCAGCGCCTGGTTGTGGAGCATCGATTGGGGGCGAACACCACCAGAATGTGCAGCTTGGAGATGACCTGGTCCATAGGCGATGTGTAGCTGCATTGTAGCTTTTTTTCTGCAACTCTTTGGCACGTTTGCCGTGCTCTGATCCCAGGCAGGGGGTCCGTAGCATCAACGAGGAGCGCCTGCTGAGGTGGGTGGACTTGGGGGAGTTGGACCATTCCGAAGATGTCTTTGACCCCCTTTGACCTACTTCTCAAAAAAGCCCCAGGCACCGGTCGCAGCCTGGCTACATTGCCGCAACCAGCGACATGCTGGATCGGGTCTCAGTCGGTCTCAGCTCCCTTGGATCCCTCAAGAGCCTTGAGGGTGACTGGGTGCCCTATAACCCCTAAAAAAAGATCCTTAATAGGGTTGATTGTGGCGACTACAAGGCCGAATAGCCCATCCTGGTTTTCCCCAGGACCAGACCATCGTGAACCAGTTCAAGCGCCAGCTGAACATGCGGGGCCTCAAGGCCTTGCGCCTCGTGATGCGCACGGCGCTCTGGGTGCCCCGGCATCTTGTGAGCGGAACACACCAGGATGGGCCATCATAGGCCTTTTTATCCCCATAATGAACCCTATAAAGGGCCTTTTAAGGTATTCTCGGGTATACCAGCCCATCCTGGCAGGGGGCAGCATCAGTGAGTTGTATCTTTATGTCAGCTGAGTTGTTGCAAGGTGAGCCTGAGCTCGGAGTCTCCAAGCGCCGTCGTAAGCTGCGTGCTTCCAGGCACAGCTGCGAGCGAACGGTGCCTTTGAGAGGTTTTGGCCCCAAAGTAGGGGAAAGGCCTCAACCCAATGGTAAATTGACTCCATAAACGCACATTCGCGTCCGCACGCCGCACGCCGCATGCTGCATCTGTGCGCACACGCACACGCACACGCACACGCACTCGCACTCGCACACGCACATGCACACGCACACGCACACGCACACGCACACGCACACACTTGTGCAGACTCGTGCATCGTTCATGTTGACTGCGCAGCGGCTGCGTGGGCGTCAATCACAGGGTTGCCTAAAGTAGCCGTCTTGCCGAGCATGTCTAGTTTCCTTTCTCATTCCCAAACTGCTTCTATTCTCATGCTGCCACGACCCCAGTTGGAAACAACTTTTTGGCGGATGGGAGGCGTAGAATGCTACAGAACGCTCCAACACATCTGAGGGACGCGGCGAAGGAGCTTTACCAACTCATCTGCGAGGACAGCTTGCTTTAAGGCAAGGTCCTTGTCGAGTCCTGGCAGCCCCTCCCCAGTATCCGTTGATTCCATAAACCCTAAACCCCAAACCCTAAGCCCTTCTTAACCCTCTTCTGGCTCTCTTAAACGGGGACCTTGTTCAGAGGGTCTATAGCCCCAAGGGTCCCCCGTAATCCTGTCCCTTACGGGGGGCCCTTTCTCCTGAAATCCAGGACTGGAAGGCTCTGCTGAACCGCACGAAGCTGCCTCCGCGGGAGCCGCCCGGACTTCGAACTCCGCAGTCTTCTTTCTTTCAAGCTTGAAGGGTTTTTGTGATCTTTTGTGCTATTTCTTCACGGCCAGTTCAAGTTCTCGAAGTCATGGTCCTTTGTCGGGTACGAGAAATACAAGGGTCCATGCGTTTGATGGTTTAGCAGGCACCGTACCCAAAAACGGACCCTACTTTACGGAGCCGTCTCGACTAGGGGCCCAAAACCTACAAACCATGGTTTTCTTATAGGGGCCCTTATGCCCCCAATAGTAGGATCCTTATGTTTATGTGTTGTTTTTTGTTTTTTTTTACGCCCCCTGTTGGTTGCTCTCCTGAGTCTGAGACACCCCGACACTTAGGCTCGGGGCCTGGCTGCATCTCACGCTGATGAGATGTCCAACTATCTGCCGCCACTTGGTAAGGGCTTAGGGTTGAAGGTTTTAGGGTTTAGCGTTTCGGGTTTTAGGGTTTCGGGTTTTAGGTTTTTCGGGTTTTGGGTTTAGGGGTGGAAGATCTTCAAGAGAGCGGAAGGGATTCCTTGCCCTGGGCCTTGTGAGAAGGAATCATTCCCGACGAGACAGAGCGAGCAAACTTTGAGCTCAACTTTCAGGCCAGGCCGCTTGACTGTAGGCCCAGGGAATGGAATGCCTTGTCTGTCTGATGTCCTCGAGTCCTCGAGCTTGGGAGCCGAATGCCAATCTGCAAGCTGCTGTATCTAGGAGAAGAGTGTTTGAGTTCAAGAGGTGATGAGTGGGAATGATTGGGCATGGAATGCAGGTGGCCTCCGAGCAGGCTTTCAATCTCTGCGCGACGCAACAGGAGGTGCGTGCATGGCGTGCAGTTCGCGAGCAGTTTGTAGGCTTGGTCTGGATGCATGTTAGGGTGCAAGGGGTATCACGGGGTATGTTCTTGACGAGAGGAGCGCAAGCGAATGGACGTGGGTGCCGACTACACTGCTGCTGCATGCATGGCGTTCGGAGAGAAGGCTTGGCGCGAGCTGGGCGCATCTTGTCCATTCCATTTGGCATGGCTTCGCTGTTGCAGCATGTTGCAGCAGCTTTCCTTCGCTTTTGCACAGCGGACATACAACACGATGCCAAGGACAATTGGGACAAGAGCCTTTACGAGACCGTAGCGCCATGGCAAGCAGGTCCTTAGTATTTAATTTTGAGCTCCGTACTTCAGCGCTTCGAGCCTAAAGGCTGAGGCTGAGGTGGTGAATCCTTTTCTTGGCTTGGTCAGGCCTAGGGCCTAGGAGTCAACAGCCTTGTCCAGAAGCCACCACAGCAGTACTTACTCGTACATAGACTTGACCACTTCCATTTAATGTTTTGTGCGTATCGTAGCCTCTTTTGAACCTGGTGCGCCCGATAGCTCATGTTGCTGTCGAGGAGACGGCTTTGCCGTGTATCCTGTGGAATGGACGGCAGCCTGCTGGACTGGCAGAGTTCGAACGGAGCTTCATGTCTTGTGCGGGTCTCAGCTGAAGTTTGTGCGCATGCAAGCCTCGCAAGTTATCAGCGGTTTTCGTCAGCAGATGGGTGGTTAAGGACAGCGTGTCGCGGTGTCTCCAACATTAATGTGCATTCGAAATCATGTGCACAAAAGGCAACGAGAATGCTGACAGCCGGCCGGTCGTGGCGGTTACCTTGAAAGAGCAGAGGCGCTCCCAATCGCGGACTTAGCGATCAAAAAGAAAGCATGGCCATGAGTCGAGGGTCTCCATAAGAACGGGAAGGCAGCATGTGGTATAGGGGCTTAAGGAGTAGTAGGAAGCATTAGGGAACCTTGGGTTACATATCACCCTTGATACCCCTGCGCGCTTAAGGACCATAAAAAAGTGGTAGGAGCCGCCTTGTAGATTCGTCTTGCGCAGGCGCCTGGCTGCACTCAAGGCGCTGCCGGCCGTGCTTGCCTGGCATTCCGTCCTCTTCGAGGACTGGAACATCAAGTAGAATCAGACATCAGAAGATAATGATACCAGAAAAAAGTAATACGTCCACCAGAAGCGATTCCCAAAGAGTGACTCCCCCACCAGGCCTTCGAGGACTACAGCCTTCTTCGCCGATTGCTCAGACAGGCTTGAGAAGCAGGAAGGCTGCAAAGCCGGTCGACGACCCAAGAAACAGAAGGGGGTTTACCGAAGATAGGGGGGACCCCCCCAATATATAGATCCCCAAGTAGTAAGATCCCCGAAGAATAGGGACCCCCAAGAGGGTATCCCCTTATGTTCGGAAACCCCCAGAAAGTTATAGCCCAGGCTCCCTTGTTGCCCTGGTTTGCAGTGTGACCTCAGGAGAGGATGCGCGGCAGCTCACGAACTCTGAAGCCGTTGCAAGGCGCGCAACTGTTGTGGAGTGATCTCTGCCCGACTTGGCGACAGCGAAGTCCTGACGAACCTCTCGAAGTCCCAAACTTTTTCCGACTCATGGTGTGAAGACCTCAGGCAACTAACTGAGGGCCAGCACATGCCAGCATCATGGTATGTGCTGTGGGTGCTACTCCGACGTAGTTGGGATGGGGATCTTGGTTCATGGCTGTGGTGGTTGTGGTCTTCTGTTGGCCCCTTTCTTTCAGGCTCCCCGAGCACCGCCGGGCCCTGGCCACGGAGACCCTCAACGACTTCTGCCGCTGCTTCAACGAGGCCTTCCCGCTGGTGGAGCGCAGCGCGGCAAGGAGTTGAGATGCAGAGAGGAGTCGAGAGAGTGAACCGAGATGAGACCTTACCTGGCGGCCTTATGTAAGAACCGTCAAGAGGGATTCGGATGCTGATGTAGATAGCTGCAACTACCCTGGCGTCATGCAGTGTTGTGCAGCGTGTTTGGAATGACTTACTGAAGCAGAGGGAGAGAAAGGCATGAAAAAACTCGAAGCAGCAGCAAAGCTTAGCAGGACGAAGGCCTCCAAAAAGCCAAGGCCTCTTCGAGTGCGAGGCCAATCCCTTCCTTCAGCAAGGCAAAGTTCACCTGCCGGGACCCATGACGCTCGGGGCACGACAAGTAGAGGGTGGACTTAGTGGGGTGTTCTTAGAGGTGTGAAACCTGTGAAACCTGTGAAACCTGTGAAACCTGTGAAACATGTGAAGCCTGTGAAGCCTGTGAAACCTTTGAAACCTGCCAGAACCTGCCAGAGAGCTGGGGAGCTGATCTGGGATGGGAGGGGGAGATCCAAATGATGTATCTGCATTAAATGATGTATTTTACATAATTTGCCTTGATACATTGTCTATGTATATATACATATGGTACCCCCCCCCCCCCAAAAAAAAAAAAAAAACAAAGACCTTTGCTCTTTCTGGGCCTTCGGGGAAGGGTGCCTTGCAAATGCTTCCTCGCGCTTTGACGCTTGCCTTTGAGTTCGGCACCTTTGAAGAATGAGCCGGGACGATTGCATTAGGTGATGTGTGCCCGCTTGAAGTTGATTTGTTTTGCTGCGCTCAACGTCCAAGCAGCACCCAAAATTTATGAGTTCTCGTCTGGTCACTGGGAGCGCCATGGTTTTGTTCTTGGATGTGGTTGGTGCAATACCCTACGCCAGCGCAGAAAGAAGCAGTTTGCGTCGATGGCAAGCCCCTAAACCCTAAAGCCTGAACCCTTCAACCTAAACCCCAAACACATGTTTAGGCTTTGCTGTAAGAGCGCTCGGGGCAGCTGATCACGCAATCTAGGCCACCATCCTACACCCTAAACCCCCAGAAGAGGCGTGTGAGAGGGTTTGATAGGCCTTTGGTGGTCAGCCCACGCGCCCAGGACGCCTGACACGCCGGTGATTTTCTCGTTGCCCTATGTGGCGCCTTCCGGTGAAACGGAGGCCCGAAAATTGCCTGCAGAATCGGGAGCCTGACGCTTTTCGCAGGTTTATGGAGCCCTTCATTCATGGCCTTTTGTCCCAGGCACCCACCCTGTGCACCGTACAGTTGGCCAACATCTTGCAAACTGCCCAGAACGACCTCGTGGAGGCTGGGAGATTCTGCGACATCACGAGATTGGGGTTTGGGGTTTGGGGTTTGGGGTTTGGGGTTTAGGGTTTAGGGTTTAGGGTTTAGGTTACAAACATCCTCTTCTGAGGCAGTGGAGGCAGCCCTCGGCACTGCGGCTGCGGACACCCCGGCGCTGTCGGCAGGGGATCCAAGTGAGCAGAAGCCGCGCCGAATCTGTGACGTTGAGTAGGGTTTAGGGTCTAGGGTTTGGGGTTTGGGGTTGAGGGTGAGGGTTGAGGGTTTAGGGTTTCGCCGCATGTCAACCTATCCCAGGAACCTCATTCTTCAAGGTAGATCCGTCTAGCTGTGGGTTGACCATGGCCGGCCACTCGGGTCATGAATACCAGGGGAGGAAGACAAGACGTTTATGCATGGATGATCGGACGTGCACAGGTGGTTCTCACAACTCGAGCAGTGTAATGCCTCAAGAGAAGCGCAGCCCACACAACATGATGTGTTCGGCCGAAGGGGGATCGCGGGGCCCTGGAGGATCTCCTAGTCAAAACCTGCAGTTAGCCCTCAAACCTACGAACCCTTGCAAGCCCTAAACCCTCTAAACCCTTCTTCGCCCTAGACTACACTGGCTATGCAGGTCAGTGCGGCCACGGAGCCCAAAGTGGTGGCGTCCTTGTTGGCATCGCTGGCTCCTTGGCACGGGGGCCTTCCATGGTGGGTTTATGTTTTTGTTGTTACAGCCAAGGAAGCGAACGGTTGCGTCAACGTTTGTACTTGAGGATTCGTGTTCGCTTGTCTTCTTTCCCGACTGTTGAGGTGTATTTGTTTCAGGCCAAGTGAGCAGCTTTTTTTTCTAGGAGCAAGGCTACATAGAGACGCGATCATTGAAAGTCGGCCGCGTAGCATGTTGCCTGCAGGGCGTAGGTTTGCGTAGGGTCCGTGTAGGCAAGTCTATGCAGTATGGGCGCGTAGGTCCGCGTAGGCTGTCTATGCTTGCCGAGTAGGTCCGCGTAGGCACACGTCAACAACATACTCCGCGCGTAGGCCGCGCGCCTACTAAACATGAGCTGACGCGTAGGCCCGCGTAGGATACCCATGCCATTACAACACCCCACACAATAAAAACAAAAATGCTCAAGTGTACTTGGGGATCTGTGCTTGCTGTCGTGTCACGGTTTGTTGTCACAGCGCGTCTTCTTGGCGGATTTGTGCCCGCTCATGCCTTCAGACTTAGAGCAAGCTGCGTCTACTTGGGTCTCTGTGCTTGTTGCGGTTTTGGGTTCTGCTGCCTCTAGTGCGCCTACTTGGGATTCATACTCGCATTTTTTCTTTCGGGTTTGTTTGTTTCAAGCCGTGGCAACGCCTCGATTTGAAGTACTCACTGGAGACCATTGGGCTCATTCTAGCCTGTAACTCTACGCGTCCTGTCTCCGCTGGGGCTTGCCCGCTCAACAACGAAAAGGTATCTTAGCCTTCTTCCGGTTCGCATGTCGCTGTTGGGGTCCACTGCCGAGATGATTGGTATGCTGGGACGTGAGGGTCTTGAGTCGTGACGCAAGACGCTGCTCCTCCATGTTTTTGACATGCGCTATTGGGGTTTTTGAGGGGATCCGCGGAGTAAAGTGCGTCTGAGTGTATGTGAAAGTCTGTGAACAAGCGAGCGAAGCGTTGCTGCCACCATCCCTCGCAAGAGGCTTGACCCCTGATTGCTCCCCGCGAATCCAAGGATCTTCGCTGTGACCTGCTGCCAATGTTGCACCAAAGCCGGAAAGAGACCGAGTCGTTGGGTGCCACTGTGGCGTACGACCTGGCCGCTTGGACGCCATGAACACCTCGACATGAATTTGCCCGTTGTGAGTGATCTGGGTGACCTTCCCTTCGAGCCTCGAGCCTCGCAGCTCAGGATCAGCTCGAGGAGGCTCTGACGCAGCACTTCCGAGGAGCTGCGCGCATCCAGGTCGAATGACACTGGGAGGCACATAGGGCGCTCACGTCACGGCTTTGAGAAAGGTGCAGCTGCGACACTACCGCTTTGGCGGAGAGCTGAAGGACAGGTTGTACACTGGTTGTACTGAAGCTGCAGATTGCGCATGCTGCTTACACATGCTGCACCTCTACATGCGAGCTGAGGGGTTGTGGAGCTTGGCCCGAGCTCAGGTATCTCTAAAACCAGCGCACAAGGATCGCTGAAAGCGGCAATACCTGCTGCAATGAACATCGTGTGCCTGGCCGCGCTGCTGTTGCTGCAAACACACCTGGTCCACTCCGAAAATTGTAAGTCCGCATCGTACGCATATTGTTGCGAGCTGGGCACGCCCTGCGACTGCAAAAAGGGGACGACTTCCCCAGGCCAGTGCACGCCGGCGGCCTATGGCTTTTGCTGCAGCATTGGCACGCCTTGCGATTGCTCTCAGCCTCCTGAGCAAGATGTTCCTGTGGAGCCTGCGCGAGTCTCCAACATGTCACTTCCCTCCCGTATGCAGAATTGTGCAGCGCCTGGTGACTGCGGCCTGGCTTACGAAGCCTGCTGCGCCGGGTTTGCGGCCAAGGGCTTCCCGTGTGACTGTCAGTTGAAGGACGGCCACGGTGAGGCGGGGTCGAGCTGCGGAGACTGTGGCGCGGCCTACTCGGTTTGCTGCGCTGGCTTCAAAGCTCAGGGATCTCCCTGCACCTGTGATGTTGAGCCCGGCCAGTTGGGAGCTACAGTTGTGGTCTGAGGCCGAAGCCGGTTTAGCCTCGCCAGAGTAGGCCCAAAGGGTGGTGACATGCTGCAGTTAGTAGCTGCAGGCAGTCCAGTTATGGAACTTAATGGAAAACGTGGAAGGCTTGCCAGACTGTGCTCTGAGAGCAGTTGCTGTTTCAAGGCAAAAAAGGTGCTCATCTTGTTAGCAGGCCCCCCGGGGCCGCATGAAGACGCAGAGGTCTTCAAGGTTAAGCGCCAAGCCGCTCGACTGCTGAAGGACTCTGGTCGTCTCGCAGTTCTTCGGCAACGGCTTCCACAGCAACCCTTGCCCTTTGGAATGGTGGAGGTCAGAGTTGGGATGGGTTCCCGTGCATCAGGCATAGCATATTTCACGGAGTTCGTTGCTGCAGGAACTCCGGCGAGAGCTGGAGCGGCGGGGTGACGCTGACGAGGCGCTGGTGATAGGCATCAACAATCTGCTTTAAATGCGGTCAACGACAAAGGGAGATACCGGAAGAGTGAAAGTGCAACGGCACGGAAGACCCAGAGTACGAAGCGGTGGCAGAAGGCGGACTTTCGAAATCCATAGCAACGACAAGTAAACAAGGAAAGACTTCATAAAACTGGCGCAGACAAGGTTGTCGTTGCTCTGATTACTCGTCTTCCTTACTCACGGCGGATGATCATTGCTGCAGCTAGAAGCAGTGAAGATATTGGCGTCAATATTAAGTACTTCTAGGATTCGCATGACTGTGCCTTGTTATTTACACAATGATCGTTGTGAGTATGCTTACCTACTCCTAGTTGCCTATGGCCTATGGCTTCCTGATTACCAAGCTTGCACTGATGATTGACATATGCTTCCCACTCAGGAGTAGCTTGATACATGCCACGTTTATTCATCCTGCCCTCCCCCCACCCCTCTCCTCACACGATGCCTGGAGCCTGGGGCCTCTGGACACACCTGGACAAGCTTCCAACACCAGGCCACGCTGCAGCTGCGCGCGCTCGTGGAAGATGTCATAAACCTCTGACACTCGGAAGTTCACTTGAGCTTTGTCCTGTCTGTTTTGAACAGAACCGAAAGTCACTCCGTAGTCATTTCATCTCCATTTCAAGACTTCGTTTTGGCTGCTCTTGAGCTATCTTTGCAAGCGAAGGTCTTTCGCTGGGCTCTCTGGGCAAAGCGGGCCGCGCTGCGGTTCCTTGGATATGCCTTCCACAAGGAATTCAACGCAGAATGCATGTTAGATATGATACGCATGATATATAAATATATATATATATACACATACACATATATGGAATATGTATCATCACAATACACATAACTACATATATATATATATACCCATGAGATGGATTCTATGTAGAGATTTACATATATATATATACACACATACACGTATCTGTGAAATAGTGCATCGTGTGATTGAGGTGCATGCAGAAACGCCACTGGCAGAGTTGGTAGATGCCTCGGCGGAGGGGGCGAAATTACCGCAGGCGCGTTTGATATGTACGGTGAAGGTCAATTTGTTGAGCTGCCAAGTGCAAAAATCATTCTCGCGACCTGCCTTGGAGACCACGTGAACCCTAAAAGGGTTTATGGTCCGTATACTCCAAAAACTGCAACAGGAGCATAGTATTAATCGCAAGGTGCTTCTTAAAGGTACGAATATATTTCAATTGGGATATTTCGGGCACGTCGCGAGGAGCAATGGTTTGTTTGAGGCCTGCCAGATCGGGCTTTTGATGCTCCTTTGGCCCGATCTATTGGGGCCTGGTCGGAGCTAGTGCTGGCATGAGAATATTGCTGTGCATCATCGGTGAGGAGAAGACGATAGTCACAAAAAAAACAATGGAATAGTATTGTCACGATGTGCTGATCTAGGGGCCCTCTGAACTCCATGTCCTTCTCTGACACCAGGAAGACCAAACTTCCTAACCGTACGGTCCCTTAACCACATGCTGCATTTGAGCTAGACTAGGACCCCGTGGACATGCACATGGAGCTGAGACTGAACGATCGGAGTCCGTAATGGCATGTCATGGCGTTGTTCTTGCACAAACGTCGAAAAGAATCTTGCCTCGATGACAAGGGGACAAATGGTGACAAGTTATTCGTGATTCCGAGGCAGCACCTAGTTTGTGATTTTGCAAAGTTTAAGGACACTCTGCCTAGCGATACAGGCTGCCCCGAAACCGAAGCCTTAAACCTGGGCATTGGGAGGGGTCAAGGGGGGGGGGGGGGTGGCCTAACCGGAGGCCCGGATTGTTTGAGAGGGGCGGCGGGGGGGGGGGGGGCCTTCAATCATCTTTGAAAGAGATATATTTTGACAACGCAACGTCCAAGCACCTCGCCACGCCGAAGAGCCGACTGGGGTCAAGGGTTGGGGCTTCTCTTCTTTCTGCCTTTCTGTCTTTTTCTCTCTCCTCTCTCTCGCTTCTGTCTCTGTCTCTGTCTCTCTCTCTCTCGCTCTTCTCTTTTCTCTCTTCGCTCTCACTTTCTCTCCTACCTCTTCTCTCTTCTCTAGTAGCTTTTCCCTTTCTCTCTCTCTCTCCCTGGTCTGTCTCTCTCTCTCTCTCTCTGTCTCTTCTCCCTTCGCATCTCCCCTTTGTGGTGCGCTGTTACGTGTTGAGGGTGTTCAGATTATTTCCCAAGCCTGACGTTGGGCAGTACTCTGCCCAACCAGCACGCAAGCAGGCCCTTCGCGGCCGTGCCCAGCTCTGCCACTTGCAGGATCTGCGCGAACCTCAGAACTATCTTGGAGATTCATGGGTACTTGTAACCCCAATTAGAAGCCTACTTATAACCTAATTACTTAGAGGAACTTAGGGGACTTAGGGGGTTTATCCGTGCAGTTATAATTGGGGTTATAAGTACCCTGAACCTCAGAAGTATCACAGTGCCTTCCAGGAGCCAAGCGCGCACTTTCCGGAGGTACATGGAGCTGGTTGCCTCCAACCATGCTGGCGACTCGCTTGCGGCAGTTGCGCTGGCATACCAGGAGACATGAAACCAAGCCCTCCGGGGCACGAGTGCTGCACCAAAGTGGTGTCTCCACCGTGTTCACCCCATACGCAGGCTCAGCAGCCCGGTCCCCCCATATGGGGGTTTTCAGAATTTGAGGGGGTACCCTATTCGGGTCCTCTTTAGAAGGGGATCCTACTCTTTGGGGAATATAACCCTAAACCCTAAACCCTAGACCCTAAACCCTAAACCCTAAACCCTAAACCCTAAACCCTAATGTTTTCTTGGGAGGAGCCCCTGGAGCCCTCATCAGCGGCCGCTCTGGCTGCCTCCGCTGCAGAGTTGGCAGACTGGCGGCCTGTGCCCTCTCTTAATGGGAGTTTAGGGTTTAGGGTTTAGGGTTTAGAGTTTAGGGTTTAGGGTTTAGGGTTTAGGGAGAAGAGGGAAGTCAGAAGCTTTTCTCCCGAAGAGTTGAACGCGTCGTTTGCAACCCGTGATGCCTCAATGGGAGGTGCTGCACGATCTGCTCGCTGAGCAGCGCCTCGGAGAAATTCTACATGGTCTAAACACCACAGTGTGCGCGGTGTGGGTGGAACTGACAGATGGCTCTTGCACCCAGGCTAATTGTTGATCGCTGGCCAGCAGGCATGATTGTTTTCGCGACCATGAGCAATGTGTTGAGCGTTTCTTGAGTGGATGCACGATGTTGCAGGCTCCTCGCTGAAGGAGTTCCTGGAGTTTGCGGCAGGAGCCGCGCTGAGTCCAGGGGCAGATGTCGCCGCAATGGTTCTCGCGATGCTTCGCAGCTCGTCGCGTTTCAGACTGTTTTGAATTGCTGCAGTCATTTCAGGCGAACCTCCTCCAGACTGTTTCCCGGAGTCTCTGGAGCTTCGGCATGCTCTCGCAGTCTACCGGGCGCTGGCGACAGCCCTGGCAAGTGGATCATAGTGCTTTTGGAGCTGGGCAGCGATCCTCCTCCAGCAAGCCTCCAGCATCTTCAAGATCAATGACAGGCGGCCTGAAGGGACAGGGCATGTTTTGTTGACCGAGTTCCACAAGTCCTGGCGAGGATCCTCGAGAGACTCGAGCTGCAGATCCCCAACAGTGCTGGCCGCTGATGATTGGCAGACGTGTAGCGACGGACTGCCGTACTGCTTCCCTGCCAATACGGCTACGTGTGCGGTGCCCTTAGTGATATGGAGCCGTTCTGAGATGTCGATCTTGGGTCCTAGTGGGTACTGGGGCGGTTTGAGCCATGGGCTATGGGCACGGATTGATTCTTGATGGAGTCGCAGAAAAGTAGTGCCAAAGGCGTGAGAGATAGCTCCGGATGCTTTGATCCCATGGGTTCCTGTTGTCGCGCACGAGGCCTTGCAATCTTATTGTGTTCCCGTCTTTTGCAATCTCAAGCCATAGCAGCAGATCCTGAAACTCAAGTGGGGCGCAGAGCTTCATCGGCCAAGCGTCCACCATGGAGGCAGCAAGGAGCCCACGGTCAACCGCTGTGTAAGCCGGGGCGTAGCATACATCCCTTGCGGTCCATGTCTGCTAAAGGGTAAGAAGCCGGGAACCCAGGCCTCAAGCGCAACCTGTCCCCCTTTCCTGCAGGAGTCCTGCAGTCACAGGCGCTGTGTCCGCGTGGCATGCGCAGGCAAGGAACCCTTGGGAGATCGGTTGTTTAACGCAAGTCCAGCTGAAGCAGTGGGCATTCTGCAGGAGGCCTTCGTGACAGCACCCCTACTCTCGCAGGCGCTTAGGGTTTAGGGTTTAGGGTTTTAGGGTTTCCGGGTTTCAGGGATTCAGGGTTTCAGGGTTTCAGGGTTGCTCGAACTCCACGCCCCAGGATGTGCGGAGGCATGCCAATGGCCAGCGGCTGGGTGCGCACCACCACAGGGTCATGTTTGTGAAGCATGGGTCTGTAATCCAGAGGAGAGGTTCCGATCGCGAGTGTGTTGCTGAGTTAGGCAGATCCCTTCAGCAGGTCAGCCAGGGCGCACGCATGCGCTTGCATGCAGTACTGGCATGCCTGGATGTACGAAGGGATCGTCACCCATGTCCGCAGAGAATCTGGCCCAAGCTATCCGCATACCACTGAGATGCTTCAGCTGCGGCACGTGCCCTGTCGCATTGATCGGCATATACAAGTGCTTGAGAAGCAGGGAAAGCTGATGTAATGTTCGCCCGCTTTTGAGTGAAGCTGTGTGAAGAAGTGCTGGGCACGGGAGACAGTGCCTTAAAGGCGAGAGCTTCTCTGCGTCTGGGCCGCGCCCGGGAGTTGGGTTCCTTGGCATGTCTGAGACTGGCGGGGGGCCGAAGATGCTGAAGATGCCTGGGTGTCCCAACTAAGGGCGTGCTCTGGTGATAAGGCAGGTGGCATTCACGTCCACTGCACTGCGCCCTTCCTTTTTTTTTGGGGGGGGGGGGGTGATTCTGGGCGCCGTGGGGGCTGAGCTGTTGGGAAGGTCGTGCGCGGGCGATGCTGCAACGCCTCATCGCGCAGAGACGGCTCGTCTCTTTGAAGCGAAGTCGCCTGGAGCAGATTGGTGGGGGACAACTGCTCGCAGCCTTGTTGACCAGCCAGAGGCCACCAGAAAAGATATCGCAAGAGACCGAGAAGTCCATCAGACATGCCTCTATGCTGATGGCTGGTGGCATGGGTGCTGCGTTCATGGGAACCTTGGCCTTCTCTTCGACAGTCAGAGGGAGAAGGAGTGGGGGGTTCGGGCGTGGGGTATGCCAGGGTCGTCCTGCAAGCCAGCCGGTGGGTTTCATGGACGGGAGATCTCGAGCAGAAGAAAGAAGAATAACAAAACAATGAAGATGAGACGTGTGAAGATAGTGCGTAGAACTCATGCTGAAGACAGGCAGAAGAAAAAGCTAGAAGCAGAAGATGGTTGGCAGAAGGTCTTTGCAGAAATTGGAGTGAGGGGGAGGGGGGGGGGTTGGAGGAGCCGGAGGAGAGTAGGAGACAGCAAGTGCGAGAGTGCGAGATTTCAGTGACTGACATGAGGGTTCCTGCTTTGCTGAGTCTTTTCCGGCTGCGCCATCACGTGCAATGAGGAATGGCACCGTTCGCCAGCCCCAATTTCTTCATGATAGGCAAGATGCTGCGCGCATTTTTGCCGAGTCTGGGTGTGCACAAGTCTCAATTCCGATCCGATAGGAGAAACCAATGTCGCGGAGTATGAATGTGCTTTGAGACAAAATCCCTGCTTTGAACAACTGCAGGTTTACTGGCGGCCATGGTCCAATGCCACATGGGTTATGCTTACATGCAGCGGATTTACTGGACACAGAGGAGGCGGTACGTTCTGGAGATCACAAGAGAGGAGGACCAAGTCGATCAATTACTCAACTGCTTGCTTTTGGGCTTTAGGTTCAGGCTTTAGGGCACATACGCAACAGGGCCATGGCTAGTGGCATGCATGGCAGATGAAGCATGCCGTGGCGCAGGACTCGAATGGAAAGGTCGTCGCCGGCCTGAAATTTTGGTTGTCCGAGTCTGATTGGCATGGGCTCTTTGGTCTGAGTTGCCGTTTGCGCAGATGTTGCTATGCTGAGATACTGCACATCATTCGTGAACTCTAAGCGTGATGGGGTAGTGGCTGTTGAGCCTTTGCACGTTTTTCTTCATCGTTCTGCCAGAGCGTCGTGGTGACCTGCGATGCTGGCGTCGAACGGCGCTTTGCGCTGACCGACGAGGCTGGCCACTGGCGGCCCGATGGCTTACATTTCTTCGCCACAAGCCGCCTAGTGCTGCCTCACTCACGTAGTACCCATGCCAAACCAAGTACTCTGACCAGGCCTTTTGGTCCCAGCCCCAGCCCCAGTTCCCTTCACCTTGGTTTGCCAGACCCCCATGCAGCCCAAATCCCCCCAAGAAGCTCCAAACTCAACGTGCCGCGTAGAGGCTTCCTGAAACCCTAACCCTGAGCTCTAAGTCCTCAAAAGTCCGTTCGAACAGTCCCGCTCACGGACCTAGCCTCTCCTTCAAGTACCTTCAAAGTGACGGATTGAGTGGAGTCCTGGAACTCAACTTGCCAAGGGCCAGGAGCGTTCAAGAACTTCGACGAGCCCTGAACCCCAAACTGCCTAAACTGCTTTTTTTCGCTTAAACTGCCTAAACCCTAAACGCATTCTTGTAGCCTTGGCATGGCTGTTGCGATTCGCAGTCCTCACAGCTAGCCACTTTTTGCAATCTGCCTTCATGTTCGGTCTTTTCACGTGCTTACTGCGTTCGCTTAATGACCCTTTCGTTTTTTTGCAATAAATGGGCCAAAAGACCTCATTGAGTTTCCACGGTCTTTTGGAGAGCGAGACAAGAGAAACATGAGGGTCACTTGTCACTAGCGGTTCAGAGGAATCAAAAATGGAGACGGTCTCCAGCGATCATCTCTTACACCCCGTGCATTCGTTTGGAACTTTCGTTTACTTGTTTTTAATCGCGCACAAACTCATTCAGTTCATTGAGCTCTGTCCAGCAGTTGACAAGATGTATATGTATATATGTATATGTATATGTGTGTAGATGGTTCGTGTCATGCAAGGACGGGTTATGAACACATGCTTCTGTGACAGGCCGCTTCTCCGTCCCTGGCCGCTTCTTGGACCAAGTTCGCGGCTGTTCCACTCTACCCCTGACTAACTGCATCAAACTGCTGCAGCAGCAGCAGCAGCTGTCACACCAAGGACATCATAACCAAGGGTGGCACCTTCATGTTCATAGACAAGCAGGCAGGCAGCATCCTCCAGCAAGAGGCCGTGGGCGCTGGAATGGCCGAGTTGTTCACTGGGTTGTCTTTGGCGCATGTTTGTACTTGGGAAGTTCCCCCTGATGCTAGCAGTCCTTGATAGGGATTCTAGTACCGCCTATCACGATCCTATTAAGGACTGGTTCTGGTACCCCTTACCTTATCATAATCCCTATTAAGGACTGTTAGTATAAGGGGGAACATCCCAAGTTTGTGGTGTGAAGCGGACGCGATGCAGATGCTGGATGAGCTGCTCCAGTCTGACCGCGGTATTCAGGATGAAAAGGCTCGGCAAGATTGTGTTCTGACTAACTGCAGAGATGTCTTATAGTCCTAAACAACGATGATCATCTCAGACCGCAACGTCTTCAATACACTTCGATGGATATCGCACTTGATGGGCCACTGTCATGTGCTACAGGCTTGCTATCAAGACACTTGTGTGTGTGTCCTGCGCCCAGCTCCGAAGGTGACAGCAAAGCCTGCCCAAGCCTCACTGACTTGGGTGGTGTTGTGTCGTTGGCCGTTGTGCTGTGGCTCTGATCCGAAATCAAGATGTAGACGCACCACAGCAGCACGACTGCTCATCGGGCTTGCTTTCGTGTTCCGCCCTATGCTGAGGTGATGGAAGAGACCGCGGAACAATCTCTCAGGACGATCTGCTCGATCTTTGCGACGCAAGTCGTGTGGTGAATGTAAAACATCAGGCGTCCCCTCACATCTCATGTGCAGCGCAGGATCGTTCAGAAGTTCAAGGAGTTGACCCTCGAGCAACTTGCCGGCACACTCGGGCCCGCGCAATCAACCTCGGAGCCAGCGTGGTGACACAACAGCAGAACAACACATCTGCTGGAGGGTTTAGGGTTTAGGGTTTAGGGTTTTAGGGTTCACCTGTGCCACGGCACCAGGCATCTTGACAAGATCCCAGAGAAGGACTTGGAAGAGCCAGGGCAAACGTAAGTCTGGGCAGTCCTGCGGACATTCTGATGGTTGGTCATGTTCCGGAGGACAACACGTCTTCACCGCAGGAGGCCGCGCCGCAGATGGGTCTGATGATATGGAGCCTTTGAAATCGTGCAGCGGAAGCCCTGAACCCTCAACCTTCAACCCTAACCCTATCCGAGCCTTGTGGCGGTTTCCGAAATTCGGGGGGTACCTTATTGGGTTCCTTAGTATTCGGGAAGCCTATCATTTGGGCCCTTATTCTCGCAAACCCCCCTTGTCAGGGCCTACGCCAGCTCGAGAGAGCGGCCCAGATCGCCGGGGCGGGCTGCATGGTTGGTGGATTGTTTCTATGGGCCTGGCACCAAGTCTCGGTATTCTCCGGGGCGAACCTCAACTCTTTAGGGTTTAGGGTTTAGGGTTTAGGGTTTAGGGTTTAGGGTTTAGGGATTCTCCTTCTGCCGCATCAGGCATGCTTCTGCTTCTTGTGTTGCAGGTCCTGGGCGACTGGAGTGCGCAAGCTGCCATTCGGGCGGCTGCTGAAAACTACAAGCCTCAAGCAACCCTCATGCCAGAGGGGGCGAACGCTCCACCGATGCGCAGCCCACATTCTAGGGCGGCGCAATGAGCAGAAGATTCTCGGGCCCTGGCAAAGTGATTAGGTTCTTTTGACTCCAACCCCAGGCCCCTTGAATCAAAGAGAGTGCTGTTTAGTCTCACTGCTGTGACCCTGTGCTACTGGCCATGTCCTCCGATCGTTGCAACATGATTTGCATCTCAACACCTAAACAGCAGGCTCTTGTACAAACGTGTCGCCTGCGCTGGCAGGGTTCACGAGTCCCTTTTGGGTTGCCATGAAAGAGCCTATGTACCTGAAGCCACGATCTTATGTGTAAACGCACTTGTGACTCGTGACTCTGTTCCCACGTGCGGCTCCATGAGCTTCAGAGTGTACTTCCCCGAAGGCACCGGGGAAGGTGATCGCGCAACGGTCTGCACAGGTTCGCCAAGATCTTCGGCCCTAAATTGCACGTCTCGTAGTTGTACTTCGTCCCCACACCTCGCCCTGCAGTTTCCTGCGTCTTTCCTCATCGACTCTGTTGGGTGGTTGCAGGTTGGTTGGCTGACACAAGGATTGGTTGACACAGCTCTCAATCCCCAAAAGCCCTAAAAACCTTAAGCATCCTTAAGCCCCTCGCAGGCACCGCCTCAGGCACCGCCAACTGGGCCCCGACCGTGGGAGTCGCTGCGGTAGCCGCTGCAGCAGCGGTCAACCGCGGTCGCCGTGACCGGCCGGGGCCCAGGGCAGTGTGGCAGCTCGTTTTGGGGCCTCATGTCTGCTCTTTCTCTGGTTTCTATGCCTGTACACGCGTAGGGTTTGGCTCTGTGTATCACAGAGATTAGGTGGCCAGAGAGTGCGTGTGGCTCTCGTCTGAGGCTCAGCCGCCGAGCACTTGCTGAGCGTGGCGAAGCGCCCCGCCAATCGAAGACCAGCAGGCGATCTCTAGTGGCTGGATGAGGGCTAACCGGAGCAGGTACACCCGTCGTCTGAGTATGTAGTGACAAAAGATGCAGAAACATCCAAAACCAATATTTTATTGAGTATGCAGTGGCAAAGATGCAGAAACAACCAAAACCAATCCTTTATAACTTTCCAGATAAAGTTTGGCGGGTGGCATTCATCCCTAAGCCGTTTAATCACCGTGTCGCCGATAGTCCCCTGTAGCCGTGCGTCCCCTGGCTAGGTCGGCAGTCACCGAGAAGCTTGTGACCAGCATCGATCCTTCTGCGGGACCAGAGGGCACGTGCCCTTGCCAAAAGCCAGACAATTCAAGCAGTGATCTCTGCATGATGCACTGGGGGTTGAGCTAGACTATGAGCTTGTTTGGGTAGCCTAGCCTAAAAGGAATATACCAAGATAGAGACCGTATTCACAGGCCTACAGTCTAGATCGACCCTCGCATGCTGAACCCTTGGTAAATATGTCTGAGACGCAACTCATAGCTCACGAAGATCTTATCGCTATCTCGCCTGTCATTCGCCTTCCTTCATTCATCTTTTTGTGGTCTCACTCCTTTTCAGAAGTGAATCAAGCGGACGAGTTCAGCTCATGAGATGTATGAAGATCTGACCGCAACTTGCGCAATCGACTGAGGGAAGTGCCGGAGATTCGACGTTGTGCACAAGCCTGAACATGTTTGCGATGCAGATGCCACGTCGAAGTGTAGAAGGGAAGCGTAGCGCTGCTTCAAGGTTGTTGAGAGAACTCCTGTTCGCAACTCGTAGTATAGGTATGATTATTCTTAGTAGTAACATCAGTACTATTAATATTCTTAATGTTATTAATGTTATTCTTCACAGTATTACTACTATTATTCGTCCGCGCGCAGAGTCTTCTCCAGGTACCAGGTGGGTATCGACTTCAAGAACTGGCTGCAGTCAGCCGAGGAGGAGCTGGAGGCCTTGCCTCGCACTCTGGATTTTGGGACCCCTCTTTTGTTTGTTTTTTTTGTATATGTGTTTATATATATATTTTAAGGGGCTGCGCCCATGGGCGGGCAGCGCACGCAGACGCCTGGGGCGAGCAGTTTCTAAGCATGTTGAGGCCGCTGAGGCCCCTAAACTCCCTTAAAATCTCTAAGCGTTAAGTTTCTAAGCATTTTCAGGCCCCTAAACTCCCTTCAAATCTCTAAGCGTTTGAGGCTCCTAGACTCCCTTAACGTTTCTAAGCACTTTATAAGGCCCCTAAACTCCCTTTTTCCTAGCCCCGGGCTTAGACACGTCGCTTATGCCCGCCCTTTGGGGGGCATCATGCTCCTGATGCGCCCCCGGGGTCCCGCCCCGGGAGCCGCTGATGCTCCTGATGCGCGCCTGGGGGTCCCGGGCTGGACCCGCTGATGCTCATGATGCGCGCCCTCTGGGGGCCTCCGTGGCGACGCAAAAAACCACGAAAAAAAAACCGTTCACCGGCGGCACGCGGGGGTCGGCGGCACTGGCGTCCGGCCTAATTCTGCTTCGCAGAAGGCCAGAGGCCAGCAAGGCTATTCCCGGGACGACCCGGGCTAAAAGGTCCGCATTTGCTCGGTCCTTTGGGGACCTCGCGCTGCCCGATTTAATGGCTACCGCCAGTGCCGCCGACCCCAGACCCAACAAGACAGTCCTCTGATGTGCTTTGGGGTGGGGGGGGGTGGGGTGGGGGGGGGGGTGGGGGGGGTGTGGGGGTGAGGGGGGGTGGGGGGGGGTGGGGGGGGGGGGGGGGGGGGTGGGGGTTGGGGGGGGGGGGTGGGGGGGGGGGGTGGGGGGGGGGGGGGGGGGGGGGGGGGGTGGGAGGGGGGGGGGGGGGGGGGGGGGGGGGGGGGTGGGGGGGGGGGGGGGTCGGGGGGGGGGGGGGGTATGGGGGGGGGGGGGGGGGAGCAATGGGGGGGGGGGGTGGGGATCATAATGGGTGGGGATCATGGGTGTTGGGGGCCAGAAGGGGTGATGGGTTGGGGGGCGGGGTGGGGGGGCTTGGGGGGGTGGGGGGGGGGGGCGGAGCGGGCGGGGAAAACGGAGGGCGGAGGGGCATGCAGTGAGAATTAGCTTCAAGGGCATGGAGGGTAGGTGGGACAGGGTGGGGGTGGCCCCCCTGATTTTTAAGAACCTAGGCTGAGTCTTACTCCACCGCCCAAGTCCCAGCCCCCCCAATGCACGCCCGCGCCCCCTCTTTCCACCCCCGCCTCCCCCACCCCCCCCAACCCCGTCCCCACCTGCTCAAGTCCCGCCCACCCCCCCACCCGCCCAGCCTCCCCTACCACCCCATCCCCACCAACCCCCCCGCTTCCCGCCTCCCCTACCCCCGTGGCCCCCGCCCCCCCACCCCCACCCCGTCCCTACCCACCCCCCCCAACCTCCCCACCCCCCTTCGTCAAAGCTCCGCCCCCCTGCCCCCCCCCGCCCACCCCCCCCGCCCAACCCACCCTTACCCCACCTACGCCCCCCCCCCTTCCCCATCCCCCCCACCCCACCTACTCCCCCACCTGCCCAAGTCCCCGCCCCCCCCCCCCCCCCCCACTACCACCCTACCACCCCCCGTCCCACCTACCCTCCATGCCCTTGAAGCTAATTCTTAAGTGCATGCCCGCGCCCCCGCCCCCTCCGTTTTCCCCCGCCCGCCCCCCCCCCCCCCCCCCCCCCCCCCCCCCCCCCGCAAGCCCACCCCACCCCCCAACCCATCACCCCTTCTGGCCCCCAACCCCCATGATCCCCATGGACCACCCCGCCTGCATGCCCTTGAAGCTCATTCTTAAGGGCTCCAGTGCATGCCCGCGCCCCCTCCGTTTTCCCCGCCCCCTCCACCCACCCCCCCTTCCATGCCCTTGAACCTAAGCTGAGTCTTAAGTGCTCCACCGAGCCTTCCCCTGAGTTTTATGCACCCCCGCCACCCCCCCCCCCAGCCCCCCCTCCCTAAACCCAAACCCTAAACCTCAAACCCTAAACCCCTGTCTGTATGCCCCCCTGTGCCCCATGCCCTTGAAGCTTCTTAAGTGCCCACACCCCCTCCGTTTTCCCCGCCCGCTCCGCCCCCCCCCCTTTCCATGCCCTTAAGTGCTCCCACCGAGCCCCCCCCCCTGAGTTTTTAAGGGCTCCAATGCACCCCCGCCAACCCCCCCCTCCCGAAACCCAAACCCTAAACCTCAAACCTTTGTGGCCCAGCCCCCCCCCCCTCCACCCACCCCCCCCTTCCATGCCCTTGAACCTAAGCTGAGTCTTACTCCACCGCCCAAGTCCCAGCCCCCACCCCTGAGTTTTAAGGGCTCCAATGCATGCCTGCGCCCCCTCTTTCCACCCCCCGCCTCCCCCACCCTCCCCACCCCCCCCAACCCCGTCCCCACCTACTCCCAAGTCCCGCCCACCCCCCCACCTCCCCTACCCCCCCCCCACCCCGTCCCCACCAACCCCCCCACTTCCCGCCCCCTACCCCAACCCGTCCCAAGTCCCCGCCCACCCCCCCCCCCCACGCCCACCCCCCCTGTGCCCCCCCACCCTTACCCCACCTACGCCCCCCCAACCCCCGTCCCCACCTACTCCCCCACCCGCCCCAAGTCCTGCCCCCCCCCCCCCCCCCCCACCCGCCCAGCCTCCCCTGCTGGATAAGACGATTAGATTAGGCAGGTTATAACCCTGCTTATAAGTCGGGCAACCCATGTTGTAACCCCGATAACTTGACCCAAAGTTCACCCCTAACTTCTCTACTACTTATATCCTTACTTACTGGGGTTAGGGGTGAGTTATGTAAGTGTGCCAGGGGAGTTATAAGTTAGTTAGGGTTTAGTTATAGTCAAGTTAGGGTCTAGTTGCGGGTTCGCGTTATTGTTGCTTCTGCAGAAGCCATTGTTGGCTGAGAGCGGGTCATTTTTTGGTGGCAGCTTTACTGTCCATGCGTGCGCTGAGTGTGGGTTTAGCGAGGATGGCTGGCGTTGTCGTTTGAGGTCAGCGCAGGAAGTGTTCTGAAAGAGAAACGTCAGTCGCACGTCTTGCTGCCATTTGCTGTCGTTTGTGTTCAAGCCGAAGTGTCAATTGGGGTCATGAACGCAATACGGAGATCGCACCACGAAAGGGTGGAGCGACGGCGCTTGCAGCTGATATCCTTTGCGAGGTATTGCATTTTCAGTTCACACCATGCCCACCCTTTCGTGGTGCGATCTCCGTATTGCGTTCATGACCCCAACTGACACTTCGGCTTGAACACAAACGACAGCAAATGGCGGCAAGACGTGCGTTTGTTTTCAGCTTTGGGGCCCTGTCGGCCCGGTGTCGGCCTGTGTCGGCCCGCTTCGGGGACTACGCTGGCTGGCCCTGGGTCCGCGTGTCGGCCCGTGTCGGCCCAACGGTTTTCCATGGTTATTACTAAGGATTTTAACGGTTTCCCTTTGTCGGCCCGTGTCGGCCCATCGGCGCGCATGATTAGGTGTTTGGGCTCCTGTCGGCCCGGTGTCGGCCTGCTCTGCCAGCCAGATCCCAAAAAACCATGTTTCCTTCCGAAAAAGCATGTTGACTGTCGATGCTCCTTCTGAGTCTTGGTGACGACTGAATGAGTTTCCTGGTTTGCCCGAAGCAGCTGGCTCAGTCCTTCTTGTCTTCTGCCTCGACTCCTTGAAGCCATGATGGCCGAGGTGCACCAGTATGAGGCTGAAGACCCCTTGCCGGCCCAAGAAGATGCAGAAGCTTCTCCGGGTGAGGCGTTGGTGCCAGCACCGAAGAAGGAAAAGCTTTGCCAGCTTTTCCGCTGTGTCTGCAGCCCCGACCTGGCCGATAGTGTTTCTTCTTTCCAGCCTTGCCAGCAGAATCCCTGGACCACGCCTGCCTGGCAGCGGCTCACCTCCTCTGCTTGCATTGAAAAATTTCGGTCCTACATGGCAAGCCATCAACACCTTGAAAGACAGAAACACACACGGGCGAAAACATAGTTAGGTCGAAGTTACGGATCCACCCTAACTAGGTTATCAGTTACTTAACATAACTAGAGTATAAGTCACTTATAACCCCCGTAACCGAAACGTCTTATCCAGTACCCCCGCCCCCGGCTCGGTGGAGCACTTAAGACTCAGCTTAGGTTCTCAGCTTAGGTTCAAGGGCATGGAAGGGGGGGTGGGTGGAGGGGTGGGGGGGGGCTGGGCCACAGGGGGGGTGGGGGGTGGCGGGGTAGCGGGGTGGGGGGGTGGGGGGTTGGGGGGGGGTTGGGGGGGGTGGGGCAAGCGGAGCAAGAGAGGATTGGAGCCCTTTAAATCATCTGATCAGGGGACCATGATGGGGCCATGAGCCACTAGGGGCCAACGAAGCGGGCATGCTTTAATGGGGCCAGTCCATGGGGGGGGTGGGGTAGGGGAGCATTGGGTCTTCACTGACGCCGCCCCCGGCTGGGGTCGGCGGATATGTAAATAAAATAAAATAATATAATATAATATAATATATAGTATATATATATATATATATATATATTTATTTGTTTATTTATTTTGTTTTAAGGGGGGGGGGGGTGGGTGGGGTGTTCCGCAAAAAAACATCAGCCTGGAGTGGGGAGGGAAGAGCAAATAACCAGAACGCTTGTCAGGTGGATGGACTGCGCGTTGAGGGCCACATCCCTGCGTGGCTGCGTGGTAACCTGGCCCCGGCCCTTGGGGACATGAGCCCGGCGTGCTTTGATCTTTAGGCTTGAGGGCTTTTTTTTGGAATTTGGGGTTGGGATGTCCCCCCTTATACTAGCAGTCCTTAAAAGGGATTATAATAGGGGGTACTATATAGTCCTTATTAAGGCCTGGTAATGTAAGGGGGAAGTTGCGAAGAACGTTTATGTCCCTCGAACCTCTGCTGCTTCTGTACGTAGAGACAAATGGCGATCTGCTCCTCATTGCAGCCTGCCGTAGCTTTTGGGTCAAATCGGCCAAACTTGAACCATGTCCTGCAAGATCCCGCAAGACTGCAACAAGAAACAGTTGAACGTCGCACAAGCTGTCGCTCCCACCAAGCATTCACATGCAGTTTGCCCAGTGTTAACACCGCTCGCCTGCCATCTTGCTTCAACATGCTGAGCGAGACGACAGATGAGGAGGAGGAAACAAGGGGCACTTGCGGGCAGGGTTCAAGTGCAGTGTGACTGTGTGCAGCACGCAACACCCAAGCCTGCTGACGAGGACCTGGAGGAGTCTGTGCCATCTGGGCTGAACCGCTGCCTCGAAGAGCGGGATGTCTTTGCGGAAGAAGAGGCCATCTGACGTTTGCCAGGTTGCGCTGGGCCGAATTCTGGCCCCTGAGTCTCAGGCACTGCTGCAGCCACGGCGCGAGCGCGGAGTGCCAGGACGGAAAACGTCGTCAGAAGTGCCGACAAAATTCGTGCTCTCATCTTTCCAAGTCGGTGCGACTTCAGGTGCAGGTCAGATCCTCCCATCTGAGAGGGAGCGCGGCCTTGAGGACAGCCAAATGCAAAGTAAGGCGTGGACCGGGCGTTGTGGCACATGTCTCTGCCTTGGCCGTGCAGGACTTTGCTGTCGCGTTTGGTGGTGGCGGAGTGCGTTCAGGCAGCAGTCCCCAGCCTTACAGCCAAGCCAGCCAGTTCCTACGCAGCGTGTTATTACTATGATTATGATTATGAGTATTATTTTTATTATGATTATTGTGATGATTCTTATTATTGTTATCATTATTGTTACCTCTTCTGGCCAGGGGCCTTCTGCAGCGGGGCGCTGTGGGCACTCGCGGAGGCTTTGGGCCTTGTCGAGAATGCTCTGAGCTTGCTAATCCGCATGTCCAAAAGTTCGTAACATCTTGCCCAGTATATCCCGTGCTGTAGTGTGTTTAGGCAAAGGAAGGTGCAGTGTACCTTACATGGCAAAAAGGTGCGAAATACGACAGCTGCATAAAGCCGTCACCATGTGCATTTTTCTAGGCGGACCCACACATTTTGAATACTTGTTGACGCGCCTTTGAAGGAACGTCCGTTCGCTCCGGACCCATTTTGCTGAGATTCATCAGCGCTCCGTTCAGGCAGGCCGTCTTCGGCACGTGACGCACCTGTCCTCTGTGTCAGGAGGCAGGAGAGCTGTGACAAGACAGGGGCAGAATTAGGTGGTTCTTAAATTTTTGTGCTCAATGGCAAGCACGCCTTGCTGACCTGGTTGAAGGCTCCATCGCCGCTTCGGGCTTCGCCTCTTTCCTCGTGGCCCGGCAGCCCACCGGGATCCAGGTGCAGGGTAAGGAGACCGAGCCCGAGGCCACCGACAGATGGTACAGAGACCCTCGGCTGAAAGGAGGTGGGCTGGCGAGCCTCGAACCTCCCAAGAGCGAAGAGCGAAGGGCGCAGAGTGAGGCTGCAAGGCTAGCCCAGCCGAGTGTGATTCGTGTTGCGTGAGGAAGTTGTCGCGGAATTCATCGACCGCAGCCAGCAAAACGCGGGCTACCTGGTCTCCTTCCAGAATCTTTGGAAAGCGCCTGCCCCAGCCTCCCGACAGAAGCCTTGCTGACGGAGAGGAGGGTGCGCCCCCTCAGGTGCCTGAAGATGATTCCTCCTCAGTTCCCAGGACTGAATGGAGTTGTTGCGCGCGCGCGCGCACGTGGGCGGGGGTGGGGGTGAGACTTTCAGCACAATGCGTCTCGCGCCAGAAGCCTGGACCTCCCGCTCATGGCACTGGTGGTGCTGGGAGTTCTGTTCGCTGCTCCTTTTGTTTTTTGTGTCGCTCTGGCCTGTTTTCGTACTCAGCTTTGGGAAGGCTCTTGGGTCAAGAAGGCTATCGCCCGCCTCGGCCAAGGGGCCAGAGATGCCCAGGCTCATCATGTCTTGAAACAAAGGCGTTGGCTTTTTCGTACTTCAATGCATGCTTTCAACCAAAAACATCGTTCATGGACCTCGCGCACGCGTAAGCTCACCAACCTCTCAGCCCGCACCGAGAAAGGCTGCACCAGTCCATGGCAATGGCCAACTTGATGAGGGGAAACCCTTTGGATGCAATGCTTGCCTGTCAGTTCCGCAGGGGCTGCTCCCAGAAGGGTTATGGCGGTTGGGCGGGCTTGCATGGGCGGGTACTCATAGTCCAGTCGGCCCCGGCCTGACTATGTGGGGGTTTGCCAAGACAAGGGACCCCCAATATAGATTAGATCCCCAAGTAGTAGGATCCCTTTATAGTAAGGACCAAGAGGGTACCCCCGAATCTCGGAAACCCCCCACATTGTCACTCTCTCAGTCTCTCTGTCTCAGACATGCTAGCATTCCCCGCCCCTTGGAGGTGTTTTATGTGGTGCCTGTCTCGCTGCTGATAGAGGCTGGCTGCGTAAAGCACCTGCATCCTCTCGAGAAGTCATGGTGCAGGCCTATTGGGGTGGCACGCTGAGCTGAGGCCTCAGTTACTTAGTTCACACAGTGTCAGCTCTACCACTTCAGCTGGGGACCGATGAGCCTGCTTGAAGCATGCTCCAGCTCTGCGCTTGCTTCGCGGAGGCATGTGGAACGTTGAGCCCAGGACACTGCTTCTGCATCCCGCCGAGTACCAAGAAGAAGTGCTCCATATTCGACCTGATCCAGCTTTCTGGGCACTCCTGGCGGGTTTCACAAATCTTCTCACGACCTCATGAGATTGTGGTGCCGATCTTCTGTCAGGGCTGTGAGCGGCTATGTGATCGGCTTCTTCATTCTGGCACTGGTGGTGCTGGCGCGCTGGCATGGATTGCACATTCGGGACATCTTGAGATGGCTTGTGATCTCTGCTGAGTGATCGCATTCCAACTGCAAATGCTGCGAGTCGATCGGTCCAGGGCGCGGGGCCTCTGCCTTGGATTGAGCTTCCAGTAGGCTCCTAGGAGCTCCTGACATACCAAGCCTTGAGCCAACACCGATCCTCGTGGGGCCCTGAGGGGGGTGTAGGGAGACTCTAGGGCCCGAAGCGGCTAAAAGGCTCTTAAAGGTGGGAGGGGAGGTCCAGGGCTTCAAGAGTTCGAGAAGGCACCTTGAGCGCGGTCGCGTGTTCGACGGACATGTTGTCTGTCAGGCGTTCATCTACAAATGCTGTGGCTTACAGGCCCGCGACAGTCAGCAGGCTACAAGGCAGGGCCCTTTTCGTCGTTCAGCATCTCTTTACCGTGTGCAGGGTGTGGCTTCACCCTGCTCCAACTTATGGAGGTACCTGTACTGGCGCTCACTTGTTCACCTCAGCAGCCGATGGCTGGCCGTGGGCTCAGTCGTAAGTTTGTGATGTCATCGAACCAACCCTGAGGGCTTATGAATCTGCCAGGTCATGCTGACCCTGATTCTGGTCACGGTTTTGCTGGTTTACACGGCGGACGCTTGGCCACACGGAGATGCTGCAGCACTCGACAAAGCTGCGAAATGACCAGCCCATAACGGGGCAAGCCAGGTTCTCGCAGTCGGCACAGGTGATCAATGTGTCGGACCCTTCATATCTTCTATGCTGACTGAGGAATGGTGGGATTATGGCGAGCCCCTTTGTCATGTCATTGCCATCCTCATTGCAGTATTTTGTCGATCGGGTTTGCAAGGCTCCTCCTGACAGACGCCCTATACGCCCTATAAAGCCTATAGACCCCATAAACCCTCTAAACCCTATAAACCCTACAAACCCCATAAACCCTACAAACCCTGTAAGCCCGTAAACCCTACAGAACGTCCGATTGGCCTCTCCTCTGCCATCACAGCCTAGGTTGCGGGCCTCTGATGGCGCAGATGTCTGCCTTGCTTACTGGAGGCAAATCAACAGAACCGAAGGAGGCGCCGGGTTCTTGAAGCACATCTCCTGCCGGGTTTTTTTAGTAGGGAATGAGGGGAACGAGGTACCCCACATATTCCCTTAAAGGGTATATGTAGGGCCCTTCTCATTCCCTACTAAGAACCAGGGCGTCTCCTGTGTCTCGTCCCCAGTGTTTTCGGCTCTCGTTGTTGGGCGCCGTCGGAATGAGCCCTTGGCCGCAGTGGCCGTGGGGGGACAGCGAAAAGGATGTCAAGGGGCATGTGGACAGAAGAGTTGCCGACCCGCAGATGGCAAAAGCCTGCAAGCCATAGCTGCCACCCGGAACACCAGACGACTGACAAAATTCAGCAGCAACAAATGCAGCTATCGTTTTGAGGCGCTGAGGCTCCGACAAACCCTGAGTGGAGAGGGGAACTCACATGGTCCCATCGTACACCCTGTGATTTTTAACCGCGAGAGGGTTGGCTCTGGCGACTCTAAGGCCAAAGTAGCCCATCCCGATCTTCACTTCTTTGGAAATGCAAACATGCCCCAAACTTCAGAACTTTGTTGAAACCTTGGGTGATGGGTCGGCATGCTTGATCGGGAACAGCCATCCCCCACGCTGGACTTTGACGGAAGCTTGCTCTGACGCCCGTTTTACCTGACACTGTGTGGTTAAAACCCGGCTGGAATGCTCCAATTTGCCACAAACCAACACAGCTTCAAGCCACCGGGCAGGGGTTGGAGCCACTCAGGCGTTGGGGTTCGGGGCTTGCGGGGGCGAACAGGGCTAGCTATCGAGCTTTGACCTATGACCTGTAGAGGCCATGCGAGTAAGCCAGCCTCCAGAATACATTGCCAAAGATCTTGCCGGGATTCCCCTTGGACACCTGAAGTGTCCGATGGCGTTCATTGGGAACTTCGGTGTCAAGTGGGATCTTCCCGGGGTGGGCGGCCAGGACAACAGGACCAGGGCAGAAGGTTGTGAGGTGTAGACGCTTGATTCCCGAAGCCCTGCGCTCCAACCTCCCATTGAACCATCCTGTGAGATGGCAGCCTGCTCAATGAAAGCCACACATCGGGCTTGTCGCCTTATACTTCTCAAACATATCAAACATGCTGCAGCTGTGCAGTTCAGAGTCCACTTAGACAACAGTTGTGACTGCTCTTGTGCAGATGGTCTTTGCTCGGGCGTGTGGCCGCAGACACCATACTGGCCAGGGCAGGAAGGCCGCTCATCGTGACCTTCATGAAGTGCGATTACTTTCTTGAAAAAGCGTCACTGTTGCCTGAGCTGTCTGCCCAGATCTTCACGAGTTCAGACTGCACACGATACAGCGCATTGAGGAGTGCCAGGGTTTCACAAGTGGGGATGCTTCAACCACGGTTTCAACAACAGTGGCCAATACGTCCGCGAGAGGCCAGTGTAAATGGTGACACTTCATGCCCTGCGTGTCCTGCAGGAAGATGAACCGTTCTATCTGAATTCCAGCGCAGTCCGAGGCACTGTTGCCGAGTGTCAGTTGTGGTTTGACGGTTTGTGCAGTTCTGCCGTTTGCTTTCCACTGATGAGGACAGGCCAGTAATGACCCGGTAGTGACTGTCAGGCCATGTTTGTCACGAATCGACGATAGACATCCATACGGCATTCTCACAACAACAGGCAACGCAGACAATTTATAGGCTGGTCCCCGTTGCTGTTGAGGCGGCCCGAGTTTCAATGAGGCCATGGGGGCGTTCAACAAGCTTTTTGTGCCCCCACAACCCTGAACCTGGCATGCGAGATAAGTCTCACGCATTCATCCTCGAGTGAATCCGTGGAGTGCATCCTGCCAACTACCGTCAGCTTTCCACAGGAACAACGCGTGCCTTTCATCTTGACTTTCTTTCTCATCACCGTGCTCTTTGGCCTCATCGCCCTGAGCTTTAAAGCGCTGGGTTGGGGCGGCTTCCTTCGAGCAGCCTGGCGACACAACATGTGTTGAAGTCACAAGGTATGATGGATTCGGTCCACTCTCTACTCTGCACTTGGTTTACTGCTCTTACACTCGTTCTTGTGACTGAAGTGCATTCTTGGCAAGCTGTCTCAGGTCTTCTTGGTCGTGCTGTTGCCTCTCTGGTTCATTTGGCCAGCAACGTTTCTACTGCAGTGGCGCATCTTTGGGCCCGTGACGCAGCAGGCAGCGCCGCCAATCGCAAGCGCGAGCGCGCGCCTCCCTGGCAGTCGGGCCATGGCCGCGACGCAAAAAAAATTGAAAACTCCCAGAGGCCTCTTTAGGGGCCTCCCAGAGAGGGAAGTCCTCGCACCGGTGGTTCCGACGGGTTCGCACCAGGGGAGTCCTGGGGGTCCCAGATTCTTAGGGGAGTCATTCCGGGCACTTTCCCCCAAGGTGGCTCATTGGGTTGGAAAGGGGGGGAAGGAGTCTGCCTGCTCCAGACGCCTGTTCGTCCGGAAGTCCAGGCGAATGTGCAGTTGAGTAACTTGTAGAATGTGGCGTGAAGCTCGGCCACTTGAGCACACGGTGACTGTTGAAGCTGCCGCCGCCTGCAGCCGCTGTTCACGCCCATCTTCGAGACGCAGATCTTCGGCCAATATTCCGAGAAAGCCTGGAACTATTTCACAGGCTTCTCCCTCACCTTAGCAATCGCATCTTGTCAGCCTTGGTTGTAGTTTCTGTTGCCGTTGACAGAATCTGAAGTGTTTTTGCAAGGTAGCCTTGCCTTTCTTCAACTTCCTGCACCGCTTTGTCCACATCTACTTCCGCGTGTAGCCCGGCCTTTCAGAAGGGAAGAAACAAAACTAGATAGGTGAGAGCGGGTCGAACGAATCCGTGAGGGAAGGGAGGGATTTCCGAGACACGCGCTGTGGGTGGAGAGAAGCAGAGGTCCTTGCAGCGTGCATTCTACTGCGGCGGCAAAGATGTGTCCATGGAGAAAGCTGCCCGGGCTTGTCTATTGTTTATTTTACGATTGATTTTACAATATGCAGTTTTAGCGTTTTCCAGAGTGTTATAATTAGTTCTTTATGCAACTAAGTTAGTTTCATTTTGGTTTCAGTGAACTGCCAGTTGCCGAAGTTACTTCAGTCAACCTCAGAACTCAGGTGGCTCAGTGCCCATGGTCTCCGTGCCTCTTGTTCGGTACCTTGGCGTTATCTGGGGACCGCGGGGGAAGAAGACCCCGAGTGCCCAAAGTAAATCTCCACATCGTAGCAGCTGCCAGGGGCGCATGGCATGCAGTCCTCAAGGCGCAACCCTCAACGAATTCCAGCGGCCTCAAGATGAAGAGCCCCACTGCCTCTTCGCCCTGTGCTTACAGCCTTCGGAGCCGTGAGCAGTCGCGTCGTGAGGTAGTAAAGGTGACACTGACGGAATGTCTTCTATTTACTTCGCTTGGCAACCCGCACATGTCTTCAAATCCGTTCAAATCTGAGTCCCTGTCGCAACATGCGATGGGGTGCGAAAGGTGCGCTGCATGCTGCTTGTTGATGTGTTTTTCAGCTGTCCCTTCGCGCCATATACTGCGCACAGGACAAAGTTCCTACGAAACCCCAAGTGGATGACTCTGTCGAAGTGCATGACCTTGAGCTGCGCGGCCATCGAAACTTGGCTGACAAGTGTGATCGCCTGATGTTGGCGGTTCTGTCCCGCCTCGACGGCTCAGGATGGATTCGTGCTCCCTGGAAAGCAATCGAGCTTGGAGTCAAACCAGCCTTCTTGGCTCACGTGTATTCTATGTATATATGTATGCATATATGTATGCACATATGTATAATATGTGTATAACATCTGTATATATGTATATATGGGTGCGGCTCAAAAGTCTAGGTATGTAACTGGCTCCCGGGCATCTTTCCGCGACATAGGGTTTGTAACAAAGCCGTTCTGCTTGCGACAAGCAGTCCGCGACAAACCTCCGCGACAAGCCTCCGCGACAAGCTCTTGCGACAAGCCCCTTCTTGGAACTGCATGGGTTTCGTATCTCTTTTCAAGACAGCGCGAAACAGCCGCGACAAACCCCGCGACATACGTATGAAACAAGTGGGCGCGACATACGTATGTAACACAGGCGGGTGGCGGGACACCGCGACATACCCCTATTTAGAGCCACAGCCATATGTATATATGTCTATATGTCTATATGTATGTGTGTATATATGTATATATGTATATATGTATATATGTATATATGTATATATGTATACATGTATATATGTATATATGTATATGTGTATATGTGTATATATGTATATATGTATATATGTATATATGTATATATGTATATATGTATATATGTATATATGTATATATGTATATATGTATATATGTAGATATGTATATATGTATATATGTATATATGTATATATGTATATATGTATATATGTATATATGTATATATGTTTTTTGTATATATGTATATATGTATATATGTATATATATGTGTATATATATATATATACAGATATACTATACGCACTCTCTCTCTGCATCTACGTTATGTCTGTCTATTGTGGTAGACGAAATTTATTAGTGATGTAATACAGTACGTAGTGTAGCATAGCATAGCATAGCATAGCATAGCATAGCATAGCATAGCATAGCATAGCATAGCATAGCATAGCATATGGTATATAGCTTCATATAGTCTCATCTAGCATAGTATCTTCATATCCCACGTGATATAGTAGTTGATGCAACATCGTGTGGACAAACAAATCTGTACATACTGTGGATTCAACAGTTACCCCCCCCCCCCCCCTCCCCCAAAGATCTACGTATGTTCAGGGATTGGCTCCGATGTGAAGCTGGAGGTTTGCATGAGGGATCCCTAAATCCTAAAGAGGAGTTTTGGGAACCTCACGGGCTGAAAGCTTCTTCGCTCATCCTAAACGCGCATAGGATGTAGGAAGAAGAAGGCTCAGAGCCCCGAATCGGGAAGACCACGAATAGTTGTGCAGAATCATGCTAGGAGTCGGCCAACTTTTGCCCGAATCGGGCCTTAAATCTTTTTCGCCAAATCCTGAACGAACGGGATTTAGGATAGGATCTAGGGAGTAAAGCTTAAGGAAAAAGATGTAGGGAGCAAGATTTTAAAGAAGATCCAGGGAACAAGATTTAGGGATTAAGGGAATGCTATTTAGCGGGAGCCCGCTCTGAAGGATCCAGCGAAAAGGATTTAGGTTCGCGGGCTCACTTTTAAGGGTTGGCTTTCCTCTTTAGGAACTAAGGACCACCCGCCCTATGGCTTATGCATTGTTTTAGGGAGCAAGATTTTGGGATCCCACTCGGTAGGGCGTAGCGAAAATTATGCATGATTTGCTTTCTGGGGATTATGGGCTCTCCTCTTATGTAAAGACACCCCTTTTTGAGTTTTAAGGAACATGATTTACGGATTTAGTGAACAGGGCTTGGGGAATAGGACTTTTTAAGATATCGGCGCTTTCCTCTTCAGGTTTTAAGGATGCCCCTCTACAGGGCTTAAGAAATAGGATTTATCCAACAATATTAAGAGGTTAAGATTTAGGGAACAAGATTTTGGGATCCCACTCTTTAGGGCTATAGCGAAAAGGATGTAGGGAATAGGGCTTGTTGTTTAGGATGTGGCTCTCTTGTTTAGGATTTAGGGGTTCTCCTCTTTAGGATTTATGGCTATATTGCCTAAACCCTTTTTCCTAAAGAGCGGTATCCCGACCTAAAGCCTGTTCCCTAAGTCTAATTTCCTTAATTTCATCCCCAAATCCTATGCCCTTTTGCTCTAAACAGGGACGTTCTTAAATCCTAAAGATGAGAGCCCTTACATCCTAAACGCATATCCTATTCCCCAAGTGCCTGTCGCTAAATCTCATAGAGACCGGGGTCCCTAGATCTTGTTCCCTAGATCTTATTACCTTAATATTCTTCCCCAAGTCCTATTCCCTAAGCTCTAAATAGGGGCATCCTTCAAACCTGAAGAGGAAAGCCCGGATGTCTCAAACAACAAACCCTATTATCCAAGTCCTTATCGCAAATCCGAAAGGGTGGGGCCCATAAGACTTTGTCCCCAAGCCTTCTTTTCTTAAGTTCATTCCCTAAATTCCAGTAGAGACGGGCGTCCTCAAATCCTAACGAGGAGCCCTAAATCCTCACAGTCAAATCCCATTCGCTGGATCACCACAATCTTCTTCCCTAAATCTTATTCCCCGTAGCCTTGAAGATTTAGGGGAAAGCCCTTTTCGCAAAATCCTAGATCAAGGGACTAAAGGAGGGACTCTTACAAGGGACCTTAGCGGTAATGTAGGGGCTACTTAGGTATATAGGGATTGTATAAGGTGCAGAAAGGGGTTAAAAGGGGGTGTGAATCAGATTGTCGTGTCTTTCTAGCGATCCCTCCTTACATCCCTTAGCTAAAGAGCGGCATCCCCTATTCGCTTAGGATTTCGCGAATAAGAACTAAGCTCCGAAACTAAGCTCCGAGGGGGGAGGGGGACATGAAGAAACTCAATCCGAGACGCGGCCCAGGGCACTTCAAAGTGCTTAGTCGGCCCCCGATTTAGTAGAAGTGAAAGATGCCCAGGGAAAGTTTCCAGTGCATCTTCAATCTTGAATCTACAATCCCGGGGCCGACCGATTAATCACTTCGAGGTGCTTAATCGGCCTGGTTCCTTGCAAAAGGTCGGATTCCATAGCGGACCTCAGGACCGCAGCGAATTCATGAAATGGAGGCTCGAAACTTGAAGAAAACCATGAGCCCGATCGAAGCCGATGAAGCCGATTGAAATTCCCAGGGTTACAGATTGAAGATTCCCAGAAACTTTTCCTGGGAATCTTCAATCTTCAATCTTCAATCTTCAAGCTTCAGTCTTCAATCTTCAATCCTGGCCCAACTAGAGAAAAAAACAAAAAGCAAGTACATAATTTATACTGTATATATTCTTGAGGTTGACGCAGATCAACAAGTGGCACACGCGAATCCTGCTGCTTGGGCTAGAATGTCCGATCCAAACCCTTAAGGCCCGTAAGCCTTCAGCCCGCAGTACCAGTTCGCTACGAACCTCCAACCCTCCCAAACACCACGGTGAGACATTCGGGTTTAGGGTTTAGGGGTTTAGGGTTTAGGGGTTTAGGGTTTAGGGTTTAAGGTTTAGGGTTTAGGATTCTTTTGCATCACGTAGGTCCATAGGTCTTAGGTCGGGGTACTTTCTTACTACACCCTTGGTTTCTTAGCGCTCTTTTGCATAACAATATACATCAAGAGCATGTCTGTCTTGGCATTCCGAGCAGCAGAGCTTGCTGATATTGCACTGGAGCTGGTGGCTGAGGATGGCCATGCTGAACCTCACTCAGGGGGACTGGCTGCGCTTCGACATGGGACAGAACTGGCACAGCTTATCGAAGCGCCCCATGACAGCACGACTTAAGAGAGGTGGATGTTTCGGGTTCCTGGCGTCCCTGTTGAGGTGTAGAGCGGGGGCACTACGAGACACCAGCAGCCCAGTTCACGGTCCCCCCATGCTGCCCAGGATATCCTTGGCTTCTTGAGAAGCCGCACTTCTCCAGTCTTATCGACAGGCAACGTGTTATCGCCGGTAATTAAGGTGCCCCAAAATAAAAATGGGAGCGTGAAACGCGACCGCTCCTGGCAGGCTTCCAGAACTGCTGGTGCTGCAGTGCATCTACCTTTTCATCTTGATCTTCAACCTCAATGCGTCGTATGCTGGGAAGGATGAAGTCGCCGCTCTGCTATCATGTTCGAATCTTGAGGCTTGAGGACAGCTGATGCTTGCCGAGGAAGGTTGCAAGACTTTTTGGACCTTCCGATTCCTGGCATCCTTCTTCATCGGCGTCTTCATAGGCCGGGTGCAGGGATAAGTTGAACTCGACCCAGCATGCGGGAGCGGCAGGGTTTTGTCGCCTTAAACCCTGCTATCTAGACCCCAAACCCTAAACATCCCTAAACCCTAAACCCTAAACCCTAAACCCTAAACCCTAAACCCTAAACCCTAAACTCTAAACCCCCAAACCCTTAACCCTAAAGAGGTGGCTTCAGCTTTTTCGGCCACGTGCGCTGCTTTGCGTGGCTCCTCGCATCCCCGGTGATCCGTCAGATCCACATGCACCCTGGCCTCAGTCTCCGCAGAGACCCCTATGCACTAACCCTAAAACACAAGGCTTCAGCGTTCTGGGTTTTTTGGACGCCCTTAAATGCCGACAGCTCGTTGGAGCTCAGCACCTGCGTGCGCGCAGCTTCTATGTCAGGTTATGGATATGTACTCTTTGGATTCTTAACCATGTAGAAACCAAAGATCATACAACATGATAGCAAGCGATGTTGCATAGCAAAATGTTAAATGCTAAATCTTCGTACATATCAATCTTAACGCTACGCGACCTGCCTCGGCCCGGCCCAGCGCATCCGCGAGAGCATGGTGGTTCCGCAGCGCCCAAGTCGCTGGACCCCAAGCAATAAGGGTTGGGTTTAGGGTTTAGGGGTCCGGGTTTATGGTTTATTGTTTTTAAGGTTGAGGGTTAGTTTAGGGTTGAGGGCTGAGGGCTCAAGGTTTAATTTATGTTTTGGGGTTTTACAGTTCAAGGTTCAAGGTTCAAGGTTCAGGGTTTAGACGGTTCGGCTTGGACAGCGTAACCTAATGCTCACACCAGTTAGCATAAAAGGTTGCAGGGGGGCGGGGGGGGGGGGGGCACACGGAACAGGCTGGAACCGGGGGATTGGGGGCAGGGGCAGCGGGGGGGCAGTGAGGGGGCCTGCTGGGCGGGGCTTCAACTTCAACTGATCCTGGTCTCGGCGAACCGTCCGCTTTCAGATCGTTGGTCGATTTGGAGGGGGGTGCCTGTTCTCACAACCTATACACCTTCGGCCCGAGGCCTCGGCGGATATGCATTATAGCCTATATCCTCCTATATTTTCCCTTTAAGGGATTGTACCCCTATATCCGCCTATATTTTCCGTTTAAGGGACTATACCTCTATCCTCGTATATATTCCCTTTAAGGAATTATACCCTATAGCCTATATCCCCCTATCTTTTCCGTTTAAGGGATTATACCCTGTATCTCCCTGCATTTTCCCTTTAGGGTTTAGGGTTTAGGGTTTAGGGTTCCAGATGAGCCCGCACTCATCTCGTTCTTGCACTTACGTTCTGGACAGACGAGCAAGCCCGTCTGTAGGGATAGCCCAAAGCAAAGACCTTCGTGGAACGTGTGACGGTGACCGTGCTCGCCGCAAAAGGCTTAAGAACTGAAGCTTCTAAAACCATGTTTCATATTAGAGTGCACAGTAAACTCTTTCATTGGCCCTTGGGAGCTTTCGGAGCATTCTGAATGTGAGAACAGCACCCAGTCCAGGATAAGGTGATGAAACAGCGTAAAGTAGATGTCATACTCATAACTAAGGTTCCTCATGCATCACGAGTGCATGGAGAATCCGCCCATGTACCTCTACCTCACGGCATCTCGGCGACCATATTCAAGATCAGAACAACCAAGTGCCCTGAGATCAGCTATCGTGTCAGAGGAGTGGTACGAGTCCTCGCCCTCGTTGAGTTGAGAGTACGACAGCAGTAGCAGGACAACTAGAGGCTCTGATGACGGCATCTCAAAATGTACGCACGAGTTGCGCACATCGACCATATCCAACACCGCGAATGATCCGCCGCATCCATTGTCGCACAGGCGCCAGCAGCGAGAGAATGAGGAAGAGAGCAAATCCTGCAAACCACGGTCGAAGTTGCTGCAAGATGGCCAACTGAAAATGTCGTGACTGAGGATGGGGGTCCGGTGGAGGATCTAGGACCACAACTTGACCCTTGTGAGAGACCAGATGCTTTCAAGACTTGGACGCGGGCTCGCCTCGCGCAGGACTTGTTCAGCTTCTGAGACGCCGGCGTCGCTGGATCTTGTCTTTCGATGTGGGCGACGACCCGGCTTGCGAACCTGGGTTGAAGTTTGGAAGTTTCACCCTAAACCCTAAACCCTAAACCCTAAACCCTAAACCCTAAACCCTAAACCCTAAACCCTAAACCCTAAACCCTAAACCCTAGACCCTAGACCCTAAACCCTAAACCCTAAACCCTAAGGTGCATTTTTGCTGGTCCAAGTCAAGCCCTGTAATAGTCAGGAGTTGATCGATCTTCGCACAGCGATCGCTCTGGCGCGCAAGGCAACGCGCTTCGGTGTCAGCTGTTGCGCTTGGTTGCAGTAAACTCTACGCCCTAAACCCTAAACCCTAAACCCTAAACCCTAAACTCTAAACCCTAAACCCTAAACCCTGATCGTTCTCTCTTTGAGCCGTTACGTGCTCGGATCTGCGCTCAGAGAGTCTCTGCCTGACTGCACCCTAAACTTCATACACCGGTCACTTCAAAGTCTCGTTGCCTCGAGGAGAAGATCTGCAGCTTCTACTTGGAAAAGGACCCCCTGTGACGTGGAACAACCCCCCCCCCACTCCTCTACCATGTGGTTTAGGGTTTAGGGCCTTTGAGGCCCGCGTCGGTAGCCCCCTTCCCTCCCTCACACCCCGCCCCCTTATTCCTCAAGGTCCTCCAGCAGCTTCACTGGGGCGCATGTGAAGCTCGCACGTGCAGGATCCCCGACGAGATTTGGAAGAGGTGATCAACGACTTCGCCAAAGGCAGGAAGCCACCGCTTCTTCGTGCCCCCCTGTGCGTCTTCAAGCAGCCGAGCTCCGCAACGCAGGCCGCGAAAGGTTCCTTCACCTCGGTCTGCCTGCTGCAAGCGGCTCAATCTGGCCCGTGCATCGATGTACATGGTGCTCTAAGGTGTACTTTACAAAGACGCGGGTGCAGCGAGCTCAGCACAAGCCTCTGTGACAGCAGCTTCTTTGCAACCCCACCGCTGCAACACACGCTTCCTATTCCCTAAACCCGAAACCAACCCCGTCAAGGGACTCTCCTCGGAGATCGGCGAGATCTTCCATGTCCGAATGCGTCTCCTTGACCCCCCCAGCGGGGTTCCCGTGCAGCCACTGGTGCAGCCCGAGGAGCATGGGTTTTTGAGAGGGCTTGAGGGTTTAGGGCTTGAGGGCTTTTGAGTGGGGTTTTAGGGCTTTAGGGTTTTAGGATTTTAGGGTTTTAGGGCTTTTAGGGTTTTAGGGTTTTGGGGGCCTTAGGGTTTGGGTAGGGTTTGCGGGGTTTGGGCTTGTAAAGGGTGGCCCATCCCCACTCCCTTCATTCAAAGGATGCCCTTTTCAGGAGGTGAGGTCGGGGTCCGCGCTTTCCGCACCGCCGACGCACCTGGCGCACTCGATGGCATCTTGGCAAAGTTGGGGTCGCCGAGCCGCAGTCGGCCGGCTGGGGGTTTAGGGTTTAGGGTTTAGGGTTTAGTCTTTAGGGGTTTCTATCGGCACCTTTTTGGGGTCCTCATTATGAGGGAATCCTACCATTTTGGGGGGGCTATTTTAGGGGTCCCCCATTTTCGTGAACCCCCTTGTGCATATTAAAGCATGCTTCCTTTGGCGTTGCTGGCGGATGGCCAGAGAACGCCGCAGGGATTAGCGGAAGGCGTCGTGGAGAGTTCCTGCCAGAAACAAGGGAGGGGACACTCGCGTCTCCATCCATGCGGCGGCGGAGTCTTTTTGCATGTGCGGTGTCACTCTTGTGTGTCTACCGCCAGTGTTTTCAGATTTTTATGGTTGGGATGTGGCTTTTGCCTGCATCTCCACGATCTTGCGAACCAGCACATGATCCTTCAGGTGCAAGGCCCGAAGTGGCCGCATCTTGCTGTCCAACGGGGCAGTCATCATGCTTGCCATGTTTAGGCTGAATGGCAAGTCCTTATGAGAGATGGGGGGAAGAAGCAGTTTGCCGATACCCTGTCGGGAGCCTGCCCTTCAAGTGTGCATGCTGTGAAGACACGCTCGGATCAGCTCGCGGTTTCCGCTGCTGTGTCGAAAGATCTCGAGATCGAGTTGCAGGAGCCGGCGCAACCAACGTACATCCGCAAGTCGTGCTTTGTAGGTGGCCCTTTTGCCTTCATCCTCATCCTGTTTCCCTCTGACACTACATGTTAGATGCACGTGCGATGGTCGCACGCAAAGGCCACAAAGCCGGCTGCAAAGCTATATCCGAATATATTTCAAAGCAGCACGATCCTTCAGGGTGCCGTTCGGGTGCCACAACGCGCAGAAGGTTGACGCACCGGTGGTTCTTTGCAATAATACAAGTCTGTTGACTTCAGCAGCGCGATTCTGATGATATCGCATTGACATTGTAGAGAGTGGTAGATACATGTCGAGATTTGGGGCAGCCTGCGTGGTTCGGAGTAAGACCTCGTGATTCATTGATGACTGCGTGTAGGCTGTGTGGACCGAGGTTCATCTCTGTCCACCTCATTCAGATTTGGAGTTGTCAGCGGCTGCGAATGGCGGGCTACACCAGGACTTCTAGCAGAGTAGTGTCAACGCTGCGCGTCGACCTCTGCCTTGGCCAAGGGCCCTTTGGGATCCCCTTTCCTTTCCGGCGGCCCTTGGCCTTTGGGGTTTGGGCTTTTCTAGCACCTCGCAAGCCCTGCTTCCCGCATGAAGAGCGTGATTTCAAGCAGGGTATTCGTGTAAAAACACCTTGCTTGAACAGAAATGTGTGACCTCACATGTGCGAGCGCCAGCTGCATCCGCTGGCGCCTTTTGCCCCACTTTCCGAACTTGCTGTTCCGGAATTGCTTGCCATCTCCAATCGCCCATGGCCTCTGCTAATGCTCCTGATGTCTGTGATTTGAGTAGGAATATGTCTGCCGTCAGTTTTCTCAGACCGAGATGTTAGTGAGAAGGTGATCCTCCAGCCATGCCCACCGCCCACACCTCGGTGCACGAAGGTGTGGAGCTGGCCTTCAGACGTGGCAACGAGCAAGCCGCACAGATGCTGGTGCAGACGCCAGGTGACGAAACCTTTGCTCGGCCCGCGAGAAGAGGAAGCACTTTGGCAGATATGAGAAAGGATTTCGAGGAACTGGAAGAGCAGCCCAGATGGCGTTGGCAAGCAAAGGTGGCGCTGGCCTTCCACACCTTAGCACGTATAACTGTGAACCTCCCATTCACGGAGAGACCAGGCTGGATTAGGACTGAGACGGGTTATGTCTCTTCAGGATCGTGTCGATGTCCATCTGGTTTGTGATGCTATCTGTCGGCCTCTCGTGACAGGTTTTGGGCTTTACATGTTTGTCCACAGGCTTGACCGGTTCTCCAGGACCAACCCGCTGCAGCTTCTAAGCTTCGCCACGATGTGTTGCCTGGCACTGCCCCTGTGCGACGAGAGTGTGGAGCGCCTGTTGAATGATCACTCAGCCTGGATAAACCTGCCGAAACTTGCATCAACGCTTTGCTGGGAGGTCCTGTGCAACATCCTGCAGGTGTTTATGACCATCCTCAAGCTACGAGCTCTCGGCTGGCGTCGCACAGCCCGGTGGTGTGGCGTTCTCGCAACACTTGGCTGTTTTTCGCTGTCTGTGGTATTGCTGAGCCTGCTCGCGTCGACTTACCCAGCAGGAACTTGCCAGACCTGCCTGACGGTACTCTTTCTAAGTATAAGCGCTTGTCTTGGGTTCTGCTTTGCAGTCGTGGCAATCCAGTGTTGTGCACTATGCCGTGCAGCAAGCAGAGCTATGGGACAAGCAAGAGGTAATGATCCCATTTGGTGGACCGCATGCCTCCTGTACGCAAACGCTTTCCTGGTTCCCCTAGGCCCTGCTTTGAGTTTCATTGGCCTGTATGCCTTCATGATCGGCTACGACGACACTACTCTAGTCCCGCGCACACTGGTGACTCTTGACGTGTCTTTTCAAGTCTTCAATGTGCTCTTGCTCGGCGGCATTGTGGGCACCATGCCGATGAATCTGGAGACTTTGCAGAGGCTTGCCGAGTTGTCAGGGTTTGGTTTGGCTTCCAAACGCGTTGCTTTCTCAGGGTACATCAACCAGAGTTCTGCGGACTGCGTGGTATCCTTTCCAGGAAAGTACAGTGACCTCTGGGACAGAGCAGTCTCAAGCGTTACTCGGGAGGGCACCTTCTCACTTGCTTGTGTCTTCTTGACAGACACAGATTCTGGCTTGGGCCGACATGCAAACTGCCCAGAAACCCCTGGCCAGTGCTGGTGCCGTCAAATCTATGGCCCAGTTCCAGCCTCTACGTACCTCAGCGTGGTCGAAGCCAGTGCCGACGAGCTACAAAACCATGACCAGACACTTGCCTTCAAAAGAGCGGATGCCGAAGCAATGGGCCAGCGACTGCTGATAAAGCAGCATCAAGGAGACATAGAGTGGGAGCAAGAGCTTGCAGAGGCTTTGCAAGATGCCGAAGTCCGCTGCGTCGAGAATCAATACAGGGCCCCCTGGGGTTGTCAATGGTTTGAGGAATGGAAGCAGAACGTGGACCAGGCGGCCGAAATGCGGCAAGTACTTCACATTTTCTACTTTGAGGGCAGCAAGGGCAAGGGCAAAATGCCTTGGGAGCTGCTCGCCAACGAGAGGGCGAGGCAAGAAACTCGAAAGAACAGTGGCCTCGGCGCTTCGCAGACCGCGGAGGTAGCTTACCTCGACAAGGTCGGCTTAAGCTATGTGGAGCATGACATCATGGATTTTGAGGCTTTCCTTTCTTCTAAACAGTGTGTTCGTGGCGAATCGTGCTTCTTGTTCACCCAGGTCAGGGGCCCTTGAGGAGTTACTTGTAGCAGCTTGTTTTAGGGCTAATGCGGTAGTCGTTACTCGCTGAGTCATGCTGTTGTCGATGCATCTGTGCTTGTGTTGGTACTCTTGCTTCTTCAGTTCGTTCACGTTGATAGTATGAGTTGCAGCCCAGCCTGAAGCAGGTGTCACGAGCGCCCCGAGGCTGCAAAGCACATACTCTTACTTCCGGAAGCTTAACCCTAAACTGCTAGCCCTAGATCCCCAAAATGCTAAAAGTCGTGCTGCGCATGTTCCGAACAGTGATGAACACGAACCACGGCTTGGTCCCAGACCCCAAGTTCGCTTCGTGATGACAGACTCGTTTAGGGTATTTATATCTCTTTATCTACAGGCCTTGCGGCACGGGCCGGCCTGGCCGTCTGAAAGCTGAAACTCGGGTTTGGGTTTAGGGGTTGGAAATATAAGAAGAAGAGAAAGAAGAAGAAGAAAAATAAGAAGAAAAAGAAGAAGAAAAGAAACAATAAGAAAAGGAAGAATAAGAAGAATAAGAAGAAGAAGAAGAAGAGAAAGAAGAAGAAACAGAAGTAGAAACAGAAGTAGAAGAAAAGAAAGAATAATAAATAGAAGAAGAAGAAGAAAAGAAGGGAAATAATAATAACGAGAAGAAAGGGTAAAGGAAGAAAAAGAAGACATAAAGAAGAAGAAAAAGAAGAAGACGAAACGACAAGAAATAATAACAACAAGAAGAAAGGGTAAAGGAAGAAAAAGAAGAATAGAGAAATAAGAATATGAAAAAAAGAAGAAGAATACACATAAGAAGAACAAAATAAAGAAGAATGAAAAGAAGAAGACAATAAAAAAGAAGAATCAGAAGAATAATAAAAGAAAGAAGAATATAAAATAAGAAGAATAAAAGAAAAGAAAGAAGAATAACAAGATGAAGAAAAATAAGAAGAAGAAGAGGAAGAAGAAGAAGAAGAGAAAGAAGAGGAAGAAAAAGAAGAACAACAAAGAAGATGACAAGTAAGAAGAAAACAAATGAACAGGAAGCAGAAGAGAAGAAAGAAGAGGAAGCGACCCTACATATAATCCTCTGTGTGCGTGCGTGCGTGCGTGGGTGCGTGCGTGGGTGCGTGCGTGGGTGCGTGCGTGGGTGCGTGCGTGGGTGCGTGCGTGGGTGCGTGCGTGGGTTCGTGCGTGGGTTCGTGCGCGCGCGCGCAACAGCATCAGTGGCATCAGCGGCTTGGGGGTGGCCCTCCCGCCCCCCCCCCCCCCTGGCAAACAGGTGGCTAGACCCTTTTTTGGATGCCTTTCGCCCACCCCCACTGAGGGCTTCGGGGACGTCCTTGGAGCAGCGCCAACCCATGCGACGTGGGCGCGGTTGGCGCTGCGTGCATAACGAGGAGTTTTTGAACAGCTTTTCGCGCAACACACAAAAAACACGGTATTTACCACGTTTTCGGCCCCTCGGACCCCCTCCCCAAGCGAGCATCATGAGCATCAGCGAGGCCTTCATGAGCATCAGCGAGGCTCCGGAGCCGGGGCAGGGTGGGAGGGGTGGGGGGGGGCCAAGCAGCGAGGGTAAGAGGTAGTGGCGCTGGGCGAGGGAGCAGACAACGATGGGTCTTCACTGACGCCGCCCCCGCTCCGGCTGGGGTCGGCGGATAACTGATAGCCCCGGCAGATACTGTGAGTCCTTTGACCACCAACGGCATCTATAAAGTACTATAAAGCCTTGGAGAGCTGTGTAGAACCGACTGGGCTCGGGATCAAGGGTTTAGTTTAGGTTCTGGATTAGGTTTTTAGGGTTAGGGTGCTTAAGGTGTTAGGGATGCACCAATGTAACAAAGTTTCCGACCCCGTTTCAACATGGACCCCATGTGTAGCTGCCTCAACGAGTGTCCTGGGCTTTTATGACGACTTTTACAGAAATCAGATACGTGCGTCGCAACAAATCCTGAACCCCAGCCTGTAAGATGAAAGCCGAAAGCTTACTTGCGACTTCCGGAATTGTCTGTGGGCATCCTCGAGAGCAATGGAGCCTGCATGGCCTGCGGATCCCCAACTCCAACCATGAAAATCCTGAAACCGAAGTCTTTGCGTGGCCTCGGGAGGACTATGTGCCCTCGTCACAGACTTCAGGCAGCTCGGATGGCACGCCCACACAGAAGAGGGCGGAGCTCGGAGGCAGGAGAGAGCGATGCAGTGAGAGGCGTAGGGCTACTCGCGTTTTAAAAATGTCGTATACTAATATTCCAATCTTCTAATATTTTAATATTCTAGCATTCTAATATTCAATAGGATACGATAAAATATAAATATTCTAATATAATACTATCATAACGAGCAATATCTTGAGGGTTTTCTTTGATGCTTTCTAGTACGTTCTTCCCCTGAACCTTGGCTCACAGGCATTTGCTGCGAATGCTGCAATGAGCGCATGCCTTAGTCATTCCCGGTGATGGCATTGTTCTGGCTTCTCATTTCCGACGGGCTCCTTGAAGCCGATAAACCCGAAGAGCCAAAGGGAGGTTGGCTGGTTGCCTCAGGTGGGCGCATGGTGGCGTGTGCGGCGCCTTTCCAAACACCCACACAGTCAACCAGTTCTTCACACCCAAGGTGCCGCTTAGGGTTTAGGGTTTAGGGTTTAGATGGGTTTAGGGTTTAGGGTTTAGGGTTTAGGGTTCAGGGATTAGGGTTTAGGGCTTAGGGGAGCTGTGTGATTGTTTCCTGCGTGCCTCCCCCCCTCCCCCCTCTTGCTCATGCTAGGTCTGGGCAAACTTCTGTCGGCTTGGTCGTGAAACTCGGCTGCACAAGACCTCCATCTAGCCAAGGGGCATTCTGAGTCGGATCTGATTGAAGCAGGGAAGCCTGGGATCTCGCTCAACACGTCCCTTAACCCTAAACCCTAAACCCTAAACCCTAAACCCTAAACCCTAAACCCTAAACCCTAAGCCCTAAGCCCTAAACCCTAAACCCTAAACTTAAACCCTAAACCCTAAACCCTAAACCCTAAACCCCAAACCCCCCGGAGGAAATGGCGACGCCGGCCCTTCAAGCGCTGACCAATGCTCAGGCCCGGGCTCGCATGTGCTCGCAAGACAGCGCATCCCCAAAAGCTGCGCTGCGAGTAACATGACTTGGGATGCTCCCCCTTATAGTAGCAGTCCTTAATAGCAGGGATGATAAGAAAGGGGGGGGTACTATAATCCCTAAAAAAGGACTGTTGGCACAAGGGTGAACATCCCAAAACACGACCATCGTCGAGAGGTTCGTGAAGTCCACGCGCGGCGTGCTGCCAAGGGCTCCTTCAGGTAACCAACAGCCTGAGATACCCGAGCTAGCGCTTCGGATTGGGGGGCGACATGAAGAGACTCCGGCATGGTAAAGAGGCTCCCTCTACACACGGGAACAGTTGAAAATAGCATATCGATTTTTCTGGCCGTGGTTCTTGTTCTGTTGATTTCATGTCGCCGCTTCGTTTGAAGTCCTCAGGGTTCAGAGGGCCAAAGTGCCTCGTGCTTGTAAATAGCGATGTGAGAGCGTGCCTCGTTGCTTGATTTCTGAAATGCCACTGCATCCTGCCGTGTAACAGCACAGTCCTTCCATGGGACCTCATCCTTCAGGACAAGGCTATGATGTGAGGGTTTGCGCCATCCGTAACATCCCTTGTTCGCTTCGAGCGAGCAATGCTGAGGTCCACGCAGGGCCCGCCAAGTTCGAGTTTGGGGATGATGAGTTCGTGGACTGGGTGGATGGGCAGGCGACGGAATGCAACGGCCGGGGCTTCTGTGGGAGCCACACTCCTAAGTCGCAGCTTCGCAGGCCATGCTGTATCGCCTCAAGATCGGTGGTGACGACAACTGCCAGTACAAAAACAGGCGCAGTGCTTGCAAACACAGAAGTCTCCATTCTGTTTCCCCCGGCCTCCTCTTTTGACCTCTTTTCAACCTGCTCTGAATGTCAAGGTGGTTGGACACTTGGAACCATCGTATGCATCGGGAGGCCTGGCTGTGAACCTCCAGCAGCTGCATAGCCTATAAGGGGTATGCGCTATACTTTCTGTTGGTTAGTAGGGAATGAGGGAGTGAGGTACCCCATATCCCCCTCTATGTATATATATATATATATATATATACCCTTTAAGAGATTATATAGGGTACCCTATAAATAAATAAACAGACATATATATATATATATATATTTAGTGGCTACCGCCAGTGCCGCCGACCCCAGACCCAAGACAGTCGCATTGGGGCGGAAGGCAGGGTGGAGCGCGGGCAGGCGGGGGGGGCGGGGGCGGGGGGGGTGGGGGTGGGTGGGGGTGGAAAGGGGTGGGGGGTGTGGGGGGTGACGGTAGAGGGTTGGTGTCGGATTAGGGAGTTGGGGGCGGAAGGCAGGGGTGGACTGGGGGGCATAGAGATGAAGAAGCGATGAGAGCGGTGAGAGCGGGGGGGCGGTCGGATGGTGCACGATGGTGGGAGGGGGTAATGATGAGGGCTGGGGAGGGTTGGTGGGAGGGTTAGGGAGTGGGAGTGGGAGAGGGTGGGGGCGGAAAGGGGGGCCTGACTCATTTGACCAGCTCTGGTGAGAGGGTTGGGGCGGAAGGCAGGGTGGAGCGCGGCGGGTGGACAGGGGAGGTGACGGTCGAGGGTTGGTGGAGTTGGGGGCGGAAGGCAGGGGAGTGATGAGAGTGGGGAGGCGGTTAGGGCGGGCGTGGATTGGAATCCCTCAAACTAGAGATTTGTCAGGGGCGGAGTAGGGGGTAGGGGCCTAGGAGGGAAGGGATGGGGGGGTGGGGGGGAGGGGAGGGGGGGTGGGGGGTGGGGGAGTGGGGGCTGTTTTTCAGAGTCGAGGGGTTGGTGTGAGGTGGGGGGGTGTGGGGGCGTGGGGGGTGGGGCCGTGGGTGGGGGGGGGGGGGGTGGGGGGGGGGTGTGGGGGTGACCGCCGGTGTGGACTGTGCGGTGGGAAGGTGAGAGCGGTGAGGGGTGGCCGGGGAGGGCTCTGAGGGGGGTGGGGGGGGGGGGGGGGTGGGCGGGGGGTGGAGGGGGTGGGGGGGGTGCGGGTTGGGGTGGGGGGGGTGTGGGTGGGGGGGGTGTGGGTGTGGGTGGGGGGGGTGGTGGGGGGGGTGGGGGCGTGGGGGGGGTGGGGGTGGTCTGGGCCCTTTAAACTGGTTGGGGTGGGGGGGGGTCAAAGGTCCAATTCAAGGCGTCATGGGTGAGGGCGATGGGTGGCGGGGTTTGGGCATGCACTGAAGCCAAACAATGCAAAAACACTCCAATTCAAGGTGTCATGAGCAGCATGCTGTGAGAGCGGGTGAGGGCGGTGAGGGCGGTGGGGGGTCTTCACTGACGCCGCCCTGCTACCGCTGGGGTCGGCGGATATATGTTATATATATATATATATGTATACCCTTTAAGGGATTATATGGGGTACCTTACTCCCTCATCCTACTAACCAACAGTAAGTATGGGTCGTTTGGTTCCCCAAAGTCTGCTGCAGCGTTTGCTCGCCTCAGGCCGGCCGAATTGCCGTCCGCGAGACTTGCTCCAGGCTGCGTGTACGTCCGACTGGGCCTGTAGGAAATTTTGTAGGGTTTAGGGTCTAGGGTTTAGGGTTTAGGGTTTAGGGTTTGGTTTGGGTTTCAGGGTTTAGGGTTTAGGGTTTAGGTTGAGGAGGTGCCTAGCAGTTTAGAACCCCTGCCCGGGCCCCTCAAGGATGTACGTGCAAGGTCCAGAATGAGCCTCCTGAGGAATGACGGCATGCCGTCTTCTCTTCTGCCGGTCCAGAATTTTTTACCATCCATGTGCAAGGAGGTTTGGATTTGTTTTGGGGGCTCTATCTATTTGGCTATCCATCTAAAAACTTATATGTTTTTACTTATATGTATGTATGTATGCATGTATGCATATATATATATATATGTATACATATGTTTTTGAGAGTCTTGCATTACCAATCCCTGCAGTTCCGGCTGCAGGCCATCGCTGAAGAGCCTCTGGGAGCGCTTCTTGTACCTGTTCAACCCTCCCAACAACGAGAATGGCAACCTCCACATCTCGCAGGTCGGTGCTCCTAAACCCTAAACCCTAAACCCTAAACCCTAAACCCTAAACCCTAAAATCCGGAATCCCCGTACATCTGCCTCTAAAGCCTGACAACAAGCGTCGCCTTGCGGCAGATCGCCGGCTCGCGGTGCGTGTCGATGTCCGTTGGATCGCCGGGGGGCCTATGCAAGACAAGGGTTGCCGGGTTTAGGGTTTAGGGTTTAGGGTTTAGGGTTTAGGGTTTAAGACAAGTAGACGCCCCTAGGCTCAGGGATGCCCCCTTTTGCACATGAAACATGCTTGTGTTGCTGTTAATTGTCGCACAGCAGTGTAGTTGAAGCAGATGAAAACATCATCCGCCCCCCCTCGGAGCCGAATCCCTAGCCTTCTGTACTCTTCTGTTGCAGGGCCTGCTTGGAGTTTGAGCTGGACAGCATGAACACACTGGGCAAGGTTCGGCAGACTTCGATTGTGAGCGCTCTGAGACAAAAGTGATTTTGCATCCGGTTGCTGCCTGGTAGATTCTTGCTGTTGATGCGTAAGATCCCAGCTCTGCCTTTCCCAGATCGGCAAAATCTTCAAAGTGTAGGGTGTCTTAAGTCAAAGCAACGTGACACCTAGAATTTGAGTACGGTGAGATGTCTTTTATGTTGTCCTCGCTTGAAGGTGCCTTTTGATGACGAGCTGGTGGAGGGAGGTCCTCTGATCTTCCACGCGGAGCCATACTCTTGTCTGACAGCAGCGGACATCTTGCTCCTATAGCGGTACGAGACGGCAACATACTGGTGCCGCCAAGGCCTCACGTGGACAAGACGACAGGCACGTGCATCTGGTGCATCCACCCTGGATGGGATTTCCAATGGTTCTTAGGACAGGCTGCGAATGATTGGAGTGAAGGGCGGTTGGATTGCTTTAGCATCGGGGCCCATCACAGCTTGGAACGTGAGTCCTTTGCAACAGGCGAGTGGGTGACGTGCGCGATTCAGCTCCGCATCAGCCCGGAGGACACGAGTCTGAAGCATCTTCCGGGGCTCTGCGCAGGGGGTGTCGGGCTTCCGACACTTCTGTGAACTTTTTGGGCATGTTTGGCAAGAGTCCCACGTGGCAGCCTCGATTTCCAGGACATGGGCCTCAAGCCGGAGTGCGCTTCCCATCACCACGCTGTGCTGTTTAGACAAGGGCCCTATGGCATCTGCAGGTTTTCTGGAGGTTTCTGCTGGGCTTCTGGTGAGCTTGTGCAGCAGCAGGTATGTGGTTTTCTCTGTGATGCCAGACACCTCGTCCGGCCCCGAGGGCGAAGCCTCTTTTGTCAATAGCGTGTGGACCATCAGCAGCCTGAAGACATGGTCATTATCAACAAGGGACAGGGAATGACAAGCATATGAAATGCCAGACACGTATGTGGGTTTCCGAAATTAGGGGTACCCTTATGGGGGTCGTGATTGTAAGGGCATCCTACCATTTGGGGTCTACATTGGGGGTCCCCTATCTTCGTAGACCCTCGTATGTTTTTCAGCTGATGCCCGAAGTGACTGGCTGATTGGCTCCAATAAGTTTGCAAGTCTCTGCGCCGCTTCTCAACTCCTTCGGGTAAGTCCGGTGAGTCCCTAAACCGTAAGCCCTTCCTAAGGTGTAATGTAGGCTACCAGACCCGCAAAGCTCTTCTCAACTGCCAGAGCAGGCGGACCCCAGGCGCGCCAGTTCGCCGCCGTCTGATCCGCCGTATCTCCACAGAGCCGGGGTGCTGAGCGTCAGGGCGTGTCAGGGCTGTCACCCCCGCATCGTCCAGGCACATAGGCTAATTACATAGGCCACCAATATGGATACTTTGCAGCTCCAGACACGCTTCAGTCTTGACGTGGGCTTAGGGTTCAGGGTGTAAGCGTTTCCAACTGGAGTAATTCGGACGCTGGGGGGGAGGGGTAGGCGCTAACCAAGGACTGGGAACCGATCAGCGAAGATGGAGAGAAAGATGGTGAGGGTTTTGGGTGCTTTAGTGCTGGCTCGTAACGCTTCCTGACAGCGTGTCCTCGTTGGAGGTTTCAAAACTTCGGAGCTGCAGCATGGGATTGGGGCAGCTTCCAGTTGGTCTTCACACTTGGTGGCTGTTCGTGGAACCCTTAAATATTTATTTTGGGAGGGAGGGTTAGCGGCGTGCCACGTGTCTCACAAGGGTTTCCATGGGCGCGCCGGTGTGCGGGGGGGGGGGGGGGGAGAAGAAGAAGAAGGAGAAGAAGAAGAAGAAGAAGAATAAGACGAAGAAGAAGAAGAAGAAGAAGAAGAAGAAGAAGAAGAAGAAGAAAGAAGAAGAAGAAGAAGAAGAAGAAGAAGAAGAAGAAGAAGAAGAAGAAGAAGAAGAAGAAGAAGAAGAAGAAGAAGAAGAAGAAGAAGAAGAAGAAGAAGAAGAAGAAGAAGAAGAAGAAGAAGAAGAAGAAGAAGAAGAAGAAGAAGAAGAAGAAGAAGAAGAGAAGAAGAAGAAGAAGAAGAAGAAGAAGAAGAAGAAGAAGAAGAAGAAGAAGAAGAAGAAGAAGAAGAAGAAGAAGAAGAAGAAGAAGAAGAAGAAGAAGAAGAAGAAGAAGAAGAAGAAGAAGAAGAAGAAGAAGAATAGAGTCCGCTTGTTCCGAGGGGGAGACTGACACGACGAGGTACATGCGCACATTGGGGTGCGCTAGAGCACGGGGAGTCGTCCCAGACCCCATTGACAAGAAGAAGCGACGAAGAGGAATCGGAAGAGTCGCACATGAAATCCCTGCGCGGTTGCCCGGCCAGCATGCTGCTAAGGTATCCGTCGCCTGTCCACACCATCGCGTTGACAGAGAAGTACATCGTCATGATCCAGATCCCATATCCCCTGAATTGGGCCGAGAGCTCAGCGAGGCTCAGGATGCTCAGACCCAGGCTGGGAGACTTTTCAAAAGGACGGAGTCTGCGGACTCAACCCTAAACCCTAAACCCTAACCCCCAGTGGCTATCCTGTCAGATCGTGGAAGATGTTGCCAGTAGCACCAGAAGGCCGCCACTTTTCTTTGGCCGAGGATGGCATGCTCAATGCGGAGGCTCGATGGCTGATGGATGGCTCCGGGCTTGGATGCAACAATATGCAACAAACGGTTTTACACTGTGTGTTCCTCTGCCAGCTAGGCAGCAGCGATTTTGTGGAGCGTGGGCGATTTAACCTGCTTTTCAGGTGTCTATGAGGGTAACCTCAACGACTACAACACCTGGCAGCCTGAGCGCCAGAAGCTTGGTGCGTGGAGCCTCCCCAGAGTCGCCTCCACTTGTTCCGTCGCCGCCAGGCCCGACGACCATCCGCATCATCAACCGAGTCACCGGTGAAGAGACCCAGGTCTTCGAGACCGATCCGTGCCCCCGGCATGTCACAGGCTGCAGAAGCTTCGCCAAGCGCGTGTGGACACATGGACATGGTCACCTTGTCCATCTGCAGCTGCATCAGCTCTGCATAAAGGAGAGGCAGTTGGTGAAGTTCTTTGTAAGGCTCAAGGACTTCAGGGTACGACGGAGCACAAAGGGATGTAATTCCGATCCTGCAGGCGTGCCTTGCGAAAAGGCACGCACCCGGACACGACTTGCGGAGGCAGCGTCATGGCGATGGCGCCTTGTGGCGATGCGTGGCCCTTCGAGCAAAGAGGCCAGACTCTGCAGATTTCTGCTCCGTTTTCCTGACTCCTACCATCTCCTACCCAAAAAACTCTAGGTGTAGATTTCGGGGTGCACATGGTTCCCCAGCATGTTGGAGCGCTGTCTGTGAATCTTGGGCAGCTCGAGAAATGGCGGCGCTGGCCGCGCCTGGCGACTCCCGAGCTGGCACGAGCTGCCCCCCAGGCACCGAGATGCACAGAGAGATGAGAGCAGATCCAAGATGGTCTAAGTGTTTCCGAAAACAGGGGTACCCCTCTATACCCCAAATAGAACAGAATCCCCTTAAAATGGGCCCCGAAAGGGTACCCCCTATTTTCGGAACCCCCCCCCCCCCCCCCCAATTCGTTCGCAAGTCCATCCGCTGAAGGAGAGGTCGTCATCGTGTTCTCGTCGATGTGTAGCGTCGTCAATGGTGGAAGAGGGACAGGGGGAAGTCATCTTTTCAGAGGTTATGAGACTCAACTGACTGGTACTCGCTGGGCTTTTGAGTCCGGTTCCTTGCTCTGCTGTTGCTTCGCTTGGCGGGCTTATGCTCTGAGAGGCAGTTCTGTCCATCCTGCACGCCATGCAACGTGCCAGGGTACCAGTTCGCAGCCCAGGAGCGAGTGGGCAATCTGCTGAGCAGTTGGCTTTTCAAGTTTGTTCACGTCGGCTTTCCAGCACTTAAGGTCAACTCCTTCCACCGCAGCGCGGCCATCGCAGGTTTGGCGAGAGGACGCACTTGCGGCAACTTTACGGCCCTCAACCCTAAACCTATAAACCCTAAGCCCCTGAACCCTGAAGCCTTAAACCCCTAAACCCCTAAACCCCTAAACCCCTAAACCCCTAAAGCCCTAACCCTAAAACCCTCAAGAGTTCCCACATCCTCGGGCCTTAGGGGTTTAGGGTTTAGGGTTTAGGGTTTAGGCTTCCCTGGAATCTGGAAGAGGACAGCTTTGGCAAGAAGCTTTGGCTGTCGCCGATGGCGCTTTGGACGTGGTCACTGGAAATGCCGCCCTCGGGGCCTGCGAGAAGGTGCCATCGGCTTAGGGTTGAGGGTTTAGGGTTTAGGGTCCCCCCCCTACACCCCCAACAGTAAATACCCCCCCCCCCCCCCACATACTATAATATAACTATAGTGGGAGTATTTTTAGGGGGGTTGGGTGGGTTTACTATGGGGGGAGGGGATTATGAGTGTGATGAGGCCAGCCTGTGGCCCACGGCGCTTGCTCTGCTTGACGAGCTCGTCTTGTTGAACCACGTGGATGTGAACAGCTCAGTACCGAGTAGGACCGTGCAGATTTTCTTTTCGTTGCAGGAAGTGGAACGTTTCTGGATATTTGGGGTCGGACGTGTCATGTATGTATTACCAGCCCGGTTTAGGCCAAAAGCTGTCCAGGGTGCTCTTTGGTTGGAGTTTGGTGGCGGTTGAGGTCATCAGCTACAACACTTGCATCAGTGCCTGCGCCAAGAACTCCGAGTGGAGCTACATGGCTTGCATAGGACAGACGCTCGCAAGACGACTCAAGACGCAGACTTTGCCAAGGTTGGGCCCAGGTCTTGCTAGACCGAATGCCAACCAACAAGCTGGCCCCTGACCGCGTGACATTTAACTCCGCGCAGCCTGGCATTCTTGGTGTGCGTTGCTACTCCATAGTGGATTTTTTGTCTGGGCCTGTCACATCGCCTAGTTTAAAAGGATGCTGGCATTTGCGCGTGCGCAACGGTGGCAAGCTTCACTGCACCTTTTTGAGGACAGAGCCGATCCCAACCATGTTGAAGACCCTGAAGGCGTAGCCTCCCTGTACAGTCCAAAAGCCCACATTCACCCACATCCACTCAGCAGAGCCCTAAACCCTAAACCCTAAACCCTAAACCCCAAACCCCAAACCCCAAACCCCAAACCCTAAACCCTAAACCCTAAACCCCGCGATTTCCACAAACATGGTCCCACCATGCCCCGGTCGTTCAGGAGCTCCCGCGGCAAAGGCTGGCGGCGGATGAGTTTTCGGTGACGGCGGCCATCCATGCTTGCGAAGCAGCGGGCGCCTGGCAGCCACCTGGCCATCTCAAGAGCACTCGAAACTTACTGTTGGTGAGCAGGAATGAGGGAGTTAGGGCCCTATATATATATATATATATATATATATATACCCTTCCAGGGATTCGACAGGCCACCTCGTTTCCCCCATTCCCTAGTACCCTGGAGCTTCATCTTGCCTTCAAAAAAGCCGGGGGAATGGAGGGAAGAAGGCTAGGATGGGCTGAGTCTGCGCAGATCCCAGGTTGGCCCTGGCGATACTGAAGCTTGGCAGGGTTTAGGGTTTAGGGCTTAGGGTTTAGGGTTTAAGGTTTAGGGTTTGGGGTTTGGGGTTTAGGGCTTAGGCAGAAAGATTCGTGAACGAGAGCTTCGTGCTGTGTGCCGATGCCCAGGCAGGAAACCTCGGCGCCCACCCAGCAAAACTGGAACGCAGCCATTAGCGCCTGCGAAAAAGGCCTGGGGGTCATGAAAGAGGGTTGGTCCGCAGCACGCTGGGCTTCAGAAGAGACATGAAAAGACTACAGCCGCGACGAACCTGCCGTTCTGCAGGTCGCCAGTGGCAGCGTGCCATCGACCTCCTGCTGCGGTTCCCCGCGGCCGGCTGGGGACTCGGGCCTCCAGCAGCGCATGCGGACGCAACTCCATCACTGTGTAGGTCTTCTTGATACCCTGAGGCCTTCGGCGCGATGTGATCTCCTACAACGCCGCCATAAGCCGGCACCTTGAGTTTCAGCGCATCGTCGCCGCTGTTGCCGCGTTGTGCGAAGCAGGTGGATGCGCAGGGGCAGGGCAGTGGCCGGCAGCCCTGGATCTCCTAAGCCTGATGTGCCAGGAGCTCTTGCACGTCGCTTTTCGCGTGGGCACGTGACACACACACACACAGCCTCCCTGGCTTGGCTCGGAGCCTTCTAGGCTGGTCGGAGCCCCTGCCTTTCGGCCTCTTTGCTTTTCTTCGCTTCTCTTGGCTTTTCTTGGCTCTTCTTCGCTCTTCTTTGCTTTTCTTGGCTTTTCGGGCTTCTCGTCTTCCTGGCCCTGCTGAAGATAGCGGAAAACAACAAAACAGGGTGTTGGGTTGTTTGCTCCAAGCTTGAGGTGGTTTCTTGAGTTGAAGATCACGCCCGTGCCTGACCCCCTCTCATGAGTTACTCTACGCAGATGCCCTTCTTCTACCAAATCCTCGAATGCAGCGAGGATTCGCCCTTTCCGTGTGAGGCTGTCTACATACATGGGTGTTTTCCTATTCACACACGACGAAAAGGGAGGCTTTTTATGCTACAAACGTGTGGCAAGATACAGAGGAAATCGAGGTTGTTAATTTGTTGGGGTTCCCGGGGCATGACGTCTTTGATGCATCTTGGATTGGCGTCTAGGCTCAGGTGTTGAAGCTCTGCTCGGGCCTGTTGGATCCCCTCAGTTTGCGGGGGGTCTTCAAAGGTGACCCTTCAGGGTCAGGGAACCAAGAGGCATTTTAGACCCTTCCCGGCTTGCCATTGCAGACCTCCCCCGGCCTGGAGCCGCTCCGCCTCCGCGAGAGCGCTCCCGCAAGCCCACGCGCCTCTCGCTCAGCTCCCTCTCTCCCTCTTTCCCTCTTTCCCTCTTTTCCTCTCTTCCTCTCTTCCTCTCTTCCTCTCTTCCTCTCTTCCTCTCTTCCTCTCTTCCTCTCTTCCTCTCTTCCTCTCTTCCTCTCTTCCTCTCTTCCTCTCTTCCTCTCTTCCCCTCTTCCTCTCTTCCTCTCTTCCTCTCTTCCTCTCTTCCTCTCTTCCTCTCTTCCTCTCTTCCTCTCTTCCTCTCTTCCTCTCTTCCTCTCTTCCTCTCTTCCTCTCTTCCTCTCTTCCTCTCTTCCTCTCTCTCTTTCTTTCCTTTCTGTTTCATTTGAGAGAAAAGAGAACGTGAAAGGCTCCGTGCCTTGCGATCTGGGTCAGCTTCCCCTGATAAAGAGAGAGAAGGTCCCTACTTGCCGCTCTCTGCTCCCTCCCTCAGCTCCCTCAGCTCCCTCTTCCTCTCTCGCTCCCTCTCCTTTCTTTACCGCTCTCTGAGAAGTTAACTGTTCTCTGATACTAGTGCACTCTCTCAGCATCCCTTTTCCCAAGCGGGTCGGTGTGGCCAACAGCTCTGGCGCATGCTGCGCAAAGAGCCCGCCCGTCTGGAGGAATGTCACCTTCACTTGTCGAGCGCAACTCAGGACTGTTCCAACTGTCCCCCCCGCAACAAAAGGGGGCAGCCTCAAAAAGACCACGAAGGCATTACCTGATTACTTTTTCACGAGTCCTTCTTTGCCACACATATCCAGATAACACAGATGCTTGTCTTTCCATATCTTTTCCTTGGAGAGTACGAGAAGGTGCCCCTTAAGTGGATCAGCCATTGAGAACCGATGCGGCATTTGATGCAAAAACTCCCCAGCGCTTTTAGGCTTATCATGGCTTGACTATCAACACCAAGGAAAAATTAAGGTGGCTATAGCTGCTAGCCGCTGGCCTTCACGATGTGAGCATTTTAGCAAACATCCTGGAGCCTGTGACTTTACACCCCGTAGCCCGGAAGCCAGTTTGTCTTACAATTACAATTGTAACCTACTACTTCAGACCTCACACCTCGAAACCAGGCCGCAGGATGCGCGTGTTGGCTAGGCCTACTTTGGTGCCATGAGATGAGAAAAAAAAAGAACCAGATGTTCTTTGTTCGTAGACGAGAATTCTGCGACATTCAAGGCAGACGAGAATTCTGCGACATTCAAGGCAGGCTGGTCCAGTGGCCAAGTTTGGGGGGAGATCCATAGCCAACACACAACACGTCCATAGCCAACAAAAGGTCTAAAATGGGTTATGCCCAGTCCCTGGGAAATAGCACAGTTGGGGGTCTAAAATGGGCGCCCTAGGCCCCTGCCCTGACAAACTGAGGGGATCCTGTTGGCACGTCGCGCTTCAGACAGAAACGACTATCGCCAATAATCGTCAGTTTGCCATCATCTCGTGCAGTCAAGCACCTAGCAAGTCTCCTTTCCATGCGGTTTGGAAAGCACCTGATACGGTTTTTGTGCGAGAGACATCGTCTCCCAGAATGCAGCATTTCTGGCCTACTTTGGTGCCATGAGATGAGAAAAATAAAGAACCAGATGTTCTTTGTTCGTAGACGAGAATTCTGCGACATTCAAGGCAGGCTGGTCCAGTGGCCAAGTTTGGGGGGAGATCCATAGCCAACACACAACACGTCCATAGCCAACAAAAGGTCTAAAATGGGTTATGCCCAGTCCCTGGGAAATAGCACAGTTGGGGGTCTAAAATGGGCGCCCTAGGCCCCTGCCCTGACAAACTGAGGGGATCCTGTTGGCACGTCGCGCTTCAGACAGAAACGACTATCGCCAACAATCGTCAGTTTGCCATCATCTCGTGCAGTCAAGCACCTAGCAAGTCTCCTTTCCATGCGGTTTGGAAAGCACCTGATACGGTTTTTGTGCGAGAGACATCGTCTCCCAGAATGCAGCATTTCTGGCCTACTTTGGTGCCATGAGATGAGAAAAAAAAAAGAACCAGATGTTCTTTGTTCGTAGACGAGAATTCTGCGACATTCAAGGCAGGCTGGTCCAGTGGCCAAGTTTGGGGGGAGATCCATAGCCAACACACAACACGTCCATAGCCAACAAAAGGTCTAAAATGGGTTATGCCCAGTCCCTGGGAAATAGCACAGTTGGGGGTCTAAAATGGGCGCCCTAGGCCCCTGCCCTGACAAACTGAGGGGATCCTGTTGGCACGTCGCGCTTCAGACAGAAACGACTATCGCCAACAATCGTCAGTTTGCCATCATCTCGTGCAGTCAAGCACCTAGCAAGTCTCCTTTCCATGCGGTTTGGCAAGCACCTGATACGGTTTTTGTGCGAGAGACATCGTCTCCCAGAATGCAGCATTTCTGGTTTCGCGAAACAATGCGGCATCTCGCCTATCTTGAGTGGCACTGTGCAATATCCCGCCGAATGTTTTGCAGCACGCTCCCGCACGCTTCCCGAAAGTTCAAGCATTATGCCCATTATGCCCAGAGGATTGACATGCCATGTGGCCGTGCCAAAACTGAAATGCGAAACCCAGGAAAGCACAAGCTTCGGTGGTGCAGCGTTTCCGGAGCTCTTAGCTTTTTTAATCCCTTCACCCTCATATTCACCCCCCCCCTACCCCCTAATATTACCCCCCCCTATATACTATATGCTACCTATAGTGGGGGTTATCCCTAATATCAGGCGTAGGGGGGTCTTAATATCAGGGGGAGGGGATCATACGCGAGGATGGCTGCGAGCGTGACGTTGTGAGCTTCAGTGCGGCCATCAGTGCCTGCGAAGACCGCGGGCAGTGGCAGCTGGGCTTGCTCTTGCTGAGCTGGATGCCACTTGGCTAGCGTGGAGTCGGGCGGCCAGTGCAAAAGTTCTGGTGCTGCGGGTGTGTTTCGGGTGATCCGGGTGTGCTTTCGCAGGGTCTGGCAAGGGTCTGGTATGGGCAAGGAGAGCAGCTGCCAATGCTGTTACAATACTTCTATGTTGATGTCTTGCGTCGACTTTTTGTACCTTAGAGAGAGCCGCTGGCCCAAGGTTCCAGTGTGGGAAAGGCCATGAACCAGTAAGTTGTGCGGGCGAGGTTGATCAGGATGCCAGACACAACAGTTGGAACTTGACAACCGTGTGCCTTTGACTGGCCGCTTCGAGGCAGTCGATCGACATCCGTCCTAACGAAGTGTCGTGCGGCGCGGCGATTTCTGCATGCCGAGCCGAGGGACAGTGGCAGACTCTCGGCAAACGTGTGATACATTTGCGGCATGTCTTCGACCCCAAGCCTACAATCAGCCGAACCTGTGTTTCCATAGGTTTGCAAACTCATATTTGTGTGAGTATACTCATGAACCAAACACAGGATTGCTCTTGGGCTCCTATTCGACATGTCCCAGCTGGGCTTGCATCCCAACCGAGTGAGCTGCAATGCGGCAATGGCCGTTTGCGAGTCTGCCGGTGTGCCTCGGCCAGCAATGTCCCCCTGCATTTTCCGATCAATTGCTCTGCCTCCTGAGTTAGGCTTTCAACTGGTGCTTCTGATGCTTCTGCATGCTTCGTGTCTTGCTGCGATCTGCTGCCAGGAATGGCAATGGTCGCTGTGGCTTCTCAGCCTACTTGGTGCGCTTCGGTTCGCAGAAAGCTCCGGTGCGCAATTCTGGTGTTTGTTGGAACCATGATGCATTGCGTCGGCTTCATGGCACGTCAACGTGTGTTTTCGTTCTTGCCTCTCTGATGTTACACTTAGACTGTTAGACCGGTTCTAGAAGCTTTGATCCGGATTGTTGGGAATGTTAAAAAATCAGGTTCGTTGCTATCAATGAATCCTAGGCGCCCGGAGACAACGGGATGAAGCCCTCAGAGCAGAGCTTCGGCGCGGTGATCTCGGCCTGCGCTGCAGGCCACGGTGCCACGTGCTTAAGTCTGTGGACGCCTCTGGGCTCGAGATGTCACGTCGTGAACTCAAGAGGTGCACTGGAAAGCTTTGACAGCCGCGCAGGCAGCGAGTGGCAGAGAGCGCTCCTTCTCTTCGAGTCCTTGCAAGATCTCTCCCCCGATGTGGATCGGATTGCTTGGAGTGCAGCGGTGACTGCTTGCGAGCCATGGAAGCATGTAACGTGCAAGTGCTGCACATCATGCCAGCCAGCATGGCACAAGCAGGGGAATAGGTACAACCGCGGCGCGATGACGCACCCACAGCGCTAAGGAGAAAGGTGCGCAGTGGCAGTGACCCGGCATACTCGTAAATGCAGTGAGGCAGTCCAGCTCGGATCCCCACAGGCGCAAAAAGCGCCCTTTTTCACCATCCCTTGCAACCATCCGAGGTTGGCTGTGCATTTTCTGAGCAGTATGGTCCATCAGGACATCTCGCCTGACGTGATTGTGTGCAATGCCGTCTTGAGCTCCTGTGAGAAGGCATCCTATTGGACGCTGGCTCTGTGCCCGCGCATGTTGTGAGCAAATGTTCCTTCATTTAGCACTTTTCATGGGCTAATGGCCACAGCTACCGTATGGATAGTGTTCTATAAAACAATAGATATTCGGCTGCACAAGAAGATGGTTGTGCTGCAAGCAAGGCACGTGCTTCGAGTCATGCCCGACTTTGAGCTCACGCCGAACGACATCAGCTTCAACGCAGCCCTGCATGCCTGCTACAAGGGGCAGAACATGTTGCACAGCCCCACCTGAGGCGTGAAACGGCTTTGGGGGGCTCTCAAGCTTGTGATCCAACTGCGAATTGGCCAGACATGGCCAGACATTCGCAGAGGAGCGCGAAATCGGCCTCGGTGTCGAGGAAAGTCGAGGACGAGGGCCCGAAGATGCAACTCAGATGCTCTCGCAGAGCTATGGCTGCAATGCGTGGCCTGGTGCATGGAAGCCGGCGTGTTGAGCCGAGAAAGAAAAGGGAGCAGTCAGTCCACTAAACGCGCAACAGACGATGCTCCGGTAGTGTTGGCCGATGCTTTGCATGATGTTTAACTCAAGACAGTTCAGAGACTCAGACTTGGGAGGTTCTTCTTCTTCCACATCATCAATGCGTTTGAGGCGCGATGAGCCGTTCTTCAGAACATCTCACCTGCTGGGCGGCATGCTGGCTGCACAAGCATCATGCAGCACATCCATAGGTCGTTGTGCGCATGAATCAAGGGGCACATCCTTGGGCCCTCTGCTTAGTGACTCCAGTGACCCCAGTGGGTTGGACATGGTTTCTCAGTCTAAGTAACGGGGTTGCGGTGGCATCTTCTCGGGTGCTAGCAGAAGCCGCTAAACACCACTAGTTGGGCTTGGCACAGGAGAAGGGCGGATCCTCCGATGAGGACCAGCCCTTTCAGCCACCGTGGCTGCCAAGAACACAACCCTAAACCCCAAACCCTAAACCCTAAACCCTCAACCCTCAACCCTAAACCCTAAACCCTAATTGTGAGTGAGCTAGACTAAGTTGCTTCTTATCTTTGAGTGCTCGGAATGTGCGGAGGACGAGATAGTCAACCTGGATGTGGTGTGCTACAATGAGCCGTGGCGCTCTCAAGATGCGCACCAGGTCAAGCATCGATGCTAAGTCGGCTACGTCTGCTACATATCACGTAGATATGATATTTTATATTATATTATATATATACATATATATATATATATGCTCTAATGTATATACTCTAGTGATGTCATGACTCCGGTTGGGGCTGCTTCTGTAGGTGTGCAGGGGCTCAGACTGAGGCCTGTTGGCTTCCCACTTCGCCAGGCCGGCAGGATGAGTCAACTCGTCAGCGAATCTCTGGGCAAAGCAGAGTTTCTAGCGAGGGCTGGCATGGGGTGGCTATGCAGTCCTTCTATGTCCTTGCACGCGCTGAGTGCATCTGAAGGCGCGGTCTGGAGATGTTGAGGATTGGCGCGGTGGCGGCGGAGAGGCAAATGCATGTGGGGAAGGGGTCGGATAGTTTAGTTTCAATCCTGTACTTTAAAAAACTGCTCTTGAACGACCCTACTCGTAGAGCGAACGAGTAATGCCTAGCAGCGGGATTCTCGCCAGAGACCGGCCCGCCGGGAAAGAGCGCTCATTCTTATACTTGCCCTTCGTGACAGAAGGTCTTAAGTGTCCGTGGTCAGGTCCGGCGATTCGCCATGAACATCAGGTCTGGAGCTTTGTTGACAAACTGCTTTAACAGCTCAGCTTGCAGTTGATGAGCCTTTGCCCCCCCCCCCCTTCCCCACCCCCAGAGAACACAACACAGAGTTTGATCTCCAGGACTGGAGAGTGCACCTGCACCGGTTGGCCAGACAACTGCTTCGACGAGCCCAAGATCAACCCCAAGGCACCTCAAAGAAGTTCCCCGCTTTTTACTTGTCCCGACTCTCTTGGGTGCAAGCGCGCATTACCCACACAAAGCCCCCGCCCCCCCCCCCCCCCCCCCCCCCCCACAACAAAGCAGCAATTTGCTGAAGCATCCTAAGCCCAGAGCATGCCCCCTGAACCCTAAACCCCAAACCCCAAACCTGAAACCCCAAACCTGAAACCCTAAACCCTAAACCCCAAAGCCCAAACCTGAAACCCTAAACCCTAGAACCCCGCAGCCCTTGTGGCAGCAGGTTGATGGTGTTCGACATCGGTACAGCTGGGGTGTCATCGACGACAATGGCATGTCGGAGTCTCAGGATGACGGACATTTGGGAGTTTGTGAGAATAGGGTTTAGGGTTTAGGGTTTAGGGTTTACGAAATAAGGTACCCCTAGCATAGACCCCTCAAATCCTAGGATCCCCTTAGAATAAGGACCCCCAATAAGGTACCCCTTTTCTCGTAAACCCACACATTTGGCCCAGAATGCACACCTGATTGACCAGGAGACTATCAGCCTGTAGCAGCCTGCCGCGAGTCTAGCATCACGTGCTTGTGGGCCCCTTGAGTCAGCGTTGCCGGTCTTGAAGCTTGGTAAGAGAGAGAGAGACGTATGCTAACCTCTTGACGCCCAGGCTTCGCCTCACAAAGCAGGACCACGACACCCACGCAGTTATGAAGCGAGGGCCTTTGTTGAAGCCACGTGAAACAGGGTGTATATTTCTTTTATTGGTGAGTGCATATAAGGTCCCTTTCCAATCTTGGTGAGTGTACAGATTTGGCGTCCTTTTGGGGATACAAGGAATACCAGCCGTACTTCATATCCCAATGTCAACCTGTTTGTCAACCCTCCATGTCTGAAGCCTTCTGAAGCAGAAGAGTCCTGTGAGTAAACCCTATGGTTTGGGATGTTCCCCTATATACGAAAAGTCCTTCGTAGGGGATTATAGTCCACCCATTGTCATCCCGATTAAGGACAGTTACTATCGGGGGGAACATCCCAACCTATGCCTCTTCTGCAGCGGTGACCCCCATTTCATGCCTTCGTCGTCGCTCCCTGAACTGTGTTTCATATTTCCCACAGGCAACAGGAGTGTCGTAGCATGTTGCAATGTCTCAGTGCAGGCGAAACAGCGCTTCAGAAGATGTAAGATGTGAGATTCCCTACAGATGTGGGCCTGAGAAGAGTGTCTGTGGCCGGCAATCCTAACCATTAAATGGCAACTGGTTCAAGTCGCCTTTTTTGCAGGCTTAAGGCAGTGTTACTGTGTTACTGTTGAAGTTTGTTGGAGCCAGCTTCGAGACCAGGTTCGGGCTGTGCGAGGAGCGAAGTCGAAGCGATGTCACCGCACGTCTCAATCTGGACCACAAGCTGTCCAGAATCCCACACGTTTGCGAATCCCGGGCTGGGGGCCTCGAGCCAAGGTGGGAAGGTCAAGACGTGACTCGCGAACTGCCTTGGCAGCCTGTGTTTGTGCCGCAGCCTCGGACAAGGCATGCCATGTACGCGAAACTGCTGCAAGCGACCCGAGCCGATTTTCCCTGGGCATTCGTCAGAGCAGATGAACCAAGGCCGGAACCATACAGCAACGAAGAGGATGCAGGACGGATTTGGGGGTGGGTGATGTGTTTATGACAAGGACACTTGTTAGGCCAGGGTGGGACCTGCGGCACCCCAACTCCCTCAGCCCACCAGTTCAGAAAGTCTCGTAAATGGAGTACATTCCAGTGACAGATGGCGACAGGTGCTGTTTTGAGCTTCGTTCGTGACCAGCTTCTGCCTTACTTGCAAGGGAAGGGGCTGCCAGAGTTGCTTGCCAAGTACGAAGAATTTACACAAGACTGGTCTGCGTGGCTTGCCTCTAGCTTCTGGACATTTCTAGAGCATTTCCAGAGGGCCACGTCGTACAGCTGTTGAGGCCCACTGGCGATTCATTCTGCGTGGTCCTCAACGCGAAGACCATGGAAGAGCAGGTGCAGTCCCGTCAGACGTCAAATCAGACCTTACCCTCCACTTCTGCGATGGATGCTTGTCACAGCATGTCCTGCAGGCTCGCATCCACTTCCCTGCTGGGCATCACGTGCCTCTGCACCTCGCAAGCAAAGATTCGGTTGTCTTTCTTCACTCCGTGGTTTGATCTCTGTGGATACTCTTGTTGTGGACCAGCATAGCGTTTCTTCGACGCAAATCCTCAAGCTCTCCAATCCGCAGGAAACCATGATACTGATCCCTTGCGCAGAGTCCGCCAGGCACGGCCATGGCGCCTTCTTCTCTGGCAACGTCTGAGAGGCAGAGGGCCGAACCAGCAGCATTATGGGGTGCATGTAGGTGCGGTTACATGAACGACTCTCATGCCTTGACTCCATTGACGCAGGAACACAGCCTGGATGCTGGCCTGAGCAACTGCTTCAGGGTCACAGCCCAACAAGCTTCACGAAGCTATGGCAGATTCGCTCGCTCCAGTCGGCTGATGTTGCTATAACACTCTAGGGGCTTGAGGGTTCCGACATCGACTCGGATTTGCTGCCGGAGCGGCGCCCACTATCGGTTTTGCACCCGAAAATTGTATCCAAGGGCTTGCGAGGGATTGACCTCACACACCTGCTGCTCGATTGCGGCAGTTATTGGAGATCCCTGCTTGCAGCCCCATCATTTTGATCGAGTTTCGCTGAGTCGCTTTCAGCTGAACTGTGCAGCTGCCTTGCAGAGATCGCATCCGAAGCAACATAACTAGTCAGGCTAGCCCAAGCTAGCCTGCCTCCAGAGCTGACTGCATGAATCTGCATAAGGCTAAGGAGATTTCCGGGTCTCTGATGAAGCTGCTACAGCAGATGCCGTGAACGGCTGAGACTTTTCCCCGACATGCGTGGCTTTTTGAACATGTGGGTTCGAGTAGGAATCCAGGCACTTGGGGACCCACGCGCCCCGTTGCATTACTTAGACGGGCAGCCAGAGCGACAGAGAGCAAGCATCGCAGGTGCTCAACAGAGATTTCGGTCATACCACATGTAGTTCACACTATACATTGCCATACTACATATGTCTGTGCACACACACACACACCATGGTCTCCCATTTTGTCTCGACATGCGTGGATGCCGCGTCACTTCATGTCCGAAGTCCACATAAGTGGGCGGGCCACGTCGGCCACACTGTGGGAAAGGAACTCCAGCAGCCCCGCAACCCAAAGACTTCAATCTCAGAGCCTCCTGGTTCTGCTCCTTCCCCACAGGATCCCCCTGACCGGCCGCGGCTGATGCTTGACGGCAGCCCCACGACCGTACACACCACCCTACACGCCAGTGTGCACACCAGCAAGTCCAAAGTCTTCAGAGTTTAGGCCAGCCTAGAGGTGACCATTATCCAGCGCGTCAAGGTATTCCTGGACAAAAAACTGAGAAGGTTCGGAAGGCTTCTTTCACAAAGCACAGACCCCAAGCAGAGCCCCATCGGAGCGTCGTCGCTTCGGGGCCGCGGCTGGCAGCGTGGAGCTTTTCCATATTTACGGCCGCGAGCTCAGAGGTTGAATCCGTGGACATGGTTCCTTGTTGGCCCCCTTGCCACACAAGAGTTCACAGGAGTTTCTTGAGCTTACCTGTCCTTGGCTGAGGCCCCATTGCCGTGGGCCGCTCTTGCGCTCCGACCCTGCCTGTACAGCTCTCTGCTGAGCAAGGACGGAAGTACCAAGTACGCGTGTCGCGTGTCGAGCAGGGAAGACTTCTCTGCTTCCGAGCGGCTGTTGAATGGGATCAGTGGGGTATAGTGGGGTTCAGCGGAGTATGGCTCGTGAGCGTGTATCCTTAGTCCGGATTACTCGTACGCCTAAGACTTTTACTGGTCCCATGTGCGGCATTTTAATTTCACTGAGCCACTGAGCCCTTGTGAAAGGCTGACTTTTTGAAGCCGCTGTCATGCGCAGCACTAGGGTCACTACTCACTAGAGCACAATTCGGTCGCGGACGACACCTCGCCACAAAAAGCCAAGAAGTTACGGAAGCTGAGCCATGAGATTGCTTCTGCCAGACGTGGATCATGCATTTGTGCCGTGCAGCCAGTGTCCTGCTTGATCCCAGCACATTCTCCAAGACGGTGCGCTTTCGCTCATGTCGTTCAAGGTTATGGACAGTCTAGGGATGATTTGAGTTCTTGGGCCGGCATGACTTTGATCTCCGACCAGAAAGCTGCTTGCAGTGAGTAGTCCTGACAGACATGCAATGCGTGGGTTGCAGTTTCTAGCACAGACTGGCCGCGTCTGGCCTGAGGTTTTTCTGTGGGGAGAACTTCGAGAGAACACTGAAGGAAAGCAGGTGCAAGTCGCTGGCTTCGTTTTGGTAGGCTGCGCATCAGGCCAAGATGCCAAACACAGCGACGTGAAATGGTGGGTCAGAATATGTCACGGCAGTTCGCGAAATAAAACGAAACATCTTCCACGGAAGTCACAAATCATCCGAAAATGACCGGAATGGTTTGACAGAATGGTTTCGGGATCTGACTTGTTGTCTAGACCAAAGAGTCGCAACTCACTTCCCAGCTCGATCCGGTGTGCGCTGAAAGGTTCATGGAGAAGAGCTATTAAGGCTTGGTGTGCCTCTGGTCCCTCGCTCCCTCCCTCACGTTTCAAGGTGTCTGTGCTGTGAAAAGCTGCAGTGCTCGCAACCCTCTAGCGCATCCGCGAACTTTTGTCCCACTTCCGACACTGCAATGGCGGTCAAGATCGGCATCAACGGATTTGGACGAATCGGTCGCATGGTCTTCCAGGCCAGCGGTGATCAGGGAGTGCCTTGCATCTTTCCTCGCGTTCCTGTTTTTTTGCATTGGCAGGGTCCCTCGAACTCCTTGAAGCGCGCTCCCACTTGCAGGCCATCTGCGACCAGGGACTTTTGGGCTCCAAGCTCGATGTCGTCGGCGTGGTCGATATGTCCACCGATGCCGAGTGGCAGGGCTGCAGGGTGAGATTTGGGGTGGGGGGTGGGCATGAACACGGATGTTGAAGGGCGTGTGATGGGGTGCGCATCTTCGCACCAAGGTACTTTGCCTACCAGATGAAGTACGCCACGCCCCGAGTTGCCAGATCTGACCACAGAAGTCCCAAAATCAGGTCATGCCTCTTTGATCTTGTCAGATATTCTCATGTTTTCTTCTCTCTGATCCACGACTCAAGAGGACTCCGTGCACGGCAAGTTCAAGCACGATGTGAAGATCGGTGAGAAGGACGAGCTGATCGTGAACGGCCACAAGATCAAGTGCCTTGGCCGAGATGTGACTTGGTTCTTGCCCGGGCGCGCCCAGTCGTGGCCTGGGCTCTAGGTTGTGCAGCTCTTGTCGTGCCTGTTCCCCGGAAGTCCGTGTGAAGTAGTGGGCAACATGCGCACAAGGTGCATCCAGGCCAGCCGCGAGGGCCCCAAGGCCCTGCCTTGGAAGGACTTGGGCGACATCGGGCAACGCCGCAGATGGCGAAACGAAAGCTTCCCTAGCTCCAAAGCGAAGCTATGCTCAAAGCTTGAGCTAACATGAGAGATGTATCATCTTTTGGAAGGACATGGGCGTCAAGTACGTCATCGAGTCCACCGGCCTCTTTGTGGAGTACGAGTGGCTAGGCTCTGTAGTTCTGGGCAGTAGAGGCAGGTCTCTTGCGGTGAAGGTCCTAAGCGATGTTTGGTTCAGCTGCGAGGGCCCGGATATCTGGATTTGTTCTGAGGAAGGCCGCAGGCCACATTGAGGCAGGCGCCGAGAAGGTCATCATCTCCGCCCCCGGCAAAGGCAACCTGAGCCTTGCCAGCTCAGAGAAGCGCAGGGGCTTTGCAGTAGGGCGCGGTGGTTGAAAGATGTTCAAAGTTGAAAGGTTTGCGGCAAGTAAGGTGCAGGAGGTGTTATTTGCAGGGCTTGCATGCCCGGGGAAAGTACCTTTGCTTGCTCATGTGGGCTGTTGGGGCTGATTGTGGCATGCGGGTCGATTCCAAGGAAGACGCTGGTCATGGGCGTGAACCACACCGAGTACGACAAGGCCGCCTGGGCAGTCCGCACTCGTCCGGGCTTGCTGTCGCGGGAGTGGCTTGCGGTTGCAGTAGCGCGTACAGTAAGCCACCGTCACAACCATGTCACGACAGGCCAACCACCACGTGGTGAGCAACGCCTCCTGCACTACGAACTGCCTCGCCCCGATTTGCCACGTGCTCCTCAAGGAGGGCGTCGGAATCGAGAAGGGACTGATGACCACCATCCACGCCTACACCGCCACTCAGAAGACCGTCGATGGCGTGTCTGCCAAGGATTGGCGAGGAGGTCGTGCGGCCGCATGCAACATCATTCCTTCCGCGACCGGGGCCGCCAAGGCTGTGGGTGAGGTGCTGCCCGTCACCAAGGGCAAGCTCACAGGCGGGTGGCCCTGAAAGACATAGGGCGTAGGACCTGTAGTACATACAGGTTTCTTTGTGTATTGAAAGCCCCGTCGTCATGTCACTTGATTGCCCCAGGTATGGCTTTCCGAGTGCCCACGCCAGACGTCTCTGTGGTGGACCTCACCTTCACTGCTGAGAAGGACACGTCGATCGAGGAGACCCGGGGCAGTAGTGGGCAGTCGTGAATGAACCGGTAGTTCAGTGTTTGAGCGGTCAAGTGCCTGACGCGGTTGGCAGTGGTTCTGCTGAGACCTGGATGACCCAGGAGATCGACAAGCTCCTGAAGGCAGCCACCGAGAGCTACATGAAGGGCGTGCTGTCCTACACAGACGAGGAGTTGGTGTCCATGGACTTCGTTCACAACAAGAACTCGTCCATCTACGACTCCAAGGCCACCCTGCAGAACAACCTCCCGGGCGAGAAGCGATTCTTCAAGGTCGTGTCCTGGTACGACAACGAGTGGGGCTACTCCAACAGGGTTGTGGATTTGTTGACGCACATGATCAACGCGTAGGCTCATGTAGGCACATCGATTTTCATTCTGCGCCATTTTGCGAGGCAGCCGGCAAATGCCGGCATGTCTCGATCGTTCAGCGCAGTCAGCACGTTGGCAGTCTGAATCGCATCAGCCAGGAAAAGCCAAAGTACTTTGAATTTGCAGCGAGTCATGTATCTATATTCAGTGTGCACATGAAGGCATGGAGACAGTAAGAGCAGTAGCTTATACTGCTGTGTGCCCGGCGGCAGCAGTGCTCGCAACCTCTAGCGCGTCCGCGAACTTTTGTCCCACTTCCGAAATTGCAATGGCGGTCAAGATCGGCATCAACGGATTTGGACGAATCGGTCGCATGGTCTTCCAGGCCAGCGGTGATCAGGGAGTGCCTTGCATCTTTCCTCGCGTTCCTGTTTTTTTGCATTGGCAGGGTCCCTCGAACTCCTTGAAGCGCGCTCCCACTTGCAGGCCATCTGCGACCAGGGACTTTTGGGCTCCAAGCTCGATGTCGTCGGCGTGGTCGATATGTCCACCGATGCCGAGTGGCAGGGCTGCAGGGTGAGATTTGGGGTGGGGGGTGGGCATGAACACGGATGTTGAAGGGCGTGTGATGGGGTGCGCATCTTCGCACCAAGGTACTTTGCCTACCAGATGAAGTACGCCACGCCCCGAGTTGCCAGATCTGACCACAGAAGTCCCAAAATCAGGTCATGCCTCTTTGATCTTGTCAGATATTCTCATGTTTTCTTCTCTCTGATCCGCGACTCAAGAGGACTCCGTGCACGGCAAGTTCAAGCACGATGTGAAGATCGGTGAGAAGGACGAGCTGATCGTGAACGGCCACAAGATCAAGTGCCTTGGCCGAGATGTGACTTGGTTCTTGCCCGGGCGCGCCCAGTCGTGGCCTGGGCTCTAGGTTGTGCAGCTCTTGTCGTGCCTGTTCCCCGGAAGTCCGTGTGAAGTAGTGGGCAACATGCGCACAAGGTGCATCCAGGCCAGCCGCGAGGGCCCCAAGGCCCTGCCTTGGAAGGACTTGGGCGACATCGGGCACGCCGCAGATGGCGAAACGAAAGCTTCCCTAGCTCCAAAGCGAAGCTATGCTCAAAGCTTGAGCTAACATGAGAGATGTATCATCTTTTGGAAGGACATGGGCGTCAAGTACGTCATCGAGTCCACCGGCCTCTTTGTGGAGTACGAGTGGCTAGGCTCTGTAGTTCTGGGCAGTACAGGCAGGTCTCTTGCGGTGAAGGTCCTAAGCGATGTTTGGTTCAGCTGCGAGGGCCCGGATATCTGGATGTGTTCTGAGGAAGGCCGCAGGCCACATTGAGGCAGGCGCCGAGAAGGTCATCATCTCCGCCCCCGGCAAAGGCAACCTGAGCCTTGCCAGCTCAGAGAAGCGCAGGGGCTTTGCAGTAGGGCGCGGCGGTTGAAAGATGGTTAAAGTTGAAAGGTTTGCGGCAAGTAAGGTGCAGGAGGTGTTGTCCTCAGGGCTTGCATGCCCGGGGAAAGTAGCTTTGCTTGCTCATGTGGGCTGTTGGGGCTGATTGTGGCATGCGGGTCGATTCCAAGGAAGACGCTGGTCATGGGCGTGAACCACACCGAGTACGACAAGGCCGCCTGGGCACTCCGCACTCGCCCGGGCTTGCTGTCGCGGGAGTGGCTTGCAGTTGCAGTAGCGCGTACAGTAAGCCACCGTCACAACCATGTCACGACAGGCCAACCACCACGTGGTGAGCAACGCCTCCTGCACTACGAACTGCCTTGCCCCGATCTGCCACGTGCTCCTCAAGGAGGGCGTCGGAATCGAGAAGGGACTGATGACCACCATCCACGCCTACACCGCCACTCAGAAGACCGTCGATGGCGTGTCTGCCAAGGATTGGCGAGGAGGTCGTGCGGCCGCATGCAACATCATTCCTTCCGCGACCGGGGCCGCCAAGGCTGTGGGTGAGGTGCTGCCCGTCACCAAGGGCAAGCTCACAGGCGGGTGGCCCTGAAAGACATAGGGCGTAGGACCTGTAGTACCTACAGGTTTCTTTGTGTATTGAAGGCCCCGTCGTCATGTCACTTGATTGCCCCAGGTATGGCTTTCCGAGTGCCCACCCCAGACGTCTCCGTGGTGGACCTCACCTTCACCGCTGAGAAGGACACGTCGATCGAGGAGACCCGGGGCAGTAGTGGGCAGTCGTGAATGAACCGGTAGTTCAGTGTTTGAGCGGTCAAGTGCCTGACGCGGTTGGCAGTGGTTCTGCTGAGACCTGGATGACCCAGGAGATCGACAAGCTCCTGAAGGCAGCCACCGAGAGCTACATGAAGGGCGTGCTGTCCTACACGGATGAAGAGTTGGTGTCCATGGACTTCGTTCACAACAAGAACTCGTCCATCTACGACTCCAAGGCCACCCTGCAGAACAACCTCCCGGGCGAGAAGCGATTCTTCAAGGTCGTGTCCTGGTACGACAACGAGTGGGGCTACTCCAACAGGGTTGTGGATTTGTTGACGCACATGATCAACGCGTAGGCTCATGTAGGCACATCGATTTTCATTCTGCGCCATTTTGCGAGGCAGCCGGCAAATGCCGGCATGTCTCGATCGTTCAGCGCAGTCAGGACGTTGGCAGTCTGAATCGCATCAGCCAGGAAAAGCCAAAGTACTTTGAATTTGCAGCGAGTCATGTATCTATATTCAGTGTGCACATGAAGGCATGGAGACAGTAAGAGCAGCAGCTTATACTGCTGTGTGCCCGGCGGCAGCAGTGCTCGCAACCTCTAGCGCGTCCGCGAACTTTTGTCCCACTTCCGACATTGCAATGGCGGTCAAGATCGGCATCAACGGATTTGGACGAATCGGTCGCATGGTCTTCCAGGCCAGCGGTGATCAGGGAGTGCCTTGCATCTTTCCTCGCGATCCTGTTTTTTTTCATTGGCAGGGTCCCTCGAACTCCTTGAAGCGCGCTCCCACTTGCAGGCCATCTGCGACCAGGGACTTTTGGGCTCCAAGCTCGATGTCGTCGGCGTGGTCGATATGTCCACCGATGCCGAGTGGCAGGGCTGCAGGGTGAGATTTGGGGTGGGGGGTGGGCATGAACACGGATGTTGAAGGGCGTGTGATGGGGTGCGCATCTTCGCACCAAGGTACTTTGCCTACCAGATGAAGTACGCCACGCCCCGAGTTGCCAGATCTGACCACAGAAGTCCCACAATCAGGTCATGCCTCTTTGATCTTGTCAGATATTCTCATGTTTTCTTCTCTCTGATCCGCGACTCAAGAGGACTCCGTGCATGGCAAGTTCAAGCACGATGTGAAGATCGGTGAGAAGGACGAGCTGATCGTGAACGGCCACAAGATCAAGTGCCTTGGCCGAGATGTGACTTGGTTCTTGCCCGGTCGCGCCCAGTCGTGGCCTGGGCTCTAGGTTGTGCAGCTCTTGTCGTGCCTGTTCCCCGGAAGTCCGTGTGAAGTAGTGGGCAACATGCGCACAAGGTGCATCCAGGCCAGCCGCGAGGGCCCCAAGGCCCTGCCTTGGAAGGACTTGGGCGACATCGGGCAACGCCGCAGATGGCGAAACGAAAGCTTCCCTAGCTCCAAAGCGAAGCTATGCTCAAAGCTTGAGCTAACATGAGAGATGTATCATCTTTTGGAAGGACATGGGCGTCAAGTACGTCATCGAGTCCACCGGCCTCTTTGTGGAGTACGAGTGGCTAGGCTCTGTAGTTCTGGGCAGTACAGGCAGGTCTCTTGCGGTGAAGGTCCTAAGCGATGTTTGGTTCAGCTGCGAGGGCCCGGATATCTGGATGTGTTCTGAGGAAGGCCGCAGGCCACATTGAGGCAGGCGCCGAGAAGGTCATCATCTCCGCCCCCGGCAAAGGCAACCTGAGCCTTGCCAGCTCAGAGAAGCGCAGGGGCTTTGCAGTAGGGCGCGGTGGTTGAAAGATGTTTAAAGTTGAAAGGTTTGCGGCAAGTAAGGTGCAGGAGGTGTTGTTTGCAGGGCTTGCATGCCCGGGGAAAGTACCTTTGCTTGCTCATGTGGGCTGTTGGGGCTGATTGTGGCATGCGGGTCGATTCCAAGGAAGACGCTGGTCATGGGCGTGAACCACACCGAGTACGACAAGGCCGCCTGGGCACTCCGCACTCGTCCGGGCTTGCTGTCGCGGGAGTGGCTTGCAGTTGCAGTAGCGCGTACAGTAAGCCACCGTCACAACCATGTCACGACAGTGTCACGACAGGCCAACCACCACGTGGTGAGCAACGCCTCCTGCACTACGAACTGCCTCGCCCCGATCTGCCACGTGCTCCTCAAGGAGGGCGTCGGAATCGAGAAGGGACTGATGACCACCATCCACGCCTACACCGCCACTCAGAAGACCGTCGATGGCGTGTCTGCCAAGGATTGGCGAGGAGGTCGTGCGGCCGCATGCAACATCATTCCTTCCGCGACCGGGGCCGCCAAGGCTGTGGGTGAGGTGCTGCCCGTCACCAAGGGCAAGCTCACAGGCGGGTGGCCCTGAAAGACGTAGGGCGTAGGACCTGTAGTACCTACAGGTTTCTTTGTGTATTGAAGGCCCCGTCGTCATGTCACTTGATTGCCCCAGGTATGGCTTTCCGAGTGCCCACCCCAGACGTCTCCGTGGTGGACCTCACCTTCACCGCTGAGAAGGACACGTCGATCGAGGAGACCCGGGGCAGTAGTGGGCAGTCGTGAATGAACCGGTAGTTCAGTGTTTGAGCGGTCAAGTGCCTGACGCGGTTGGCAGTGGTTCTGAGACCTGGATGACCCAGGAGATCGACAAGCTCCTGAAGGCAGCCACCGAGAGCTACATGAAGGGCGTGCTGTCCTACACGGATGAGGAGTTGGTGTCCATGGACTTCGTTCACAACAAGAACTCGTCCATCTACGACTCCAAGGCCACCCTGCAGAACAACCTCCCGGGCGAGAAGCGATTCTTCAAGGTCGTGTCCTGGTACGACAACGAGTGGGGCTACTCCAACAGGGTTGTGGATTTGTTGACGCACATGATCAACGCGTAGGCTCATGTAGGCACATCGATTTTCATTCTGCGCCATTTTGCGAGGCAGCCGGCAAATGCCGGCATGTCTCGATCGTTCAGCGCAGTCAGCACGTTGGCAGTCTGAATCGCATCAGCCAGGAAAAGCCAAAGTACTTTGAGTTTGCAGCGAGTCATGTATCTATATTCAGTGTGCACATGAAGGCATGGAGACAGTAAGAGCAGCAGCTTATACTGCTGTGTGCCCGGCGGCAGCAGTGCTCGCAACCTCTAGCGCGTCCGCGAACTTTTGTCCCACTTCCGACATTGCAATGGCGGTCAAGATCGGCATCAACGGATTTGGACGAATCGGTCGCATGGTCTTCCAGGCCAGCGGTGATCAGGGAGTGCCTTGCATCTTTCCTCGCGATCCTGTTTTTTTTCATTGGCAGGGTCCCTCGAACTCCTTGAAGCGCGCTCCCACTTGCAGGCCATCTGCGACCAGGGACTTTTGGGCTCCAAGCTCGATGTCGTCGGCGTGGTCGATATGTCCACCGATGCCGAGTGGCAGGGCTGCAGGGTGAGATTTGGGGTGGGGGGTGGGCATGAACACGGATGTTGAAGGGCGTGTGATGGGGTGCGCATCTTCGCACCAAGGTACTTTGCCTACCAGATGAAGTACGCCACGCCCCGAGTTGCCAGATCTGACCACAGAAGTCCCACAATCAGGTCATGCCTCTTTGATCTTGTCAGATATTCTCATGTTTTCTTCTCTCTGATCCGCGACTCAAGAGGACTCCGTGCACGGCAAGTTCAAGCACGATGTGAAGATCGGTGAGAAGGACGAGCTGATCGTGAACGGCCACAAGATCAAGTGCCTTGGCCGAGATGTGACTTGGTTCTTGCCCGGGCGCGCCCAGTCGTGGCCTGGGCTCTAGGTTGTGCAGCTCTTGTCGTGCCTGTTCCCCGGAAGTCCGTGTGAAGTAGTGGGCAAAGTGCGCACAAGGTGCATCCAGGCCAGCCGCGAGGGCCCCAAGGCCCTGCCTTGGAAGGACTTGGGCGACATCGGGCAACGCTGCAGATGGCGAAACGAAAGCTTCCCAAGCTCCAAAGCGAAGCTCTGCTCAAAGCGTGCGCTAACATGAGAGATGTATCATCTGTTGGAAGGACATGGGCGTCAAGTACGTCATCGAGTCCACCGGCCTCTTTGTGGAGTACGAGTGGCTAGGCTCTGTAGTTCTGGGCAGTAGAGGCAGGTCTCTTGCGGTGAAGGTCCTAAGCGATGTTTGATTCAGCTGCGAGGGCCCGGATATCTGGATGCGTTCTGAGGAAGGCCGCAGGCCACATTGAGGCAGGCGCCGAGAAGGTCATCATCTCCGCCCCCGGCAAAGGCAACCTGAGCCTTGCCAGCTCAGAGAAGCGCAGGGGCTTTGCAGTAGGGCGCGGTGGTTGAAAGATGTTGAAAGGTTTCAGTGCGCCTGCGGAGGGGGACAGAAAACAGAAAATGCACCGATACACCGATATCCCCCCTCCCCACCCCGCTTATCGGCGTATTTTCTTTATCGTCGTATCTGGGGGTGGGGAAGAGATAAGGAGGTGGAGGGGCAGGGGAAGAGGTACGGAGATCCACCGATACACCAATACATCGATACATCGAGGGGATGGCGGGGTTAGGACAGCAATGCACCGACGCACGGACTCAGGGGCTCCCGGGGGCTGGCCAGCGCGCGCCTGCGGCAATCAAGGAGATGCTGCTCTGAAGAGAAGGTTTCAGCCGGATAGGAGCCACGAACCGGAATGCAGACACGTACAACAACACCGGCACACATGAGGGACACCAACAGGAACTATAACAGGGACCCCAGTAAGGGACTAGGACAAGGACCCCAACATGGAACACGATGGGGACTATACTTGGAACCTGAAATAGGGATTATGTTAGGCCCAGCGGCACAGGCCGACCCCCCCCCCCCCCCCCCCCCCCCCCCCCCACCGAAAAAAAAATCCGAAACCTCACACCAACAGGTTGTGCGTGGGGCTCAGATTGCTTGAGAGGGGGGTGTCGGAGGGCGGGCTTCGGCCTAAGACCTAAACCCTATACCCCAGACCGTAAGCAATCTCGACGCAAGACTTAACCTCTGAGCTCTCAGCTCTTCCCTCTGTACTTTTTATTCTGCCTCTTCTCTGTGTTTTCTCTCCTCTTTCTCTTCTCTCTCCGCTCTCTCTTCTCTTTCTTTTCACTCTCTCTCTCTCTCCCTTCTCCCTCTTCTCTGTCTGCTCTCACTCTCTCTTCTCTCTCGTCTCCCTCTCCTCTCTCTCTTCTCCCTCTGCTCTTGAATCTCTCTCTCGTCTTCTTTCTCCTTCTCCTTCTCCTTCTCTTTCTCTTTCTCTTTCTCTTTCCCTCTTTCTCATTGTCTTTTCCTCTTTCTCATTGTCTTTCTCTTTCTCGTTCTCTTTCTCTTTATCTTTCTCTTTCTCCCTCACCTTTCTCTTTCTTTTTTTCTCTTTCTCTTGCTGTTTGTATCGAACTGGTGAACTCTACGCCTGCCCCTGTGGCTGGAAGTCCCCTTCACTTAAGACTTTTCCGGCTGATGAGCGCAGTGCCGTAACACGCTGGAAAGACTGTCAGGAGACGAAGATCCTTCTGCTGTTTCCTGCCTTGTCAGGCGCCGTGTCGCTCTCACGACTGTGCTTGAAGCGGCTGCCCGACGCAGACGCGCCCTGCAGTCCTGCAACCAGTTCGTTGCTGACCCCAAGGTAAGAATTGGCAGGCTTCAGCGTGTACCTACCGTTGTGTCTTCTGTTGACGCCGATGGGCAGCGTTTGAGTGCCCGGTATCCTTGTGAGCGCTGTGGCCGTACCGCTACTCTCGCGGAGTTTCGCCGCTCTCCTTGCAAGCTGCGGACCTGCAAGACCAGAGGCCAAGAGGCGGCTGATGAGGTCTGGCCAAGTACTTCCAGACTGCTGCTGGGAAGGCGCTGCTGTGCGGGGCGGGGTCCCAGAGTCGATGGTGTCATTCAGACCGACGAGGGGCGTCCGTCAGGGTGACCCCATCTCCCCCTTGTGCTCGCGTCTTGCCTGGCGCCCTGGCAAGCCTCCAGTCCTGACCTCGCCACTTGGTGTTTTCTGGATGACAGAACCAGCAGTCTTGTCTTGCCAGGTTGGTCTATGTTCAATGTGATGGTGACGCGAGGACACGATCCTTTGACGTCTACCTCCTATCATCGGTGGGATCGGGTCCTGGCCTGTCGGGGTACGAAAGGGCGTCGCAATGGCAGCGAGCAGTTTCAGATACGCGTTGTGTGCTGTGTTGTGTGCTCCTGGCCTCAGAGAAAGCACCATTGTGCGTCGCAGTTTTGCTTGGAGTGATTGGGATCCACCTTGGTGTGCCTTTTGAGCGGGCTGCGTGAGGGGTTTGCTGCTGGCCCGCAAACACTATATCAGTGCAATGTCTTGCCGCGTTACGCAGTCGTGGGACCTATCTTGCAGTCCATCGACTGTTTCGTTCTTCGTGCCAGGCGTGTCTGCGGAAAACGCATCGTGCGTGCCAAACGCCAGGCTTAAAGTGGTGCTGTGCCCTTTACTGGCAGCAAAGGCGTGAAGTCGACCAAGGAGCCTGCGTGTCAAATCGCAAGCGCAAAGCCCCACAGACGCAGAGAAAACGCTGGGAGAACTTTCCATCGCAGTTGCTTCCCTCTCGCAACATGTGTGTGCCACGCAAGCTTGGTTTCAAAACCAAAACAAGCGGCCAGCCAAACGCGCCAGACAGCGCGTGGTTAGGCTCAGGCCTTATGTACACTCCCACGCCTAGTGGCCGAAAGCAACACCAGTCTGTTCAGCCAACTCCGTGGTCTCTCGAGGCTTGTCGCCATGACAAACCTCCGCCTGACTCCCAGGTCCGCAGCGCTTTGCTTTCCTTCCTAGGACGAGCCGCCTCTCAAAGCAGGTCAACCGCTCCCCCCAGGCCTCCACCTGCAACTCCCAGCCCTGGTCCCAGCAAGCCTCAGACATAGGCGGGAGTCGTCGCTGAACTGTCAAAGCCTCCTCCATCCAAAAGCACAAGTTTGATGGCAAGTGTGTCATCTAACTTGAGCACTGCAAAGGATGGATAAATGCCACTTGCGTCAGTCGCCTGTCACTCTCTTCGCGCTTGACAAGGCTTCACCCCCAGTTCACTGACCACTCTGCTGCTCAACCTTCATAACGCTGTCCTCTGCCACCTTACACTTGCCAAGGAGTTTGCAACGACAAGCTCTTCGCCGCAGCCTCCAAAAAGTTGCACTTTCTTCCAGCTTTGCTCCTCGGTGATTCCCGAGCAAAACACTTGATGATGAGACAAAGTACATGACTTTTTGTTATACGTGATTTTGCCAAGTTTTTGTCAAGAAGATCATGTACTTTTCTCAAAAATCTTAAATTATTCAAGAAAATCAGGTATTTTTCTGAAGAATGATAACATTTCAAATAGAAGCAAGTAATGAAGCATACGTTCAGTTCGAGAGACACAATATTGTAAATACGATTTCCTGGGTGCCGCATTTTTTGAAAACATCAATAAGTCAGCCCAGAAAGGTTTAGGTAGGGTTAGTGTTTTAAACCCGTACAATCTGTTCGCCCTAAACACACCAAACCAACAAACCCATAGAAACCTTAAACCCGTAAAAGCCCTAAGCCCTCAAGACCCCAAAACAAACCCGTAGAAACCCTAAACCCGTAGAAACCTTAAACCCGTAAACGCCCTAAGCCTAAAAACCTTCAAACAGTATAGCCATAGACGCCCTAAACCTGTAGAAGCCCTAAACCCCTAAAAGCCCTGAACCTGCAAAACCCCAAAGCAATGTACCCGAAGAAGCCCTGAACCTGGAGAAGCCCTAAACCCTCAAACCCCAAAACAATATACCCATAGAAGACCTAAACCCGTAGAAACCCCAAAACTCCAAAACAATATGCCCGTAAAGGCCCTAAACCAGTAGAAACCCTAAACCCCTAAACGCCCTAAGCCCTCGCAACCCCAAAGCAACATACCCATAGAAGCCCTGAACCCCGTAAAAGCCCCAAACCCCTGAACCCTCAAGACCCCAAACAATGCATAAACCCATAGAAACCCTAAACACCTAAAGCCCTAAGCCCTCGCAACCCCAAAACAAAGTTCCCGTCAAAGCACTAAACCTTAAAACCCCAAAACAATATACCTGTAGAAGACCTAAACCCGCAAAAAAAGCCCTCATCCAAAAAGAACACACCCGTAGAAACCCTAAACCCTGTTTCCACTACAACCCTAAACCCGAGCGCCAGAGAGATATGTATTCGTGCAGGCTTTATGTTTTTTTTCGTTTGGGGGGGGGGGGTGGGGGCGTTTGGAGAGTTTTGGGATTTCAGGGTTTAGGGTGTGCAGGGAGGAAGATATGGCGTAAGTTGGTTTTCGCCCCTCGTTGCATGCACGCTGGAAAGGCTAGCTGCAGGTAAGGTTCAGGGTGTTTTCGCCAGGGATTGCATCCCTGGGGATATACGCTTAGCCATTCCAAGGAAGACGCTGGTCATGGGCGTGAACCACACCGAGTACGACAAGGCCGCCTGGGCATTCCGCAGTCGTCCGGGCTTGCTGTCGCGGGAGCGGCTTGCAGTTGCAGTAACGAGTACAGTAAGCCACCGTCACAGCCATGTCACGACAGGCCAACCACCACGTGGTGAGCAACGCCTCCTGCACCACGAACTGCCTCGCCCCGATCTGCCACGTGCTCCTCAAGGAGGGCGTCGGCATCGAGAAGGGACTGATGACCACCATCCATGCCTACACCGCCACGCAGAAGACCGTCGATGGCGTGTCTGCCAAGGATTGGCGAGGAGGTCGTGCGGCCGCATGCAACATCATTCCTTCCGCGACCGGGGCCGCCAAGGCTGTGGGTGAGGTGCTGCCCGTCACCAAGGGCAAGCTCACAGGCGGGTGGCCTTGAAAGACATAGGACACAGGACCTGTAGTACCTACAGGTTTCTGTGTATTGAAAGCCCCGTCGTCATGTCATGTCACTTGATTGCCCCAGGTATGGCTTTCCGAGTGCCCACGCCAGACGTCTCCGTGGTGGACCTCACCTTCACCGCTGAGAAGGACACGTCGATCGAGGAGACCCGGGGCAGTAGTGGGCAGTCGTGAATGAACTGGTAGTTCAGTGTTTGAGCGGTCAAGTGCCTGACGCGGTTGGCAGTGGTTCTGAGACCTGGATGACGCAGGAGATCGACAAGCTCCTGAAGGCAGCCACCGAGAGCTACATGAAGGGCGTGCTGTCCTACACAGACGAGGAGTTGGTGTCCATGGACTTCGTTCACAACAAGAACTCTTCCATCTACGACTCCAAGGCCACCCTGCAGAACAACCTCCCGGGCGAGAAGCGATTCTTCAAGGTCGTGTCCTGGTACGACAACGAGTGGGGCTACTCCAACAGGGTTGTGGACCTTCTGACGCACATGATCAACGCGTAGGCTCATGTAGGCTGTAGGCACATCGATTGCATTCTGCGCCATTTTGCGAGCCAGTCGGCAAATGCCGGCATGTCTCGTTCAGTGCAGTCAGCACACACAGACACTGGCAGTTTGAATCACATCGGCCAGGAAAAGCCCAAGAACTTGAAATTTGCAGTGGCTCGTGTATCCATATGCAGTGTGCACATGAAGGCTCGGCTGATAAAGTAAGAGCAGCGGCTTACTGCTGTGTGCCCCGCGGCAGCAGTGCTCGCAACCCTCTGGACTCTAGACCATCCGCGAACTTGTGTCCCATTGTCGACATTGCAATGGCGGTCAAGATCGGCATCAACGGATTTGGGCGAATCGGTCGCATGGTCTTCCAGGCCAGCCGTGATCCGGGAGTGCCTTGCATCTTTCCTCACCTTCCTTTTTCTGCATTGTCGGGTTCCCTGAAAATCCGGAAGCAACCTCCCACTTGCAGGCCATCTGCGACCAGGGACTTTTGGGCTCCAAGCTTGATGTCGTCGGCGTGGTCGATATGTCCACCGATGCAGAGCACCTCGACTTTGGGAGAAGCTCCTGGCAGGGCTGCAGCGTGAGATTTCGGGGGGGGGGGGGGGGGGGGCCTGAACATAGATGTGCGAAGGTGTGCGCATCTTCGCACCAAGGTACTTTGCCTACCAGATGAAGTACGCCACGCCCCGAGTTGCCAGATCTGCTAGCTGTTACTAGCTCCTGTCCTGGCAACTCCCTGACATTGTCAGACGATGCTGCTCTTTGATCTTGCCTGATATACCCATGTTCCCATGTGTTCTCATGCCGCTCGTATCGGCGATCCACGATCCACGAGGACACGGTGCACGGCCAGTTCAAGCACGACGTGAAGGTCGGTGAGAAGGACGAGCTGATCGTGAACGGCAACAAGATCAAGTGCCTGGGCGAGGCTGATGCGAGCATCCTTGGTTATCCTTGGTTCGTGTTGTGCCTGTTCACCGGAAGTCCGTGTGAAGCAGTGGGCAAAGTGCGCACAAGGTGCATCCAGGCCAGCCGCGAGGGCCCCAAGGCCCTGCCTTGGAAGGACTTGGGCGACATCGGGCAATGCCGCAGATGGCGAAACGAAAGCTTCCCAAGCTCCAAAGCGAAGCTATGCTCAAAGCCTGAGCCAACATGAGAGATATATCATCTTTTGGAAGGACATGGGCGTCAAGTACGTCATCGAGTCCACCGGCCTCTTTGTGGAGTACGAGTGGCTGGGCTCTGTAGTTTTGGGCAGTAGAGGCAGGTCTCTTGCGGTGAAGGTCCTAAGCGATGTTTGATTCAGCTGCGAGGGCCCGGATATCTGGATGCGTTCTGAGGAAGGCCGCAGGCCACATTGAGGCAGGCGCCGAGAAGGTCATCATCTCCGCTCCCGGCAAAGGCAACCTGAGCCTTGCCAGCTCAGAGAAGCGCAGGGGCTTTGCAGTAGGGCGCGGCGGTTGAAAGATGTTTAAAGTTGAAAGGTTTGCGGCAAGTAAGGTGCAGAGGTGTTGTCCTCAGGGCTTGCATGCCCGGGGAAAGTACCTTTGCTTGCTCATGTGGGCTGTTGGCTCTGATTGTGGCATGCGGGTCGATTCCAAGGAAGACGCTGGTCATGGGCGTGAACCACACCGAGTACGACAAGGCCGCCTGGGCACTCCGCACTCGTCCGGGCTTGCTGTCGCGGGAGCGGCTTGCAGTTGCAGTAACGAGTAAGTAAGCCACCGTCACAGCCATGTCACGACAGGCCAACCACCACGTGGTGAGCAACGCCTCCTGCACCACGAACTGCCTCGCCCCGATCTGCCACGTGCTCCTCAAGGAGGGCGTCGGCATCGAGAAGGGACTGATGACCACCATCCATGCCTACACCGCCACTCAGAAGACCGTCGATGGCGTGTCTGCCAAGGATTGGCGAGGAGGTCGTGCGGCCGCATGCAACATCATTCCTTCCGCGACCGGGGCCGCCAAGGCTGTGGGCGAGGTGCTGCCCGTCACCAAGGGCAAGCTCACAGGCGGGTGGCCTTGAAAGACATAGGACACAGGACCTGTAGTACCTACAGGTTTCTTTGTGTATCGAAAGCCCCGTCGTCGTCATGTCACTTGATTGCCCCAGGTATGGCTTTCCGAGTGCCCACGCCAGACGTCTCCGTGGTGGACCTCACCTTCACCGCTGAGAAGGACACGTCGATCGAGGAGACCCGGGGCAGTAGTGGGCAGTCGTGAATGAACTGGTAGTTCAGTGTTTGAGCGGTCAAGTGCCTGACGCGGTTGGCAGTGGTTCTGCTGAGACCTGGATGACCCAGGAGATCGACAAGCTCCTGAAGGCAGCCACCGAGAGCTACATGAAGGGCGTGCTGTCCTACACAGACGAGGAGTTGGTGTCCATGGACTTCGTTCATAACAAGAACTCTTCCATCTACGACTCCAAGGCCACCCTGCAGAACAACCTCCCGGGCGAGAAGCGATTCTTCAAGGTCGTGTCCTGGTACGACAACGAGTGGGGCTACTCCAACAGGGTTGTGGACCTTCTGACGCACATGATCAACGCGTAGGCTCATGTAGGCTGTAGGCACATCGATTGCATTCTGCGCCATTTTGCGAGCCAGTCGGCAAATGCCGGCATGTCTCGTTCAGTGCAGTCAGCACACACAGACACTGGCAGTTTGAATCACATCGGCCAGGAAAAGCCCAAGCACTTGGAATTTGCAGTGGCTCGTGTATCCATATGCAGTGTGCACATGAAGGCTCGGCGGATAAAGTAAGAGCAGCGGCTTACTGCTGTGTGCCCCGCGGCAGCAGTGCTCGCAACCCTCTGGACTCTAGACCATCCGCGAACTTGTGTCCCATTGTCGACATTGCAATGGCGGTCAAGATCGGCATCAACGGATTTGGGCGAATCGGTCGCATGGTCTTCCAGGCCAGCCGTGATCCGGGAGTGCCTTGCATCTTTCCTCACCTTCCTTTTTCTGCATTGTCGGGTTCCCTGAAAATCCGGAAGCAACCTCCCACTTGCAGGCCATCTGCGACCAGGGACTTTTGGGCTCCAAGCTTGATGTCGTCGGCGTGGTCGATATGTCCACCGATGCAGAGCACCTCGACTTTGGGAGAAGCTCCTGGCAGGGCTGCAGCGTGAGATTTCGGGGGGGGGGGGGGGGGCATGAACATGATGTGGTGTGCGCATCTTCGCACCAAGGTACTTTGCCTACCAGATGAAGTACGCCACGCCCCGAGTTGCCAGATCTGCTAGCTGTTACTAGCTCCTGTCCTGGCAACTCCCTGACATTGTCAGACGATGCTGCTCTTTGATCTTGCCTGATATACCCATGTTCCCATGTGTTCTCATGCCGCTCGTATCGGCGATCCACGATCCACGAGGACACGGTGCACGGCCAGTTCAAGCACGACGTGAAGGTCGGTGAGAAGGACGAGCTGATCGTGAACGGCAACAAGATCAAGTGCCTGGGCGAGGCTGATGCGAGCATCCTTGGTTATCCTTGGTTCGTGTTGTGCCTGTTCACCGGAAGTCCGTGTGAAGCAGTGGGCAAAGTGCGCACAAGGTGCATCCAGGCCAGCCGCGAGGGCCCCAAGGCCCTGCCTTGGAAGGACTTGGGCGACATCGGGCAATGCCGCAGATGGCGAAACGAAAGCTTCCCAAGCTCCAAAGCGAAGCTATGCTCAAAGCCTGAGCCAACATGAGAGATATATCATCTTTTGGAAGGACATGGGCGTCAAGTACGTCATCGAGTCCACCGGCCTCTTTGTGGAGTACGAGTGGCTGGGCTCTGTAGTTCTGGGCAGTAGAGGCAGGTCTCTTGCGGTGAAGGTCCTAAGCGATGTTTGATTCAGCTGCGAGGGCCCGGATATCTGGATGCGTTCTGAGGAAGGCCGCAGGCCACATTGAGGCAGGCGCCGAGAAGGTCATCATCTCCGCCCCCGGCAAAGGCAACCTGAGCCTTGCCAGCTCAGAGAAGCGCAGGGGCTTTGCAGTAGGGCGCGGTGGTTGAAAGATGTTTAAAGTTGAAAGGTTTGTGGCAAGTAAGGTGCAGAGGTGTTGTTTGCAGGGCTTGCATGCCCGGGGAAAGTACCTTTGCTTGCTCATGTGGGCTGTTGGTGCTGATTGTGGCATGCGGGTCGATTCCAAGGAAGACGCTGGTCATGGGCGTGAACCACACCGAGTACGACAAGGCCGCCTGGGCATTCCGCAGTCGTCTGGGCTTGCTGTCGCGGGAGCGGCTTGCAGTTGCAGTAACGAGTACAGTAAGCCACCGTCACAGCCATGTCACGACAGGCCAACCACCACGTGGTGAGCAACGCCTCCTGCACCACGAACTGCCTGGCCCCGATCTGCCACGTGCTCCTCAAGGAGGGCGTCGGCATCGAGAAGGGACTGATGACCACCATCCATGCCTACACCGCCACTCAGAAGACCGTCGATGGCGTGTCTGCCAAGGATTGGCGAGGAGGTCGTGCGGCCGCATGCAACATCATTCCTTCCGCGACCGGGGCCGCCAAGGCTGTGGGCGAGGTGCTGCCCGTCACCAAGGGCAAGCTCACAGGCGGGTGGCCCTGAAAGACATAGGACACAGGACCTGTAGTACCTATAGGTTTCTTTGTGTATTGAAAGCCCCGTCGTCGTCATGTCACTTGATTGGCCCAGGTATGGCTTTCCGAGTGCCCACGCCAGACGTCTCCGTGGTGGACCTCACCTTCACCGCTGAGAAGGACACGTCGATCGAGGAGACCCGGGGCAGTAGTGGGCAGTCGTGAATGAACTGGCAGTTCAGTGTTCGAGCTGTCAAGTGCCTGACGTTGTTGGCAGTGGTTCTGCTGAGACCTGCATGACCCAGGAGATCGACAAGCTCCTGAAGGCAGCCACCGAGAGCTACATGAAGGGCGTGCTGTCCTACACGGATGAGGAGTTGGTGTCCATGGACTTCGTTCACAACAAGAACTCTTCCATCTACGACTCCAAGGCCACCCTGCAGAACAACCTCCCGGGCGAGAAGCGATTCTTCAAGGTCGTGTCCTGGTACGACAACGAGTGGGGCTACTCCAACAGGGTTGTGGACCTTCTGACGCACATGATCAACGCGTAGGCTCATGTAGGCTGTAGGCACATCGATTGCATTCTGCGCCATTTTGCGAGCCAGTCGGCAAATGCCGGCATGTCTCGTTCAGTGCAGTCAGCACACACAGACACTGGCAGTTTGAATCACATCGGCCAGGAAAAGCCCAAGAACTTGAAATTTGCAGTGGCTCGTGTATCCATATGCAGTGTGCACATGAAGGCTCGGCTGATAAAGTAAGAGCAGCGGCTTACTGCTGTGTGCCCCGCGGCAGCAGTGCTCGCAACCCTCTGGACTCTAGACCATCCGCGAACTTGTGTCCCATTGTCGACATTGCAATGGCGGTCAAGATCGGCATCAACGGATTTGGGCGAATCGGTCGCATGGTCTTCCAGGCCAGCCGTGATCCGGGAGTGCCTTGCATCTTTCCCCTCACCTTCCTTTTTCTGCATTGTCGGGTTCCCTGAAAATCCGGAAGCAACCTCCCACTTGCAGGCCATCTGCGACCAGGGACTTTTGGGCTCCCAAGCTTGATGTCGTCGGCGTGGTCGATATGTCCACCGATGCAGAGCACCTCGACTTTGGGAGAAGCTCCTGGCAGGGCTGCAGCGTGAGATTTCGGGGGGGGGGGGGGGGCATGAACATAGATGTGGTGTGCGCATCTTCGCACCAAGGTACTTTGCCTACCAGATGAAGTACGCCACGCCCCGAGTTGCCAGATCTGCTAGCTGTTACTAGCTCCTGTCCTGGCAACTCCCTGACATTGTCAGACGATGCTGCTCTTTGATCTTGCCTGATATACCCATGTTCCCATGTGTTCTCATGCCGCTCGTATCGGCGATCCACGATCCACGAGGACACGGTGCACGGCCAGTTCAAGCACGACGTGAAGGTCGGTGAGAAGGACGAGCTGATCGTGAACGGCAACAAGATCAAGTGCCTGGGCGAGGCTGATGCGAGCATCCTTGGTTATCCTTGGTTCGTGTTGTGCCTGTTCACCGGAAGTCCGTGTGAAGCAGTGGGCAAAGTGCGCACAAGGTGCATCCAGGCCAGCCGCGAGGGCCCCAAGGCCCTGCCTTGGAAGGACTTGGGCGACATCGGGCAATGCCGCAGATGGCGAAACGAAAGCTTCCCAATCTCCAAAGCGAAGCTATGCTCAAAGCCTGAGCCAACATGAGAGATATATCATCTTTTGGAAGGACATGGGCGTCAAGTACGTCATCGAGTCCACCGGCCTCTTTGTGGAGTACGAGTGGCTGGGCTCTGTAGTTCTGGGCAGTAGAGGCAGGTCTCTTGCGGTGAAGGTCCTAAGCGATGTTTGATTCAGCTGCGAGGGCCCGGATATCTGGATGCGTTCTGAGGAAGGCCGCAGGCCACATTGAGGCAGGCGCCGAGAAGGTCATCATCTCCGCCCCCGGCAAAGGCAACCTGAGCCTTGCCAGCTCAGAGAAGCGCAGGGGCTTTGCAGTAGGGCGCGGTGGTTGAAAGATGTTTAAAGTTGAAAGGTTTGTGGCAAGTAAGGTGCAGAGGTGTTGTTTGCAGGGCTTGCATGCCCGGGGAAAGTACCTTTGCTTGCTCATGTGGGCTGTTGGCGCTGATTGTGGCATGCGGGTCGATTCCAAGGAAGACGCTGGTCATGGGCGTGAACCACACCGAGTATGACAAGGCCGCCTGTGCAGTCCGCACTCGTCCGGGCTTGCTGTCGTGGGAGCGGCTTGCAGTATCGAGTACAGTACTATGTTGGCGGGGTGCGGTTGAGTGGTTTATGTATACACTTACAAGTAGGACTTCCAGTCTTACAACTCAGGCAAACTGTCTTATAAGTCAACGTAACTGAGCCAGATGTTTATAAGCGTTTATGAGTAATATAGCAGAGTTATAATGCCACTTGCGTTTGGGTTATAACCCAGAATATATGTTGTTGCTAAGTCATTTATAAGTCGTGCTCGTGGGAACGTGGAATTTCGTCCGTGGTACCATATAAGTGGACTTGGCTAAGTCCTAGCTAACTGGTTCGCGGCAGACTTTCTATTCAATGAGTGCGCTGTTCTGTTTGTCGGGCCTCTCGACATGTCGTGGGCGTGTCGTGGGCATGTCGTGGCCGTGTCGTGGGCGTGTCGTTGTTCTGGGGCCCTGTCGCGTGCATGTCGTGGCCGTGTCGTGGCCGTGTCGTGGCCGTGTCGCGGCCGTGTCGCGGGGGGCCTGGCACTTTGCCACGGGGCTGCGTCATGGGCGTGTCGTGGGCATGTCGTGGCCGTGTCGTGGCCGTGTCGTTGCTCTGGGGCCGCGTCGTGGGAATGTCGTGGCCGTGTCGTGGCCGTCTAGTGCTCGCGTCGTGGTCGTGCCCGGGTGGCAGACTTAGCTCGGAGTTGTAACTCCAGTTGCATAAGTCCGTAAGTCCGTAAGTCCGCTTATAAGCTAATGCCGCGGACAAGCTAAGTGCCACCTAAGTCACTTAGTAAGCCACGGTAAGTCATTAGGGCGTAACCGATTTTATAAGCCGGACAAGCCCCGCCCGCCAACATAGTAAGCCACCGTCACAGCCATGTCACGACAGGCCAACCACCACGTGGTGAGCAACGCCTCCTGCACCACGAACTGCCTGGCCCCGATCTGCCACGTGCTCCTCAAGGAGGGCGTCGGCATCGAGAAGGGACTGATGACCACCATCCATGCCTACACCGCCACTCAGAAGACCGTCGATGGCGTGTCTGCCAAGGATTGGCGAGGAGGTCGTGCAGCCGCATGCAACATCATTCCTTCCGCGACCGGGGCCGCCAAGGCTGTGGGCGAGGTGCTGCCCGTCACCAAGGGCAAGCTCACAGGCGGGTGGCCTTGAAAGACATAGGAACAGGACCTATAGCACCTACAGGTTTCTTTGTGTATCGAAAGCCCCGTCGTCGTCATGTCACTTGATTGCCCCAGGTATGGCTTTCCGAGTGCCCACGCCAGACGTCTCCGTGGTGGACCTCACCTTCACCGCTGAGAAGGACACGTCGATCGAGGAGACCCGGGGCAGTAGTGGGCAGTCGTGAATGAACTGGTAGTTCAGTGTTCGAGCTGTCAAGTGCCTGACGCGGTTGGCAGTGGTTCTGCTGAGACCTGGATGACCCAGGAGATCGACAAGCTCCTGAAGGCAGCCACCGAGAGCTACATGAAGGGCGTGCTGTCCTACACGGATGAGGAGTTGGTGTCCATGGACTTCGTTCACAACAAGAACTCTTCCATCTACGACTCCAAGGCCACCCTGCAGAACAACCTCCCGGGCGAGAAGCGATTCTTCAAGGTCGTGTCCTGGTACGACAACGAGTGGGGCTACTCCAACAGGGTTGTGGACCTTCTGACGCACATGATCAGCGCGTAGGCTCATGTAGGCTTAGGCTGTAGGCACATCGATTGCATTCTGCGCCATTTTGCATGCCAGTCGGCAAATGCCGGCATGTCTCAGCGCAGTCAGCACACACAGACACTGGCAGTTTAAATCACGTCGGCCATAAAATCGAGCTGCAAGCGCGAATGGGTGGGCTGCTTCTCTTGGAGCCGTAGGGTTTGCACGTCTCTCTGACAAGCCATTTGCGATGAGTTGCCTGGTCGCTTATGTACATGTACACATCATGATACATACTCGACATACTCGCCCCGGAACAGCCGAAGCATGTTCTAGAAGGGAACATGCTGTGCCACATGTCCTCCACTTGCAGCTCTTGTCTGAGAATTCCCCCGCCAGGACTGCACATTTCTCTCGAGAAAAGGCAAAGCCATGGCTCTGCAAACAGCGCAGCCTGCGACCTGCGGCCCTCAATGCCCTCCCAGTGCTTTCAGGCCTGAGCGTATTCGGCCGCTCCACAATTTCGGCCGCAGGTTGACGATGTCATGGTGACTAGTGCCAGCTGCGTCATGCCCTTCTGGAACCCTAAACCCTAAATCCGTAGGTCTGATGTTATGTACTGCTGGCTCACTGGCACCATGCGCAGAGCAAGAGGGCCTTCCACATGGCTTTCAGCATGGTTTTGACTCGGGTCTTTTGGTTTCCCCCTCATACTAACAGTTCCTGAAGAGGGATTCTAGTACCCTATTAAGGACTGTTAATATAAGGGGGAACATTTAGGAGCTAAAAAAGGTTCACATGGCGGGAACATCCCTGCAAAAAACTCTGGTACCCCTTTTGTTCAAGTTGAGCGAAAAACAGTATGCAGCCAGCTCAGGAGAGTTGTTGAGACCTCAGATCTATGCTCACCGCCCAAGGAGGATTTGATGGCAACTTGGATCCTTTTGAGGCTCTTTAAGAAGGGATTGAGGTGGTCCAGGAGCAAGTTCGTGCTGTGCCCACGGCAAGCTCAGGCAGAGATGCTTCCCGACAGTGACACCATACCCTCGGTGAGGGATGTGCTTCGCCGTGAGAGGTGCTCGCTGCTGCAGGCGGGAGTCGCAATGCTGCTCTATGCTTTATGCCAAACTTCACTGCCGATCATCATGCTTATGGTCATTCTCTGCGTGGAGACTACTGGTACGGAGTTCCAGTGGCTGAGGGCATGGACCAACATGGATTCCCTAATCTACTGGCTTCTGTCATACTCACTGCTGCAAGCGGCCGCGGCAGTCGCCAATCACTGGCAGCTTCATGCTTCCTTCCATGTGGGCCAACGCGTGCGTGCCCAGCTGATCATGCTGGTCTTCCGGCCTCTCAGCTGAACAGCCCGGGCCATGTACCAGAAACATGATACAAGTATGACGAGGCATGGCCATGGCATTTAACTCTTGCATGGCCTTGGAGAGTGAGACTGTTGCAAATAAGCAGCGCTTCTCAGGAAGGCCCTCCGGGTTGATCCTCAGCGGAGGCAGGTGAGTAGAAGCTGGCTTTGCGTGCGCCATACGGTATTGTCCCAAAATAGGGCCTTTCATACCCCTGAGTAGAATACAATCCCCTTAAAAGGGACCCCGCAAAAAGGGTATCCCCCCCCCCCCCCATTTTCGGAAACCCCAAAGCCCAAACCCCAAACCCCAAACCCCAAACCCTAAACCCTAAACCCTAAACCCTAAACCCAAAACCCTAAACCCTAAACCCAAAACCCTAAACCCTAAACCCAAAACCCAAAACCCAAAACCCCCATGTTGATATGCCCCCCCCCCCCCCCATATTGATCTGCCCATCTTGGATCCGCAGGGAGTCCGTTGGCCACACGCTGACTTTGATGGCATCAGACTCGCAGAGCCTCGACCAGAAGCAAGCCATGGGGGGGGGGGGGTTTCCGAGAAGAGAAGTATCCCTTTTTGGGGGGTTCCTTTTAAAGGGATTACTATCTTGGGGGTATATAAGGGGAACACAGGGGAACCCGAGGGGCGGGTGATTCCGAGAATAGAAGTATCCCTTTTTGGGGGGTTCCTTTAAGGGGATTCTGGGGTATTTAAGGGGGTACCCTTACTTGTGGAAATGCCCATATGGGGGTTTCCGAACATGGGGGTACCCTTTTTGGGAGTTCCTAGAGTCAGGATTTATACTCTTTTTGGGGTGTATTCGGGGTACCCCCTACTTATCGATGTAGCAGCTCCAGGATGTCTCTCGCCCGTCTCCTTCTTCAGATTTACGGTTTAGGGGTCTTAGGTTAGGGTTTAGGGTTTAGGGTTTAGGGTTTAGGGTTTAACGGTTTAGGGTTTAGGGTTTAGGGTATAGGGTATAGGGTATAGGGTATAGGGTATATGGGTTAGGTTTTGGGTTACTTAAGTGCCGGTGCAGGGGGCAGGGTGATGCTGGGCCTGAGCAGAGAACATTCAATGGATTCCCGATCCCCCCACACAATCTTGATACCGAGAAAGAACGGCTAGAAGGGGGGGCAGAAGCACCGTCCCCTTTGCTTTCATAAGCTCATTACCCGCAAGTGTACACCTATGTCCTAAGCCCAAAACCGTGCATTGCGATGAAATCCGAGGGTAGCCTATCTAGAGTACCTAAGGCTATGCGCCGGGCTTTGAAAGTTTCTTTCGCAACTACCCGGGATCTTCATGCTACAGTGTACAGCTTTCGTGGAGTGTGAAGAGGCCTTTGCTGTCGTCAAAACTTGGAATGTCCTGTAAGCTTGTGCGATTGTGCTAGGAAGTTCTTGGAAGCCATGCCCTTCATCCACAAGCTTTGGGGATCACCGTGGAGCCCTCAGAGTTTATTCACAAGCACCATGCACATCTGTCCACTTCGGCTGTTTGTTGCGGCCCTGTCCTCCAGCCACAAAAGGGTTAACACACACACACACAAGCTGTTCCTGAAGAACAAGGCGAACTCATGTCTTCACGAGGGCGAATGATTTCCAGGCTCTTGTTATTTGTTTTGTCTTCGGTTGGACATGTTGTAGTTCCACAGTTCCAGAACAAAGACCCAGGCAGTCAAGCATGCTACAGCCCTCCCGGCCAGTTTTCAGAGCTCTTTTGTTGCACAGCTCAGGGGAAGGCCTCACGTTGACATGGTCACATAGTGGGGCGGAAGGAGGCCGGAATGTAGTACCTTGCAGAAGCCACGCTCAGGCTTCAGATCGTCATTGCCGCTTTTGCCCTGGCTCTGATCGATGTCGTCGCGCTCAGTGGCGTTGTCGTACTCATAGCCGTGATTCCCATATCCAAGAATCTGGCGAAGCGTATGCAGAGGTCTGTTGGCTGCATTTATATAGCTCCGCCACGCATCGTCTGGCCGCATATAACCAGGTTTCGACAGCAGCATCTTCGATTCACCGATCAACGGGTCCGCATGTGCGTGGAGCTACTGGAGGGAATTCGGTGCATCAAGTTCTTTGCTTGGGAGCGGCCGTACCTGGAGCGCGTTTTTCAGAAGCGCCGACACGAGACGCACTGGGCCATGAGAGAGTCCTTGGTGTACAGCATCTCCATGTTGGTTACGGTGTTGTCGCCGACCTTGGCCTTTGCAGCGACACTTGTGGCATTTTCCCTTCTGGGCAGCAGCTTTACGGCCACACGCCTGTTTGGGACATTGGCGCTGCTGAACGCCTTGCGCTTTCCAATTATGGACTTAGGCTCCATGCTTGCATCCATCGTGGCACTTCACACAGGTTGGCTGCGCATCCAGCACTTCTTGGAGCTCGCGGAGGGTGGTGTCCCCGTGGCCCCGATAGAAGATCAGACGGAGTTGAAGCTGGAGAACTGTACGTTTTCCTGCTACAGCGGAGCTGTGGAATGCTTCCAGCTCTCGCTGAGAACGACCCTGACCGCCAAACGCGGTGATCTCGTCCTGGTTCTCGGCCGGGTTGGCAGTGGCAAGTCCACTCTCCTTCAAGGCAGGGGTATGTTATGATGTGCTATGGTATGTTGCCATTCCATTGCTAGTATGTAGTCGTGGCCGAGACAAGTCCCTGTTGCTGCAGCATTTTGGAGATGCAGGAATCCTGGGTGAAATCCACCGTTCCTCTGGTCACCTCGCAGTGCGCGGTGGTGTCGCCTACTGTGCCCAGCAGCCGTGGATTCGGAATGTGTCCCTCATGGACAACATTCTCTTCGGGGAGGAGTTGGACGATGAATGGTACAACAAGGTCCTAGACGCATGTGCCCTTGGTCCAGACTTGAAACAGCTGCCTCACGGAGACCAGACAGAAATCGGAGAGAGAGGCGTCACCATCAGCGGCGGGCAGAAGCAGCGAGTAGCTTTGGCTCGCGCTGTCTACCAGCGAGCATGCTCGATGGTGATTCTGGATGACGTTTTTTCAGCCCTGGATGCGCACACGTCAAGCCATATTGTCCGGGCCCTCTTTCAGGGACCACAAGCGCTGCTCCGCGACCGTGCCGTTCTGCTGGCGTCGCATCTCACGGCATGCGCAGGAGAAGCCCAGCGAGTTCTGCTGCTAGGCATGGCTGCCCATTGGATCAGGGGTATCCATACTCGTGGTAGGTTTAATTCGATCCTGCGGGGGGAAACTCGTACCAAGCCCATGTGCCGCAGGGTTTGGGCTTGCTTTCACTTTCTTTCATCAGACCCTGAGTTTTGTGGTCTTATCGTGCTGTACACATGGTTGTGGGACATTTTGGGGTCGTTGTCTGTACTGTAACGCATGAAACCAAGATTCCGCGGCGCGGGCCCAATTGCACAACGCTTGGAAAACTCACTTGCAACGATTTCTTCGGGCATGCACACTGTGGGGAAGGAGTGCACTCGACTCAAGCTAAGAAGCATGGGCCTGCCATAAATCATTGATGTTGTATTTCGGTGCGTGCGCACTGCCGGAAAATCAATCCGAACGAGTCCAAAGCACAGGGGTCCACCTCAGACCATTCGAAGTTGTGTTTTTGTGCTTGTGCACACATTTGGCTTACCGGAGTCCTAGGTCACAGAAACCTACCCTGCATCAACCACATGTTGTGTCTCCCCTAGGGTCAGCTCTTTCAGATCAAATTGGCAGCCCTTTAAAGCACTGAAGAATCCCAGAACTGGTGCGGTACACGAACCGTGGTCATTCATGCCCATGGCAGTCCGAAAGACTTGCTCTGAATCTGGCAGAGTCGTTGTCGATCACCCTTGCTTCTATTCCTTCTACTCCTGTTTCTGACCTTTCGTGAAAGAACAAAATTCACTTTGAAAGGCGCGCGCACACATGAGGCTCATTAGCCACTTTCTTTTTCAATGAATTGAGATCAGACAGTTCTTTGACAGATGTTTATATTACGCACGATGACATTCGGGTTTTACCAGATACTGACGACATGAATAGCACACTCATCCGAAAAGGCCGTGGCTTGATACGCACCATAGACCCAAGTACTTCTACCTAACTAAGCCCTAATCTTTAGTCCCTGAAGCTTAGTTATGTTAGACATGCAGCATGTTGTTTGTCACGCCGTCCCTGGCGGTGGAACCGCCCATGTTTGACACAAGAGGACACCTAAAACCTTAAAGCCTAAACCTAAGCCCTAAAGCCCTAAGCCGTAAAGGATATGTTAGTCTCAGGAGCGGCAGTCTCAGTTTTCGTGCCACTCCTTGGAGCCCGACGCAAGAATCCCCAAAAAGGGTGGAACGGCCGAATGCCTTCTGTTGGCCCTGGCAAGGCCAGAAAGATGTGTCCACGCAGCAATCTTCACTCCTCTTCGATGGTGATTGGCTGGACCTCTGCAAGCACCCAGACCTACTTTCGCTGCTTGGCCACGTGGCATGGTTGCACATGGCAAACTTGCAAGGCATGTACGCAGCGGAGATCATCAGGGCGTGTTTTCCTAGCATGGAACTGAAAACGGTTGCCGTTCTTGAGTGGGGCTCTGCAGTCTGGTGCCCCTAGTCCCTACCTGACTGTTGGCAGCTTTTTGCAAGGCATCCACCTCACAAGATGCACCAAAGGAGGAGGACGGCGTAGACCAGCCAACTCTTTGCAAAGCGTGTCGGTCCCATTGGGCGTGTGTGCAAGCCGATGAGTGTGAGTGCAGGTGGTGGTTCGTGGGCCCAAATCTACAGAAGCGCTGATCACGGCGAAAACTCCGAAACCCAAGAGCACCTTGTCAACGACTGGCAGTCCAGCGTGTATCCTTGTTGTTGGAGCTAAGATGCCAATGCATTTTTTTCGGTGAACGATGCACATCCTGCACCACGTGTCGAATTCTTGCTTCGCAAGGTTTCCGAAAATAGCTTCACCCTTTTCAGGGCTAGGGTTGCTGTTAAGAATAGGGGACCCCTATTTTGGGAAATGCTCGCACTAGCCACAGCATGGCGTGCCGCGCATTGCTGCATACAAAGTGCAGACATCACTCAAGGGAAAATAGGACGTCACTGTGAACCTATACGTAGCCTTTCTGTTTGGGTGGTTATGGCAAAGATTTTCATGAGTAGCCTGCCAAAGCTTGCATTTTGTCGACACTCTCTTCGTGCCTCTTGTACGTCAAGTCTTGCGAGTAGTCCATGAACTGGATAGGCGTCCAATTCATGGAGGCAACCTTGAAGCTAAGTAAATCCTAAGCCCTGCACATCCCCCCTGCAGCACCCCTATACCCCCCCCCCCCCCCTCCGGCATGGAGAGTTCCCCTTAACCCAAACCTAAACCCTAAACCCTAAACTCTGATCTTAGGCATGATGAGGGCTGAGGAGCACACCGACAAGATTTCTTGGCGCGCCATCAAGATGTATTGCCAATGTTGTGGAGGCTGGTGTTTGCTAACGCTTAGCCTTGGGATGTTCCCCCTTATACCAACAATATCCTGAATAGGGGTTCTAGTACCCCCTATTATAATCCCTTTTGAGGACTGTTAGTAGAAGGGGAACATCCCAAGCTTAGCCTTGTATGTCCTGGCTGCTCAAGTACAGTTTTGGGCCGGAAGTGGTGGGGTCAGCGCCCGACTCCAGTCCAGCAATGCCCGCCAGGCTTCCCATGGGTTGCAGCCTTCTTTGCCAGTTCTGTCCTTGAGCGCGTTTCACTCATCTTTCTGGATTGGTGGCTGACCAGATGGGCAGCAGAGGCAGGGCAGGGCAGTAGTGTACCGAGTTGACGCAGTGAGGCACTTCCGTGCCACTGCCGGCACAGTCATCTTAATCACTCCCAGACATCCCCAGTACTTGCAGCCAACACGTACTGGTATTGCCTTCAATCCAAAGCATCAACCTTGGCAGTGACAGGTGCGCACTCAGTTTGCAGCTTATTAAGTGCTCTAGATTTGTTGGGCGTGTCGGCAGGGCTCTGCAGATGCGCAGTCCATGTACTTTACAGTGTATTTCAGCACTGTGGCGATGGTGCTTGTGTTCGTGTCCTTCACACGACGCCTGGCTCATGCAGACCTGATGTCGAGCTCAAGGGCTTGCAAATGCCAAAGTTGAACTTCACTGAAAGGAAGGTCCTTGCATTGAGCGCGCGCGCATCCGGCAGAAGAGTTGCATGCCTTTGATTTCAAGTGCATTCCTTGGCATCTTGAATCGAGGCATCGTCATCGCCATTGCTACTGTGCGTGCGGGGCGCCGCCACCTGGTTGCAACCTGATGATTTTTACCTACCATTACAGTAGCTCTTGGAAGCTGCATGCCGAACAGAAGCCTTCACGAATGTACTATGCTTTGAGGACTCTTTCAGCAGCTCGCTCTGACTGTGGTCAGGGCGCCCATGTGGTGGTGGCCTGGCAGTGAACTTTCGTCCGGCTTCAACCGTACCAGCACCATTTCCATCGCCATCATCATCATCATCGTCATCATCGTCATCATCGTCGGCACCATCAAATATCACAATCGCCACCAGCACCATCGTCATCACCAGTCATGAAAAAGACTATGGTCCTGTTGATGGTGGTGATAGTGATGGTGGCGATGATGGTGGTAGTGGTGCTGCTGCTGATGATGATGAGGATGAGGATGATGATGGAGATGGTGATGGTGAAGATTCCGATGCTGGTGATGATGGTGATGGTGATGATGGTGGTGGTGGTGGCGATGGTGGTGATGGGGATGGTGATGGTGGTGATGGTGGTGGCGATGATGCTGCTGCTGCTGCTGCTGGTGATGATGGTGATGACTATGATCCTGATGAAGGTGGTGATTGCGATGGGGTGGTGGTGCTGGTGGTGGTGGTGGCGGTGGCGGTGGCGGTGGCGGTGGCGGTGGTGGTGGTGGTTTGTTGATGATGCTGATGATGATGATGATGGTGGCGATGGTGGTGGTGGTGGTGGGTGACGGCGATGGTGATGGTGGTGATGGTGGTAGTGATCGTGGTGATAGTGGTGGTGATGAACGCTTCTGATGATGACGGTGGTGATGGCGATAATGATGGTGGGTGGTGGTGGTGGTGGTGGTGGTGGTGGTGGTGGTGGTGGTGGTGGTGGTGGTGGTGGTGGTGGTGGTGGTGGTGGTGGTGGTGGTGGTGGTGGTGCTGGTGGTGGTGTTGGTGGTGGTGGTGGTGTGGTGTTGTATGTCGGTTGGTGGTGGTTGGGTGCGTGGTCGGTGGGGGTGGTCGGGGTGTGGTGTCGTTGGTGGTGGGGTGTAGGTGGTGGGTGGTGTGTGTGGGTGGTGGTGGTGGTGGTGGTGGTGGTGGTGGTGGTGGTGGTGGTGGTGGTGGTGGTGGTGGTGGGTGGTGGTGGTGGTGGTGGTGGTGGTGGTGGTGGTGAGGATGTTGATGGACGGTGGTGGTGGTGATGGTAACGGTGAGTATGATGGTGGCGATGGTGCTAGTGATGTTGATGATGACTATTGTTCGCCGTTTCCGCCTTTTCGAATCTCTTCCAACGCCCTTTTTCGCGTGTCCTGTGCACTCTTGCAGCATGCCCGTCACATTGTCGCTTCGGGGTGAATTTTAGACCGTGGGCAGAACGATGAATTGGAGCCGAAGCAGATTAAAATTGCAAATACGGGCTCAGGGCAAGACCATGGTGACTATCAGTTAGAGGTGTGACTGCAGGTGGGACACAACTCCTCTTGGGCGCGTGCTAAATCGATTCAGCTTGGAGCTCAGTACCCGTGCAGGAAAGATGGCAAGGTTTGTGCGGTTTGCGCAAATTTGTGCATGATGGCAAGACAAGTGCAGAGCTGCAGAAGGCTTCGATACGGAGAACACTGACACCACCCTCGTCACCAAGCTCTTTCCAGCGCTTCTCTCACTGAGCTGGCCCTTTGGCGCATAAGACTTGCCCCTGGTTTTGAGTGATGTTTTGTGGAGGTGTGCTCGCGGAGCATTCTGCTTATTTTAAGGCGTAACAATGTGCTGCGATTGGCCATGAACTGTCAGCTCAGAGGACTCGTCTTAAGCTGCGCTGACAACAGGTGCTTGGGGGCTTTGAGTGTGATGGTCGGCACCTTGTGGCCGTACTCATTGCTGATGGTCCCAGTACCGGTATCTCTGTTGCAGTAGAGACTTGAAAAACAGACGCCTGGGAGTTTTGTTAGTATTCCGAGCGTTGCTGTTAGTAGCAGTTCCGAGGTTGGGATGTTCCCCCTTATACTAGTTGTCCTTTAATAGGGAGTATAGTACCCCCTACTATAATCCCAATTATAAGGCGGAACGTCCCACGTCCCAGGTGTTCATCTACGCGATCCTCTTCCAGTTCGCGCGCAAGTCCATTCGGCAGTTCCAGCAATTGGACAGCGTGTCCCGGAGCCCAATCCAGTCACTCTACTCTGAGGCACTCAGTGGGATCGTTAGTGTGCGTGCCTTTGCCTCGGAACAGCGCTACGAAGCGCTCTTGGCCACCTATTTGGACGTCAACTCTGCAGCAGTGCTGACTTTCAACACATCCAGTCGATGGCTTGGGGTGCGTGTGGAGCTGCTGGCTGCTCTGGCATCTGGACTGGTAGGTTTGGGATGCTGGCTTCTGCGCGAAGAGATCTCTGCAGGATTGGTCGGCCTGTGCTTCATTTGGACCACCAACTTAGCAACATCCTTGGGATTTAACTGTATCTTCTCCAGCCAGGCAGAGGCTGTTTTCACTTCCGTGGAGCGTATGGCCGAGTACGCCTCGGACGTTCCTTGTGAAGGTGCACACCAGGGCCTGGATACCTGGCAGATGAGTCCTGGAACCCGGAAGGAAGTTGGCGAGGGCCCGATGCCGCCGAAGGCGCGAAAGGCTGACATGACTGACGTACCTCTCTTGATCTTCGAGAGGGTCTCGCTACGATACCAACCGGGCTTGCCCTTGGCCTTGGATTCGGTATCCCTGCGGGTTGCGGCTTCCGAGCGCGTGGCTGTTGTCGGGCGCACAGGTTCAGGCAAATCGACGCTGGCTGCGGCTTTGTTTCGGCTTTGTCCTCTAGAGACGGGATCTGTCCTGATGAATGGAATCGATCTTGGGTCTCTGCCGCTGGACATGGCACGAAAGTCGATTGGCATCATTACCCAAGATCCGGTCATCTTTAGTGGGACTGCGCAGTACAATCTCGATCCCTTCAACGAGTTTGAGGAGGTGGATTGTGCTGAAGCCCTATCACAAGCACAGCTTGCAGATACAGTGACACTCCAGAGCCAGATTGAGCAGGCTGGCTCGAATCTGCGACGTGGCACCAATTCGGAAGCTGTGTCGAACCCCTTAAAAAGCAGATGTTGGCGCTCCGTGCAGCCAGAGCGTCCTAGAGCGCAGGGTTCCATAGTTCCAATGCAGACCCTTGGCTGATAGGGATGCT